AAACATTGGTGCACATTTTGCATTTTATGAATAACCAAACACATCCAATGATTTTGAAATAGCCAAAAACCTTTCTTTGGTTAATAAGTAATCAAAGACCTAAAAACTTAGAATAAGCATCTTTCTGATTCAAAGCAGCACCCAGTAAATAAATCAGATTTTCCTTTCTACCTAATACTGATATTCTCAATTATTAACTACACTTTTAATTCTCTACAATTCCTGTATGGTCCAACAGCATGACAAAAGAGAGATTTTATTTATATGTGGCACATATGTTTCATCTTCGTAAAGCAAAGAGTGCTCAATATGTTTAGGAAGAATATTTCATTGACCCCAATCAAAAATTTTGGTAGGAGAAGTCTATTCTGTTTAACTCACTCTAAGTATGAATTAATTTGCTAAACAGCAGAATCTATCTCTCTATGTAAAGAAGAGGCAGATGTTACAAAACTTCAATTTCCGACTCTCAAATTTTGTCATAAAACACCCCAAACATGTTGAGAACTAGATATTTGATTCATTGTGTCACACTGTGTTACCTTAATTCTGGCAGCAGATGGAGGGGACAAGGTCTAAAAATGGAATATTTTGACCATGGAATTTCCCTAGATGTATTTGACCAGAATGTCAAATCAAATAATGAAGTGCAAACAAAAGTACTAAGTCAACAGAAAATTCATTTAAACAATTCTTGAAAAAACTTCCGAATTACGTGCCAAAATCTGCTAAACATTTTATCAAGAACAATCAATACCAAACCCGCTTTGTACAGCCCAGTTCCTTATTGATTCTATAATCCAATGCATAGAGCTCTGTGCAACAGGTGCTCCAGCAATTCAAACTCTAGCAACGTGGAACTTTGCTATTAATATTTAGAAAAATTGTCAAAAGAACCAAGCTGATTTCAGGTATTAGCCTCAAAACAAGACATAAATAACACTGCTGGGCCAGTCCTGTCATAAAGGGCATTACCTTGGTCAGAGATTCCATGCCTTCACCTTTGTCAGTTTGTGGCCATTTTTTCTTCATTTTGTTCTATCCATTCTACCACACCCTACCTTTAAAAATCTGTGTATTTTCAAAACTTAAAGATAAGCCTTTAAGTTAGCTGATTAAACATGCCTTTCCTGTCCAAATTTAAATGGCACTGCATTCTGATAATTCAAAGAACTTGCCAACAAGGTGGTATACAGGCAGACATCTTACCATCACACCTTTCTCTGTGACATGTCCCAAATTCTCCATACCTGTTTATTGCCTCCAGTACCGAGGAGGACCATAAACAATATAAATAGAATGTCTGCAGTAAATCTTTTGCAATAACTGAACATTCAGAAATGGTGCCAAAGTTTAAATGCTCATATATATGCATTCCATATTTGGAGAATTATTATACATGTATGGAAATTGTGTGTTTCGTATGTAGGCCCTTATACTGTTCCAAACAGGAAATGTATAGTATTTACAAGCAGAACACAGCCAACCGATGTGGAAATATACTCGACTGTTACCACAGATTTCTGAATAAGATGCTCGCTCAAGTATGAAACTTTGGAAAAAAGTTCTATTACTTTACCCGCGTGACATTTCTTTGTCGATGTTGACAAATTCCACTACTTTGGTCTATTAAATAATTCACTTACCAAGTAGGTAGATGTTCTCTGTTAAGATTTCGTCTTCCTGTGATCAAATCTATGTCGACTTGATGTCGTGATAGTTATAAATCGGTGACGAATCGGATTTTCTGCTACAGGCGAAATTCCTTCTCTGCGTTGTAAACCGTGATAAATAGCTGGTTTGCGAACGACAGAGGGCGCGATTTCTCTCAGAATGACAATATTCTACCAAAAATGGTAAAATCTGGAATATACTTTGCACCCATGGCAATTTCTTCTATTACCATATGTTCAGCAAAAAATATATGTATAATACATACTGTGCACGTTATTGCACGACACTGACTCGACATTGGCACCAATTACAGAATTACAGCTGGCGAACAATTACTCAGCTCATAGTTTTCGCAACCCTACTGCTATGGGATATAATTGAGGATATTAATTTTGGAGTCAGCAGAAAATAAGATTTTCCTGAATAATATAGTCCAAATGTGTCATTTGGAGTCTGCAAATCTCTGGTGAACGCGATCATGACGATATATGACTTCATATTTTGTAGATCCCATTTTCTAGATAATTTTGATAAAATTTCAGCAACTTATATTAGCCCCAGAGCTTGTTCAGTTTATTAAAAACAGGAGCTCTGTTTGTTTGTTTGTTTTTTATAATACTGGCACTTCTAAACTAAAATGGACTTCAAAAAGTTGCATCTTGACTTTCCTGGAGAAAAGATGTGTGTCAAAAGACGTACCGTTATTAGACTTGGCATAAATTCATAATGCTGTTATTGATTCATCGAAATGTTTCAAAAGAAAAGAAGAAACAAGAAACGTGTTAGCATACATCTAAGATTATTTCAACATGTTTTGATTTTTTTTTAATTTTTATTTTTTTTGGAAGGCTATTGCATCATAATGGAATCGCGTCTAATAGACTGATAGAAGGATGGAACTGAAGAAAAAAAAACAATCTGTCTATTGTAAACTGCCACATGGAATCATTTCATTTTTATTCATTTATAATATTATTAATTTTTTTATTTTATTTTTATTTTTTATTTATTTATTTATTTATTTTGGTTGAAGCAATTGGTTCTAAGAGTTGTGAACATGCAGTCACAGCATTAATTACACCCCCACCCCCCATTCCTTCAATTCAAGTCTCCCGTGTATTTTTACGCAGCCATCTATACCACTCTACTCCAATACACATCTCGTGTCATAGTGAAAACTCAGTTTAAAAAAATCCTAAACATTAACTAGGACTAGCTCCTAGAGCCTCGTGGGTGAATCTCATCTCAAAAGAAGTTATGAACATCATGTGGTCAATAATCCAACCATCAGTCTCTGAACGTTTCGCCAACGAATACATACAGAAAACAAATGTGTTACGTGAAGCGGTCACCCATTCAAGGGAGTATAAGTTCCCTATATATATGAACCACACTGTATCTTATATAATATCCACCCAAGAAACATAATAGGCGTCGGAACCGGGGGGGGGGGGCTAGGGGGCTTAGCCCCCTCCCCCCACTTTTTTTTGCAAAGATAGATATAATATAGGCATTGATCATGAACACTGGGGCGTAGGTTTAAACCCCCACCTTTCAACAGGTACACTGCAGTGTAATCAAGGAAAGGTAAGTGGTAGCGTTTGAAAAAAAATGGTACTGAAAGAAGCTCGATCGTACCCTCCTCCCCCCCCCCCCCCCCACGGAATAGGATTATTTTCTCTTTGAATTAGCCCCCCCCCCCTTCCCACTTTCAATTTGCTTCCGACGCCTATGAGAAATATAGTTTATCTACCTTATATACAACAGTTTTCTATATACTGCACACTATATCAGTACATATGTTATACAATATCCACCCAAGAAATTTAGTTTATCTGCCTTGTATACAACAGTTCCCCATATACTGCACACTACATCAGTGCATATATGTTATACAATATCCACCCAAGAAATTTAGTTTATATGCCTTACATACAAGAGTTCCCTCTATATACTGCACACTATATCAGTACATATGTTACAACCTCTACCCAAGGAATTTAGTTTATCTGTCTAATATACAACAGGCTCATAGGAAGTATAATTTCAAATTACGGTGGGGGCAAAACCGAACAGAAATAAAAAAAAAAATTCTTGAACAAGCTAACCCCCTGTGGTAAGAAAAAGAAGGGGGTGACCCAATATACGAAACAAGTGCGGCAGCTTATGATATAATGTGGCTTAAATTTTACTATCCCTCTGTATTTTTGCTTTAATGCGAATGAATTTCCAAAAAGAAATCAAATTTACATACATGCAATTGGAATACAATTTCAACATACCCTGCGGGACAAAATTTGACAGAAATTTTTAGACTTTTAACTTGACAAGTTTATATCAAGGAAGAATAGCCATTTATCCCAGAGAGAGTTACCTCTCTTATGAGATGGACAATGAACCTTAACATATCATCGACATATTTGTGCTATCAAACAATTACTATGCATTTAATATAAGGGTGGGGTGCCCCCGAAAACTTACAATATTTTGCTGTTGTTTAAAATGTATTGATATATAATGTATTTGTTTCCCCTTTGTGACCTCCAACAAAGGATTTCATGGGGGTCTAGGATGAGAAGACCCGGAAGCCCTCGATCTTTGAAAGCCAAACTCGTCCGGTCCATACCGCTCCCCATAATAGGGGCGAAGTGAACTTGCGAAGATTGAGAGCTTCAGGATGATGTACATTTAAGGGGGGAAATATGACATAAACTGTGAATTCAAAAGGAAACAGTTTGAAAATACGGGAGGGAGGGGGGAGGGATACAGACATCCCCACCTAACATCCTGCTCTAAACACAGGGACACCCCCTATCCTGCTCTAAACACAGGAATGGGATCCAAGAACCCAAGTTAAGAAAGTTATTTAAGCCTCTGTCTGTGGAATAGATTCAATTTTCCTCCGTTGATTAGATTTTTATTCCAACCCAATGGGATTTAACTCGTCTCCGTTTCTTGTGCTTCATTGCAATTTACGAAAAAGAAGTTCCTTGCAAAATTCAGCCCTATGATATTATATACGTGTAAATGAGTGAAAATGAGAATATATATTTACTTGTAAATAAATAAATAAATAAATAAATAAATAAATAAATAAATAAATAAATAAATAAATAAATAAATAAATAAATAAATAAATGAATGAATGAATAAATAAATAAATAAATAAATAAATAAATAAATAAATAAATAAATAAATTAGTTATTTAATTAATTAATTTATTTATTAGCAGGTAAATAAAATTAGTTCAGGATCGAGTAGAATCCGGATTTAATTCAGGACCAGATTCGACTTCTCATTTATCGAGCACAATATGTTTCCTGTGTAAATTTATGGCAATGTGCGGATGCACAACAATAAAAATGTTTCTTGGTGGGTATAATAAGATAATGGATTGATAATCTGAATCTGTAACGAAATTTTACTGAACGCGATGACCTCATATTTAAATTTAAGTAGATGGTTTGTTTTTGATAATTAGTTTACTGCACACGACTTTGACCTTGTCCTTTGGAATGCAGTGTTAGGTTTTATAGTTATAATATTCATTTTATCGGTAGAACATTTCTTATTTATTACGTTCAGCACTTCACCCACACAACAGCCTCTCAGTCCTGGATTGTTTCTTAAAAAGGAACACTGTGGGGAAGCAGTATTCTGAGGACTATGGGTTCTGCAATCAATTTTCTATTTTAGAAATTACCATAGGTGCTTCGGACAATGATTTTTAAATAAATGAAATTTAATAGGTTGTTTATCAGGGAAAAAAAGTTAATGAAAGTTTAACATTAAAGACAGAGTCTTAAATTCAAGCAAACTGAACCCTTTTTAGAAGTATCAAGAAGGTGGTGTTCTGACTTTATCATACTGCACTCTTCCACACACTCTCTCCAGGAGTGTATCAGTATGAGAGAAACAGGTTGTGATTAGTTAGATGATTAGGTCAAACTAGTATAATGCAGGCTGGCACTAGCCCAATTGGACTTGTAGAATTAATTGTCAGCTGTATTAATCCATTTCCATCGCATTATAAATAGATCTTTTTGTCAAAAATATTGCCTGAAAAGATTTATTTTTCTTGATTGAAAATTGTTGACTTTCTCAATGATTTTCTTATCTTTCTGTCCATGTTTGATTTGCTTATTTATCATTTGCCATGTTTAAATGGCAAATAAATGCGAAGAAAAAGTAGAGACCAAGACTGTCACCAACATCAAGAAATGCTTTGAATTTAAACACACCTGAGAGTTTCTAAAAAATGGAGAGACTGGTGGGCACTGGGCCATGACTTGGTTATTTACAAACATGTGATGAAATGTTTATCAGTAGTGCATCAGACTGCATCATTGTGTAAAACAAAACAATTAAAACGGGGGGTTAATAGAAATTTAATTTTTTGAAATTAAATAATGAGCCTTGATGATTAAATCTTAAGGAATGAAACAAAACTGTCATTTTATTTTTCACACTTTTAAGGGCTAGTAAAAAATGAAATTAAAAACTTGAGAATGCTGCATCTGTGAACAAAAATCATGAATTATATTTATAGGGATTTGTCCAAGACAAAGCTTTTCAACAACTGCTTATAGCTTGAACAGGTTTAAGAGTCAGAAAAAATTACTATCCAAAGGTTTTGGAGCCAAATGGAGAATTGCGTGAGTAGTTTTTTTTTTTGTTTAAAAAAAAAATCAGTACAATTTTCTCTTAAAGAAATTATGAAATTTCGAATTCAACCAACTTATGTATACATATGTACTTCAATCATTGTAATTTATAATGCAAAAGGTAAAAAAAAATGTTAAAAATCCTCTACATTTACAAGTGTCTTTAACACTTAGTAGGTATGATGAATGTATTTTAAAAACTTTCTTTTCAAGAAATGGTAAAGCATTGGATAATAAGAAGTATGGTCCCTTGACAGATCTTCCAGATTATTCATTCTTAGGTAACAGAATTTGGAAATATTCTATTTACTCTAAGTACAAATAAATGCCATGCCATAAAGGACAGAAAAACATTTTACAATTACATGTATCACCAAGAGTTCATATTTTTTCCATGTTTAAATAAAGCTGAAATATCACTGAATCCATATAATCTTCTTGACAATACTTCCATCAATCTAATCAATCAATCAGTTAATCTATCTATCTTTCTATCTCTCCACAGATGGAAGACCTGCACCACTGACAATGGCACAACAGAGGAGACTAGAGAACAGAAAACAAATTGCTGTAAGTCTTTTTGTTCTTGGCTGTAGAAATGGAGTCAGCTTCATTGTTGGTGTTGACATTCCCCAAGTTTAAAGTTTCTGCAGTAGATTCATTCTGAAGTAATTGCAAATCAACCTGAATCAAACTTGTATTGATGGTAATTTGTGGATACAAACTAACACATTTCTTTTATTTTCTGACCTATATTCTTTGCATGAATAACTAGTTCAAACTTTAGGGGAAGGTCCTTAACTATGCAGCTTCAAGTCCTTCCTTAACCAAACTTGCTGGATGAATGACAGTTTAAAAGTTTTTGGGCAGCTCAACTTTGAATTAACTTAAAATTTAACATGTGAAAGAGGTGAGATAACAAACTGTCATCAGTCTAAAAAATCCTGTACACAATATGAATGTGAACAGAGCAAAAACACCAGAGGTAACTTGTAGTAGATAACATTTGTCAAGGTGGGCTTATAATCTTTCATAATCTCACTGAGTTAAATAATTTTAAGATGCTTTGCATTCTGGTACATAATCTGTTCTCATTTCTTTTATCAGGCAAGAGTACACGAATTGATGGGGGAACTAAATTTTGCCAAAGAGCGCCACAGAACAAGGATGGGCAATAAACAGATAGAAAAACCTTTTCCACTGAAGCCCAAATCCTGATATTTCATATTTTACCTAGTATATGTGTATGTTTTGTTTATTTTGTAAATAAATACAGTGAACATATTTTCTTATTTTATAAATTATTTTCTGAAACACAGTCATATCTAGAATTCTTTCAACTGTGAAGAGAACGATTCATCCATGCAACCTTTGTAAAATTTTCATCTATTGTTATCTAGGATATTCTGGAGATTATTTTTCGCATGTGAATTAAGGCTAGGTATAGGTGTTTCTATGCAAATGAGGTAATAAAAATGCATAAGAGGCATATTTATTATTCAGAGAAAGTGTTGATTTATTTTCTTATGCATACTTAGTATCCACGATATGTTATAGCCAGTACACATTATGACGCCATATTATGACGTCACTGATCTTACCTACTGGAGGTTACAAAACACAGCAACAAAACAGCTTCGGCACAAGGGATTACCCTATTTATTTTTACATAAAAATTGTATAATGCTAAGAAGAATATTCCATAGATTAATAAACCTACTGCACAAATCCTAGGCATTTTCTCATTTGATCAGAATTTGAGGAAACTTATGTCGGACTGTACATTTTTACCCTTATTCAACTTAAAACTTTACAAATAGAAATTATACAACTGAGCTGTTGATATTTGTGCAGCAATACCAGCAAACTTTGGAATATTTTGCTTCTAAATATACCTTGTTTCAGTTAAATAAAATAGAGCATGCCCTAGCGCTGAAGCATTTTAGTTGATATCCATTATAATCTTGTGTAGTAAAGAACAATGACGTCATAATATGACGTCATAATGTGTACTTGCTATCCTATGTCTTGGGTACCAAGTATGTATTAGACAATAAGTTTTAACTTTCTCTGTATAATAGATTTAATCCTTAGGCATTTTAATTAGATTATTTGCATAGAAATGCCTATACCTAGCCTTAACTCACCTGTGTTAGCTAACCTGAGCCATTTTTTTTTCAAATTTTAATTAGATTGTCAAATTAATTACTCTGAATGAGGGCGGGCTAAAATGGGGATTAAATTCTACATAATTCCTGAAATGTTTTCTAGAAAAGCAAGGCTATGAAGGTCTTACTAATACTGAAGTGTACCCCTTTTGTGGGGATAAATCATGACCCCTTGAGCTAGGATACATGTAGAGTCAAAACTTTTTGCAGATAATGGAGGGAAAATAAACAAGAGGCCCAAGGGCCTTGAAACGCTCTTCTGATAAACTGTACAACCTATAACTTCTATTTGAAGCCTCCAAGTATCCTGTATATTTAGATAAACCCTTGAAATTCCAAAGGTAGGTCATCATGACCTACATTTTAGATGAAACACTTTGAGAACCCAAGATGATTCTAAGTCAATTAGTACCTGAGAGTTGGTCATGGTGACCTACTTATCACTTGTCATTCTCTGAGGACCCAAGATGCATCAACTAAGTTTGATGATTCTAAGCCAATTAATACCTAAAATATTTTTAAAATTATAACCATAAAATTTCAAAAGTAGGTCACAGTGACTACTTTTCAGATGACATACTTTGAGGAATCAAGATGCGTCAACTGACAAAGTTTGATGATTCTAAGCCAACTAGAAATCTGACCAGTCAGCAAGGGCCCCACCAAGGGTTAGAAATATAAGGGTGCAGGTTAGGGGATGAGAATTTTACTTGATTCCCAAAAATTTCAAAATATATAAAGAATAAGCAACAGCAACTGCTAAATATCCAACAATCTGTAAATAGCATCCTTGTATTTACATAAGGCAGTAAAAAAACATCATATCTATAATAACTCAATTAAATGTATATTTAAAAATGAATGAAGCATGTGTTTTCTAAAATGCCAGCCTTCAGTGAATGCAAATATCACCCAGGCTTGACCTTAACTTCAAAACAAATATCAGTTGCAGACAAAGGTATTAATTAATCTTAAAGTGACAGAAAGATAACCCTCTAAAATATTCTGCAAACCAGCAAGATAATCAAACCTATGGGATTAATTATACTGCTCTCTCAACCTTTTCTTTTAAGTTTACAATAAGAACTTTTTCAGCAATGGTAGAATGAGGTTATTATCTGAATACCTGTTAAAATAATTAGTATTCTTGAATTTACAAGAGGCAGAAAAAAAGAAAAAAAAAAAAGAAAAAAGAAAATAATATTAAAAACGATATCTTTATCTATATCTTGTTTTTAGAATTCAATAAAATCATAACTCATTGTGTATTTTAAAGTATGAACATTATTTAAATCCACATTTCAGAGAATGTAAACATCATTCAGAATTGACCTTAACTTCAAAACAAACTTCATTTGCAGACAGAGGTGTTAATTAATCTCAATGTGGCAGATAAAGATAAATGCTTTGGATTTTCTTCAAGAGGAAAGTTAATTAATCCCAAGAGACTCATTGCAGCCTTTCATAGTTTACAATAGGAACATTCTCAGCAGTTATCTCTCTTTGCCCATTCACTCTTATATAAAGTTAAGGAATATACCCCACCACCCCAGCTCCAAACTGGATGACATAGAGAACCAAACTTAGCATCAAAATATATCCTACTGCCTATTCAACCAACATACCAGATGTGAACTTAATTGGTCAACCCTAAAAAAAGTTATTAGAAAAAAACAGAAAATTTGTGGACGGAAGAATGACAGATGGACAGACAGACAGACAGAATGATTACTATAGGGCACCCACAAATCCTTGCGGGGTCCTAATTAGTACCCCAAGTATTTAATTATAGTCATATAAAATGAAAAGTAAGTCACCATGACCTACTTTTCAGTCGACCTACTCCGAGAACCCAAGATGCATCAACTGACAAATTTTGATGATTCTAAGCCAAATAGTACCCGAAAATATTAAGTTCAGCCATAAAATTTCAAAAGTAGGTCAGGGTGACCTACTTTTCAGTTGTTGTATTCCAAGGATCCAAGATGCATCAACTGACAAAGTTTGATGATTCTAAACCAATTAGTACCTGAAATATTGAATTAAAGCCATAAATTTTCAAAAGTAGGTCACAATGACCTACTTTTCAGTTGTTGTACTTTCAGGACCCAAGATGCATCAACTGATAAAGTTTGATGATTCTAAGCCAATTAGTACCTGAAACATTTAATTAAAGCCATAAATTTTCAAAAGTAGGTCATGGTGACCTTCTTTTCAGTGACAAAGTTTGATGATTCTAAGCCAATTAGTACCTGAAAATATTTAATTATAGTCATATAAATTGAAAAGTAGGTCACGGTGACCTCCTTTTCAGTTGACGTTTTTTGAGGACCCAAGATGCATCAAAGTTTTATGATCATAGGCCTTAAAATGTCCAAAATATGCCTCTAAAATGCTTTGAAATTGAATGCCTGCAAAGTTCAAAAAGTAGGTCACTGTGACCTACTTTTTAATAAATATGTTTTATGGCCCTAAGATGCATCATCTTACAGGATTTAATGATTCTAAACCTCTCAGTATTCGAATTAATGACCTCAATTGTTTTGAAAAAGATTAGCCATAAAGTTCAAAAAGTAGGTCAAGGTGACCTTCTTTTTAGTCGGTGTACTCTGAGGACCCAAGATACATCAACTGACCAAGTTTGATGATCATAGGCCTTAAATTGTTCAAAATATGCCTCTAAATCATTTTGAAAACGAATGGTCGCAAAACTTAAAAAGTAGGTCACCATGACCTACTTTTGAGTCAACATGATATGAAGTCCTTAGATGCATCAACTGACAAGATTTGATGATCCTAGTCCTTATAGTGAGCAAAATATCAACATTTTACTAAAATGCAATTTTTTGGTCAACTTTGAAGTGACCTTGAGACCACGCCCTTTGCCTCAGGGTAAATCCCTGTGCAAATTTTAATCTACAACATATCCTCATCCTTTTGTTTAAGTTTAGTGATAATCTGCCCAGTGGTTCTTGAGAGGATTTTTTAGAAACCAGTACTTTTGTTTCTATTTTCCTAATTATTTCCCCTTGTTTAAGGGTCACAACCCTAGTTTTAGTATAAACGGGAGCTCTTGGGCCAAGGATACCCTGTGACAAATTTTACAATAATTGGCCAAGGGGTTCTTGAGTTATGGCCCATATTCTAAAAAGTTTACGCACAAATGGCCACAGCATTGGCTCTTTGAGCCTTTGGCTCAGAAGAGCTAAAAATCTGAAGAGGAAAAGCAGGACCAAGGTTACTAAAGTGAGCATTGTGGGCCTCTTGTTTAACAATATTTTTACAATTAAGAACCAACCAAATTCTGGTTAACATTTGATTTCTTCTTTTGCTTGGTTTTAACAAATTTGAATCTACACTTTGAGTAAGGATGTTTTCTTTTGTTTTTGTTATTTTTTTTTCCCTGTCCAGTTATGAAAATTACTTTGGCAACTTTGCTAATTTTTAAGCTTTTTGACTTAAATGGAGCATTGCTCTTCACTTAAACAAATTTTCAATGATCAATACATTTTAACATTCTTAGGAGCTTAACAAACAAGAGGCCCAGGGGCCACATCGCTCACCTGAGCACTCTGGCTAGGAAAAAGCAGAAATCAGTCGAGTCTTGAAAAGTTTTGATATAAAAGTGGTTTGAGGGGAGGGGGGGTTAATTTGAACTTGAATCTATACTTCAAAGGGATGCTTTTGAATTAATATGACAAATAATGGCTACACTGTTCTTAGGAAGACAATTTTTATTGATATATCATTTGTATTCCTTTGTATAACTATGATCTCCTGTTATGGCCCCTCTATTCTCCTGGGGGGTCATGATTTGAACAAAATTTGAATCTACATTACCTGAGGATGCTTGCATTTAAATATGACTGATTATTGCTTTGCTGTTCTTCAGAAGAAGATTTTAAAAGGCTTGCTTTTTCCTATGTATTCCTATGTAAAACTTTGATCGCCCATTGTGGCCCCACCCTACCCCTGGGGGGTCATGATTTAAACAAACTTGAATCTACACTTCCTGAGGATGCACCCATTAAAAAAAAATGATCATGGCTTTGCTGTTCTTGAGAAAAAGATTTTTACAAATTTTTCCTATGTATTTTATGTAAAACTATGATCACCCATTGTGGCTCCACCTTACCCCCGGGGGTCATGATTGGAACAAACTTGAACCTGCACTACTTGAGGATGCTTCCATGTAAATATGACCAATCATGGCTTTGTTGTTCTTGTGAAAAAGATTTTTACAGATTTTTCCTATATATTCCTATGTAAAACTTTGATCGCCCATTGTGGCTCCACCCTACCCCCAGGGGTCATGATTTGAACAAACTTGAATCTACACTATCTGAGGATGCTTCCATATAAATATGACCAATCATGGCTTTGCTGTTCTTGAGAAGAAGATTTTTAAAACGTTTTCCTATATATTCCTATATAAAACTTTGATCGCCCATTGTGGCCCCACCCAACCCCGGGGGTCATGATTTGAACAAACTTGAATCTACACTACCTGAGGATGCTTCCATATAAGTTTCATATTTTCAAGCACAGTGGTTCTTGAGAAGAAGATTTTTAAATGATGCCATTTATTTTTCATGAATTCATGATTATCTCCCCTTGGAAGAAGGCGTGGCCCTTCATTTGAACAAACTTGAACCCTCTTCACCAAAGGATACTCTGTGCCAAGTTTGGTTGAAATTGGCCCAGTAGTTCTGGAGAAGAAGATGAAATTGTGAAAAGTTTACGACAACGCCGACGACGACGGACAAATTTTGATCAGAAAAGCTCACATGAGCCTTTGGCTCAGGTGAGCTAAAAAAGGTTGATTTCACTCCAGTTGTTAAAAAATGGAGTTTTGTTTAGTAGATAAAGAAAATCCTTGAATTTTCCACATGCAATCAACTTTGAAATGATGTGTACTCTTCTAAGAGTTTTTCAGTCCAGAGACTGACTCTCCAATATATAAACCAAAGCCTATACATGTATCAAGAATTTCATTTTATTTTTTAACATTTTTCTTTAATACGTTCAACAGATACACTTGATTTCTTTTTTCATAGTCAATAAATATTGCATTCAAGTCCTGTGTTTGAGTTGAAGAGAATATACATCTATTTTAATTATTACTGTGTTTGTATATCATTTTATGTTAGACCTGCCTATTTGTGGAGACAAAATACCAAGTCATAAAGTCCTTTGTTAAAAAAAGAGATTTTGTGAAATTCACAAACTGCAGCTGTAACTCACTTTAAATACATACACATTGTCATACAATTGTTGTATATTTCACACTTGATAGATTCTTAATTTATGAATGATGTTGTAATTATCAAGTCCAAAAGAATCTGAAATACCCTAAAATACTCATACATGTGTTTGTTTTAAATGTGCAAAAATGCTTCAAACAAATGTCCGAGAGTTGCGACTTTATGTTGATGTAAATTACAATATCCAGATAAACTATCCCATGATTCCTTTATCAGATCTATCCCACAATTCCTTCATCAAGAAAGTTTAAGTTCTGCAAACTTGGTGGCAATGTTGATGGCCTCTTTGAGGGCCCCTGTCTTGGTACCTGTGGCTTGAGCTGAGGCTTCCTTACCCCCTCCTTTACCATTGATAAGGGGAACAACTTCATTTACCCAGCCATTAGCAGTCAAACCAGCAGCTATACTGGACTGAAAGTAAAATAAAATGAAGAATATATTAATGAATATATACAGAAGTCGGTCTATTCAGTATAAAATCCTAATCAGTTATAGTCAAGATTGATGCATTTCCTAGCATAATGAAAATCTATGCTCCTGTGCCAGTGATTTTTTTCGTATCCAGATGATCAAACAATAAGAGAGGACTTATAACTTGTTTAGCTACCTTTGGTGTACAGCTCATGCAGACAATTTTTCCAGCATTCTGATCGACTGTAAAGAAGAGTGCAGCAGTTTCAGGACTGAGCGCTTTGTATTGCTTCATTGCAGCATCCAGGGCCTGCAAAAAAGATTTTACAAGTAAATGTTATAAAATGTCCTGACATTTTTTGGTTGATTAAGACTTGACAGTTACTTGCTTAACATTTTGAATATTCTACCTTTGCATTGGCATCAGCTTTGAATTCATGCACAACAAATTTCTGGTTAGGATTGCTTTCAATCATCTTCTTTGCCTCCTCAACCACCTATATTTAAAAAGAAAAATATAAAAATCATGCATCCCCTAAAATTTTATGAGGCACATCTGTTACCGAGATGTGTTCATGGACAACCTGACATAATTATCTGAGAGATACAAGTTGTGAAGTCCATGTACTGACCTTGGTCATTACAATCTAGGGACAGTCCCAAAACTGACTCAAGTCCCTGTCTGGACCAGTACTGACCTCTGTCATTATGAGAGATCTAAGAGGGTCAGTCCCTGTCCTGAATAGTACTGACTCTGTAATTATGAGAGATCTAATAGGGGCAGTCCCCATCCTGACCAGTACTGACTCTGTCATTATGAGAGATCTAAGAGGGGCAGTCCCTGTCCTGAATAGTACTGACTCTGTCATTATGAGAGATCTAATAGGGGCAGTCCCCATCCTGACCAGTACTGACTCTGTCATTATGAGAGATCTAAGAGGGTCAGTCCCTGTCCTGAATAGTACTGACTCTGTCATTATGAGAGATCTAATAGGGGCAGTCCCCATCCTGACCAGTACTGACTCTGTCATTATGAGAGATCTAAGAGGGGCAGTCCCTGTGATGACATCTGTCATTATGAAAGATCTAAGAGGGGCAGTCCCTGTCCTGAACAGAACTGGCCCCAAGACCATAAACTGAGAACAGACTCAAGTACAAATTTCAAACCAATAAAACTTTTGAAATAATTTTGATAATGGAACAAAATTTTCATCATATATCTGAATTTAAATGTTATATAAAATTGCAAAATTTTAAGCAAATACATTAAATAAAACTAAAGATGTTAAAAATTTAAAATTTTTTGACTTAAGTCTATTCTCATTTTATGGTCTTGGGGCCAGACCTCTGTCTTCATAAGAGATCTAGGCCAGGCAGTCTCTGTCCTGACCAGTACTGACCTCTGTCATTATGGCTGCTTTCCTGTTCTTATCTAGGTCGTCCATCTTCTGTTTGAGTTTTTTCACCTGAGATCGAAGTTCATCTTTTTTCCAGTAAGATATCAAAGACTGAGAAACTTCCTGCCATAAAATAAAACAAAATTATAAAAAAAATTATATGTTTGAAAATGCCTTTATCATTAAAGAACTTCCCTCTGTAGTTACTCCTGATTCTGTCCAGTGAGTGTTTGATTCAACCCTCTATTTTTCACTGTCTTAAATGATATGCTCAATCATGGCAATCATCTTGGTCAACTTGCAAAAGGTTTCTCAAACAAGAAAGAAAGCTGGAATAGTTTATTCTTTGTGTTCTATGTATTGATATCTCATCGCACCTGTCCCTCAATCTTTGTTCCTTTTTGTTCATTGGTTAAAATAATAGTCTTAATTTTTATAATTAATACATGTAAATAATACAATGTATTAATTTTTAACATTCATTCCAGATAACAAAATGTTGCTAATTATGGTCTGTTTTATTTGTAGGTTAAGTAAGTATACAGTTATAAAACTATAATGTATAGGGACAAAATTCACTCTGAACACATGATGAGGCTTAATTACTTACATCATCAAAGGAGACTATTTTGCGTGTGAGCTCTTTCTCCGAGACAGATTTAGATTTTAAGCCTTCCTCTACCTCGGTCTGTAGCTGAGACAGGGACTTCTCCAACAGAGCAGCCTTATGTAGCGCCTGTCAATATCATATATATAAAACAAGGGTACTGGTAAGTAATACCTGTCAACATATACATATAATACATCAAAGTACTGGTATGTAACGCCTGTCAATATCATACATATAAATCATAACTACTGGTAAGTAATACCTGTCAACATGTACGTATAATACATCAATCTAATTAAAATTAGATGTTCCGAATCCGCTACCGCTTCACAGACATCTAACAACATCCCATTAGGGGTCACGTCAGAGCAACCTTTGTATTATGAATAAACATAAAAGAAATTTGGCCAATCAGATTCAACTTTCTGTATACGATTCTAAAATTAGTTCCACGGCTACATCTTTACATTATTGATGCTCAGTAGACTGTCTTGTGTTGAATTAAAGTAATTTTAGTATAAATTGAATGTATAGTCTGCCAGTCTGGCATTCTTACCTGAATAATGCAAACGAAAATGCACAAACTACATGTATACGTCTATATATCCCACACGTCACATTCATATATAGCATGGTCTTTACCATGCATATTTTGTTTACTATGAAACCCCCTCGGGCATTTAGGTTTGGCAGTAAAAAAAGAAATGCATTCGAACTATAAGACAAGATTTCGGAGACAGTGATTTCATTGGGTAATCAAAAGGTCACTCTGACGTGACCCCGAATGGGATGTTGTTAGATGTTTGAGAAGTGGTAGTGGATTCGGAACATCTAATTTTAATTAGATTGATAATACATCAGAGTACTAGTATGTAACACCTGTCAATACATGCAAACTTATCCATGTTCACCATAATACAAACCAACAGTGAGTGAGGAGGGCATGTAATGTAGGACAGAATGACATTACCATGATTGCCTTGGGCATGTAATGTAGGACAGAATGACATTACCTTGATGGCCTCGGGTGTGTAATGTAGGACAGAATGACATTACCTTGATGGCCTCGGGTGTGTAATGTAGGACAGAATGGCATTACCTTGATGGCCTCGGGTGTGTAATGTAGGACAGAATGGCATTACCTTGATGGCCTCGGGTGTGTAATGTAGGACAGAATGACATTACCATGATTGCCTTGGGCATGTAATGTAGGACAGAATGACATTACCTTGATGGCCTCGGGTGTGTAATGTAGGACAGAATGGCATTACCTTGATGGCCTCGGGTGTGTAATGTAGGACAGAATGACATTACCATGATTGCCTTGGGCATGTAATGTAGGACAGAATGGCATTCCTTTGATGGCCTCAAGTGTGTAATGTACGACAGAATGGCATTACCTTGATGGCCTTCAGTGAGTAATGTAGGACAGAATGGCATTACCTTGATGGCTTTGGTTGTAATGTAGGACAGAATGGTGTTACCTTGACAGCCTCAGGTCCAGTAAGAGCAATAATTCTTCTGATCCCCTTAGCAATGGCCTCCTCAGACACTATCACCATGCGCCCTATATGTCCAGATCTTTTCAAATGTCTAAGAATGAAATATAATGTAAGAGAATGGCTCTATGAAAATACTTCACTCCAAGGAGCTCAAATTTAAACAATATTCATTAGGTTGACTAATTAACAGGGTTGATGGTTATTTCCTCTCTTTGAGCAATTTAAAAGTTAGAGTTACTGATATATACGATATTATCAGCAAACTAGACTTACGTTCCCCCACAGAATTCCACGGAGGTGAGAGAGGCACCTGGGCCCATGGGGTCGTCCACTAGATCCTTGACATCTACCCCTACAGACACGACACGGACTGGGTCTGGATACACCTGAGGATGGGGAAAAAATACTTGTACCCCACCAACAGTCATTCAGAGCTTCATTCAGACATACATTATCTCAAAATGCTTCTACTTATGCTTTTCTTTTTTCTTCCCATAGAAGAGTTTGAACTTCGGCTAGATTTAGATTGTGTGGAATTCATGGTCAGATTTATTGCACAATACTAAAGAGCATTAAGTGAAAATATGTGAGGATATTAATTCTTATGATAAGAAAGTTACTGATACAATAACAAGCTACACACCTCATCAAACACAGCTCTCAGACCCTGTATCGCCTTGGCAACAGCCAGACTGACATTCATGTCAAACACTTCTCCATTTTTGTCAGCCATTTTGTTAACAATCTCCTCCACCTGCTTTACTTCTGATACTTTCATTGCACCCTGTAAAAGATTAAACAGATTACAAATGTCAATATTAGCCTGAAAAAGATCTCAACCTTAAACAGATTACAAATGTCAATATTACCCTGAAAAAGATCTCAACCTTAAACAGATTACAAATGTCAATATTACCCTGAAAAAGATCTCAAACGTTACCCTTAAACAGATTACAAATGTCAATATTACCCTGAAAAAGATCTCAAATGTTACCCTCAACTAGACTACAAATGTCAACATTACCCTGAAAAAGATCACAAATATTACCCTCAAACAGATTAAAAACATTTCTCAACATCAAAATGTTGAAGAAATCAGCTCTCATGGAAGTGGAAATCTATGAATAAACAGATAATACCTGGATCATTTATAATAATACTCTTAACTAACCTTGGCGGAGAAGTCAAATCTGAGCCTGTCTGGAGCCACCAGTGAGCCCCTCTGGTCCGCCTCCTTGAGTATTTCTCGAAGTCCAAAGTTCAGCATGTGGGTCCCTGTGTGATTCTTCATGACAGAACATCTCCTTTCCTGTTCAAATATAAAATGATGTACATTAATAAACCAATTAGAAAGAAAATCAGACAAGATTACATATTTTTGAAAATTGATGTTTTCTTGAAGGTGGCAAGGGACAATTTTTTTTAATGCTAAACATATGCCGAGGGGATAGGCATGTACATGAGGTAAATAAACAATGATATTCTGGGACAATTTACATCAAACTGAAGTGCCAAAATTGAAAAAGTTTAATGAAAGTTATCACAGCAGAATACATCCTTAAGATGTGACCAGGATATCACCTCATCGAAATTGATTTGTACAATATCTCACCTCATCAATATTGAGTTGTACAATATCTCATCTCATCAATATTGAGTTGTACAATATCTCACCTCATCAATATTGAGTTGTACAATATCTCACCTCATCAATATTGAGTTGTACAATATCTCACCTCATCAATATTGAGTTGTACAATATCTCACCTCATCAATATTGAGTTGTACAATATCTCACCTCATCAATATTGAGTTGTACAATTCTAATAATGAGTTGTACAATATCTCACCTCATCAATATTGATTTGTACAAATCTCACCTCATCAATATTGAGTTGTACAATACCTCACCTCATCAATATCGAGTTGTACAATTTCTAATAACGAGTTGTACAATATCTCACCTCATCAATATTGAGTTGTACAAATCTCACCTCATCAATATTGAGTTGTACAATATCTCACTTCATTAATATTGAGTTGTACAATATCTCATCTCATCAATATTGAGTTGTACAATTTCTACTAATGACTTGTACAATATCTCACCTCAACAATATTGAGTTGTACAATATCTCACCTCATCAATATTGAGTTTTACAATATCTCACCTCATCAATATTGAGTTGTACAATATCTCACCTCTTCAATACTGCATTGTTCAATATCTCACCTCATCAATATTGAGTTGTACAGTGTCTCCCACTCTGAGAACTCCCTCTACAACACCAGTATGTAAGATGTAACCAGCTCTGACCTGCACATTCCTCACACTAAACTCCACATCCTGAAGCAAATTCAACATTGTTAAAGTCATAGGGTACTACTAATAATGATTTACTGAAATCTATAGTCTTAACAAATTTAACATAATTAAAAACTAACTCAATTTCGTACACAAAAACAACATAATTACAGAGACTATTGAGAATAATAAAATGATTAAGCACAGTTTGGTTATTATTTACTGAAGATAAATGTGATTTAGTCTCTGCATGTAAAGAAATTCTTAGAAGTACTTTAAGAATAGCTAAATATTTCCTTATGCCCTTACTGGATCATTCTCTTTGACCATGAAGCCTGTGTCATAGATCTGGCCTCCCTGCTCGGCGTAGAAGCTGGTCTGATCCAGTAATACCCCACACTCTTGTCCCGAGGTCACCTCATCTACAAACTCCTTGTTCTTACGCAGGGCCAGCACTTTACCGGTAGCTGGTTCAAATGCTGAAAAGAAACATCATTTCATTTAACTTAATTCTCAGAGGAAATATAAAATTTAGAAAGGTTAATTACAAGGAATGTATCATCAGAAAATTTGGAGAGAATCAGGAAAACTGACAAAGAAAACTGTAACAGCATAATAATTGAGGTCCTGGTTTGAATTCCCTTTACTCAAGGATGCTCTGTGTGCCAAGTTTGGTTGAAATTGACATGAACAGTCCGTTGATAAAGGTGAGAATATGAAAATGTTACAAGTGCCTCAGCTCAGACAGCATGCCATAAAATATAGACAACTGGTAAATTATGATCCAAAAAGCTCACTTGAGAGTTTGGCTTAAAATAGAAACTTAACTTTTTGTCAGTCAGATCATCAAACCTTTCTTTTTTCTTCAAACACATAATTGTACTTGTCATTCTTGGTGCTTAGTGTTTATGTGTTATTGAATGTCTCTAATTATATAATTGCTTTTCTCGATGGCCTGATATGTATATGTCTCTAATGTCCATGACATACTCACTGTATTTGCCGTTCTCTGTAGCCTGGTATTTATATTTCATATGTCTCTAATGTTCGTGACATACTCACTGTATTTGCCGTTCTCTGTAGCCTGGTATTTATATTTCATATGTCTCTAATGTCCATGACATACTCACTGTATTTGCCATTCTCTGTAGCCTGGTATTTATATTTTATATGTCTCTAATGTCCATGACATACTCACTGTATTTGCCATTCTCTGTAGCCTGGTATTTATATTTTGGGGAGTCATCTGTGGTGGGAACCCCCCTGTTCTGGAGGTCACTGATTGAGTGTACATCCAGCCCAATCAAGTCAGCTACAGTTCCTCCTGACCCCTGGGACAAAATCTGTCAAAACACATTTCTCTCTGATATCATTTTGTTTATATTAGAGATGTTAATTAATGAAAATACTGAGAGGAACACTAAACTCTCACAGCACATTCAAATTTACTAAAAGGCCAGTAGGAACTTTACTTTTCAAGAGAAGATTACTAAAAGAAGTAGAAGATGTTTCTTTCATTATATGTTCATAAAAATGTAATTATAAAAATCAAAAATTAAATCTATATTGCTAAAGCATGCGTTTATTCCCTGTTGGCAACATTCCGTATGGACATTGAAGTTCAAGTCAGTCTTCATCAAATACAACATCTCTGTCTCATAAATATATAGTTAAACATGCTTAGAGCAAAGTACTAGGAATGACCTTCATGTATTTTGGTTCATTATAAATTTAATTCATTATATCCCATGTGTTTATAATAGGTCTCAGAACTACAAGGCATGAAAATCACTTCACTGTAACCAGGAATTCATATAAAAGTGTGTTCACTTTAACTGTGTTTTACTGTATTTCAAACATTATAACCAAGGTAAGGTATGACCAAGGTTAAAATTGTGGATGAAAACAATTATTCATATCTCTCATTTTACCTGGTTTTATTCCAACAAAGAGTTTACCTGAGCTTCTTTTTTGGCGGACTCGTACGTTGGCATGTCTACCTTGAGGCCCTTCTCCTCGGCCATCAGCTCCGTCAGATCCACAGGAAATCCATATGTGTCGTATAACCTCCACGCAATGTCACCTACAATAATCAAAGAAGATATCACTACATGCTTTCCATAGCCATGTGCTGTGTTGTAACCAACTGTATTAGATTTTCACCAATAAAACTGAAAAGTATCCTTATAGATGAAATAGAACTGTCTGGGTTGGTCATTTTATTTATCACAATTTCCAAGTCATCATGCATATTTCTGCAAAAATAAGGAACTTTTAAATGTATCTGACTTTAATTAAAACAGAGCTAAATAGTTGAAATTAACTTGAGACCTGGTAGAGAAGTTGTGTCCCCTAGTTTGCCTATAGTTCTTTCTAGTAACCTTCGACCTCTGTTTAATGTCTTCAAAAACTGAGCTTCCTCTTCATTGATGATATCTTTGATCTGAATTTAAAGCAAACATAAATATTTACAAAGTATCAATATACACTCTCTAAAGATTCACTATTATTTATAAATTAATGAATCTAACAAAATGTTTCTTCAGCAGAAAAACACAAGAGCAAACTTGCTTGCAAAGAATAATGTTTAACTGAATCCTTTTATTCATTTTTTTTTTAAATCAAGTATTCCTTTGAAAAAAATAATTATAGAAATTTCAATTTTCTACCACAAATTGTCCCCAAATTGAATGTCTTTTTGATCACTAAAACTAGTATCTTCTGAGTAGAGATTTATTGTTAATGTATGAGAAATTTTAAACTTACCATATCTGGGTCTTTTCTAAGTTCTGGAAAAGCATCTCCCTGAAAAAAAAAATCTTATCTTTCAGTGACATGGTAAAGAACGTTGGTGGCCATGATATGTGTCTTTATATAGGAAAGTAAAATTGTTTTACTCTTTAAAAATGTATTTTGTTTGTTCTTTCTTTGTATTGTTTTATCTCAGCTCTTACCAGAGAGTCCACAACCACATCTACTAATGAAGCAAACATTCCTGGTTTGGAATTTAGTTTTTCTGAGCCATATCTCACTGCACGCCTCAGAATTCTTCTCAATACATAGCTGTAAATAAAATGCTCATAATGGGCTCCAAAATACTTGCATCATAAACTCAAACCTTACGTGCAGTTTTTATATTGTTATAAAATACTGTGAAATCACAAATTTATGTGGGGGTTAATTTTTTATGTTTTTGAGGTATGATATATATCCCCCATAAAATGCTAATATTTTATACAATATTATTAAGTTTCTTCTTCAACCACGTACTTAAATCCCTTTGAACCAATACTTTTTCTTCAATCCATGAAAATTTGACCCCTTGAAAATTAGGAATTTACAGTATTTCCTAAACCTAAGTAAAAGTTTCATGAATCCCTTTTTGACATGAACACACATCTCTCAAAGCACAATTTATATGTAATAAACTAGAGACACATCAAATCATCTAGTTAACGCTTAATCTACAAGTTTTTTAGATCTAGAACAGTGAAATACGATTGCTTTTCTACATAAATCAAACACAAATGAGGGATTTTTTTTACAGGATATATCCTTAAAGTCCTTACCCTCTTCCCATGTTATCAGGTTGTCCCCCATCAGCCAGAGCTATGGTCAGTGTCCGGGCATGATCCGCCAACACTCTGTAGGCCATGTCCACTCCATCCACATCTGATTTTCCAACACGCCCTTGGTATGGCGGAGAATTTGTTGCCTGAAGGAAAACACCTCAATTACTTTATATTATATCATAGGTAAAAATTCCTCAATTACATTATATCATCAATAAAAATTCTTCAATTACTTTACATTATTTCATTAGTAAGAATCCCTTGATTACTTTACATTATTTCATCATTAAAATTACCTCTATTACTTTATATTATTTCATCATTAAAATTACCTCTATTACTTTACATTTTCATCAGTAAAATTTCCTCTATTACTTCAGTAAAAATTGAAGCAATTAATATTTATGTAGAAGAATGAATAGGGTATGATGTTTAGGCATTGTAAGATATGAAATGATATGTACTGAAATAAATATAGCTGCACTCCAGTGCTATTTTTTTTTAACAATGAAACTATACTCCCATAACTTATCAAAGATTATATATATTGTAATGCAATAACATGTATAAGCAAAAGAAAATAATATAAAGAAAGTACATTTTATTTCTCTCATAAGACACAAGGCATTGACATGACGGAATATAAAAGATTTCGTAGCTCTCACTTTTTGTATGAAGTCAAAGTACGGAGTGAAGAGATCTGTGTCATAGTTGGATGTTTTCCCCTGCATCACACACACAAGACGTTCCAGTCCCATACCACAGTCACAATGTTTCCTTGGTAACTCATTCAATTCGGTTTCTGATTCTCTATAATTAAAGGACATTTCTGTAGACTTAGAGTTAGCTAAATACCGCCCCATCTAACTTAGTGTTAGATACATACTGCCCCATCTAACTTAGTGTTAGCTAAATACTGCCCCATCTAACTTAGTGTTAGCTACATACTGCCCCATCTAACTTAGTGTTAGCTATATACTGCCCCATCTGTTTAACTTAGTGTTAGCTAAATACTGCCCCATCTGTTTATCTTAGTGTTAGCTAAATACTGCCCCATCTGTTTAACTTAGAATTAGCTAAATACTGCCCCATCTGTTTATCTTAGTGTTAGCTAAATGCTGCCCCATCTGTTTATCTTAGTGTTAGATACATACTGCCCCATCTGTTTATCTTAGTGTTAGCTAAATACTGCCCCATTTGTGTAACTTAGTGTTAGCTAAATACTGCCCCATCTAACTTAGTGTTAGCTACATACTGCCCCATCTAACTTAGTGTTAGCTAAATACTGCCCCATCTGTTTATCTTAGTGTTAGCTAAATACTGCCCCATCTGTTTAACTTAGTGTTAGCTACATACTGCCCCATCTGTTTATCTTAGTGTTAGCTAAATACTGCCCCATCTGTTTATCTTAGTGTTAGCTAAATATTGCCCCATTTGTGTAACTTAGTATAAGCTAAATACTGTCTCATCTGTTTAACTTAGGTTAGATACATACTGCCCCATCTGTATAACTTATGTTAGCTAAATACTGCCCCATTTGTATAACTTAGTGTTAGCTAAATACTGCCCCATCTGTTTATCTTAGAGTTAGCTAAATACTGCCCCATCTGTTTCCCTTAGAATTAGCTAAATACTGCCCCATCTGTTTATCTTAGAGTAAGCTAAATACTGTCCTATCTCTTTAAGGGGGAAATATCATAACTCTTAGCCTTCACTATCTTAAGAAGCCAAAAATGAAAATGTACATTAACTAAACTACCTGTTAAACTGTATGAACACAAGATTCCAGATTTCAATGACCTCAGGGTCATCCATATTAACTAGGGCTTTAGCATCACGGCCTCCGACCTTGTCATAGTGAATCTCTGTACACGGACCACAGGGGCCTGTCTCTCCCATCTCCCAGAAGTTATCCTTCATCCCAAATGGTAACACACGCTCTGGGGGTACCCTGAAACAAAGAACTTGTAAATTTATATACACGCTCTAGATGAACTCTGAAACAAAGATCTTGTAAATATAACACATGCTCTGGGGGTACCCTGAAACAAAGAACTTGTAAATATAACACATGCTCTGGAAGAACTCTGAAACAAAGAACTTGTAATTAACATGTTTGCTTCTTATAAATCTATCCCCATGTATATATTATTAGTATATTTACAAGTGTGATCATTGGATTTCTTAAACTGCTTTTAAAGTCATATCCTTTTCTACCATCCTAAATTTCAGTATATTTAGAGTACCTAAATAATCATAAACCTCATCCTTTGTCCAATTTTCCTACTAATTCTAATGTTAAAGAAATATATATCTTGATTATATGTTAAGGAGATGGTACAATTATCGTCACGGAGAGAACATGCATAAAAAGAGGAACCTACTGATCTGTCATGAGCAAGAATCTACTCTTATAGAAGAAAAGTGGACTGAGTTATAATTTACCCTAAGTTGAGCCAAATGTTCCTTGTTTCTTCATCTGGCTGTAGTCCGTACTTTTCATTTCCACCAAAGTATGTGACATACAGGCGATCTTTAGGAAGACCAACTCTCTCTGTCAAAAATTCCCAGGCCCAGCCACAGCATTCAGTCTAGTTATAATAAAAAAAATATTTTTCAAAAATATTGATTCATAAAATGGCATAAAACAGTTTATATTCTAAGCATAGACATGCCATTCCAATAAAATACATAATTTTCAATATTATATGTGAGATATATTTTCTTAACACCAATTAGAAATTCACATTTCAAACATGTGGTATTTTGATTGCTTCACAGTTAACTGCTATGGAAAATTGTGTCTATTGTGAAAAGAGTTATGCCTAGTATACATGGTTTAACTAAATAACTTTTATCATAAGTATATTTAAACACAATCTGTGTTTTATTTGCTCAAACCTTGAAGTAATCTCCAAATGACCAATTTCCCAACATTTCAAAGAATGTGTGATGGTACACATCTTTTCCCACATCATCTAAATCGTTGTGCTTTCCTCCCGCTCTGATGCATTTCTGGGAGTTGGCAGCTCTCACATACTTAGCCATGTCACTATTGGGATCTACGATCTCCAAAAAGATGGGCTTGAACTATAAACAAAAAACATCTGTTTGGAAAAGTAAAAATTTAAAAGAATTTAAAAAATATTAAATATTTTCCACACCTTAATACCTAACATACATTACTAAGGCCAAAAAAAATTAATAACTTGGTTCTCAGACCAGTTTTCTCAGAAATAAATGTGGGAGGGAGGCTTTTTTTCCCCTTCTTATCTCGTAAAAAACAGACGACGGATTTTTGATTTTTTTTTTCATATAATTTCAAAACTAGCAACATTTATTCAACAGTGCTTAAACAGTGAGTGTAGAAATCAAAGATAATTTATTTCCTGCTTCTTTCTCTTTTCTCTATTAGTGAAATGAAGGCATCTTAAAAACCAGACATGTGTTAAACTTATAGAACCCAACACTTTTAGTGATGGTTCTGGTCAATTGCTTACATAACAGAACTAATCTAAGAGTGTTTCAGCACTATAAATAGCGCTTATGATTTTATTAAACATTGTCAAATTTATCAGTCTTTTACCCACACTTAATGAAACGCAGGGGTGTTAAGGAAGCACTAAGATAATCTGACTTGACTGAATCAGTGATACAATATGATGTCATAGTAGGCGAGATGACGTCAAGTTTAGAACACAGGTTTTCTTAATATTGTTATTTAGAGACATAATTTAACTCCTGAAAATGAAAAGAAACGTGCAAATATTAACAAAAATCAAATGTGTTTATTTTATTATGCTGTATCTGTCACTCAAATTAAAATCTCCGACCGATGACGTCATAACTGTTCAACAAGTAACTTGAGAATCGATCATGTTGTGTAACGAGAATTTGGGTAAGACGGCATGTAAAAAGATACGTAAAATGGGGTTTAGAAGCAAATACCGTGAATATTTTGTGTTATTCATGTGAAGTTAAAGTTTGTTAAACAGGTATGTTGATTTATTTACATCGATTATATCTTCTATTGAAGAAAGTCAGCTATTTACGTATCCCGGCTGGCCTTTCCTCTGTCATTCGTGACAACAATAATGCAAAAGAACAACACTAAGCTGGATATTTAAAAACATAAGGTTTGTACATATCGGAAGTTTGTGTTCTAAAATACTTGGAAAGTGCTGCTAGAATCGTGAGGTAAACATGGTTTGAAGAAATATCTCGGGTTATATGTATATAATGCAAAACACCGGGTAAGGTTTCGAGCAAATATGTGGAATAATTATTTTCCCGACCGGACAGTGGGATTCTAGCAGCACTTTTTAGGCATAAGAGATGTTTTTCAACTATATTATTTACTCAAAGAAATTATTAAACCCCGGGGTATTGTTGTTCTGTGAACTTTTTTATTTAGGAATATTTTGCTATTAATAGCAGTCACGTGATGACGTCGAGATGATGCACTAATTGGCCTCAGACACTCCGTGTCTTTATATAATAGTTAGTAATAGTTTACGTTTTATCGGCGACTTTGACAAATTATCAATCTTAATTTTCTTTAAAAAATCTAAATTTCTCGAGAAATGATTTGTATGCTTCCTTAACATACCCGCGAATCTGCGAATCTTGCTGACATCCAAGTTCCGAGGTTGAGGGAGGCATCTTTGATAGCGTTATTGATTGAGTTCTAGCATGGAAAAACCTTCAGAAACCTCCACTTTGTACCATGGAAGTATTACAGTCATTCCCTTATGACTTTGCACTGAAATAAATGCAATCATGGCTAAACTTAATCTTGATGTCTTAGCCTGTTAACTCAAAGGCCATATTTTTGATTTTTAACTAGGCGGCTAAGGCCAATAGTCTGGATCATCTTGATGTTTGTCAAACGTTTTACTGTTTCTAAAATGCAGTCAAAATGCGGTCGGGGATTGCAGATTTTTTTCGGCACCGCATGAGCGCATGAGAGAATTTTTATTTTATTCCTTTGAGGATAAAAATGGGTAATGTGCATTGTTGAATGAGATGCGGGCGGGCCTGAGAACCAAGTTATTAAGAGCCATTCTCTGTAATGACTTTAACTTTTATATAAGAGCTGTGGCACGCATAGTCTCAGAATTTCTCCAAACTCTCTATGATAAAAGTCTTTGATACTGTAAACTCAAATCAGGCAAAAATTGGTTGCTACGTGTCATGGTTACCATAGCAACATGTCCTAAAGTTTGAAAAATGGCATTTTTCAACATATTCAGAGTCCCACAGTTAACGTTTGCAGCAAAGCAAACAAGTGGCAATGATTGTTTCTGAAAGTGTAAGGCCTGCTGTCTTAAATGCATGATAAACATGTTTGGTAAATCAACTACTATATACGTTACTATGGAAACAAAGTATTCAAAAGTAATAATTTTGTTCATTTAATTTTATAAAGTCATACGCTTAAGACTAAAAACAAGTATAGGTTGAAATGCAAGCAAATAATAGACAAGAGATCCTTGTAACATATACCAAAGACGAAATGTGATATTTCTTATAGGTTGGCAATGGTTGCCATGGTTTTAATACCACAAAAGAATTTTAAATTTACTCTCTTAGTGTTTTAATCTTATCCTATCTTTTAAAAAAGAATATTTCTATATAATTGAGGATCAATTTTTAAAGGCGTTGGTGTGACCCTAATTTTCACATTTCAAAAAATTCAAATTCAGCTCTTTAAATAGAGCGTTGCTATGGAAATAAGCCGAAAAAATATGCATAAAAATCTGAAAAATATTATGTTTCCTTGGATACATACCCTTGTATGTAGATTCCCAAAACTTTTATGATTGATATATATGAACAACTAACCTGACTTTCAATTTTGACTACCACCCAATCTCTAACTGGATGCAAAAAGCTGGCACATAGGATTTAATATTGATATAAAATTAACAAAATCGAACATTTTCCCTTCTTGGTAACCATAGCAACAGTGTTGTATTTTTCAACAAACTTTATCAATATATGATATTCAACTTTAGTTCTACCAGATAAGTTCTATTCAAGGTGAGTCAAATAATATATTTCTTTATTAAAAGATAAGTAAATTCCTAAAGCAGCAAAAAATATCACTTTAAACAACTGGTATGTTGTTTCCATGGTTACACTGCAAAGTAACAATTAATCCCTATTTTTCTTATGTTGTCGGTGTTGCAAAGTCCTAAGGATGTATATGTGCCAGTCATGAATTTTATTGTTTTTCCTCAAGATAGTAGCGTTAACCCAATCTTAGCAACAGATTTTGCATGATTACACTGTGTTACCATAGCAACCATGAAAGTTATTTTTAGAATAATATAGCCAATACCTAATTACTTAAGGTCAAATAATTTTATTGTTTTTCTTTGGTTGTTGATTGAGTTTGATCATGTATCATCTATCATTAGTGAATACTGAGCATTTTTCAGCATTTTTCAGCATCTAAAATGTATTCCAAATGTGCCCATGGTTACCACTTACTTAAAGATAAATTCTAAATAGTTTCTTTATAGCATAATTGGCAACAAGGTGTCATGGTTTTGTGAGAATGGTTTGTTTGTTTTTCTTAGTCTTTATTAAGGCTTGATAAAGATTCAAAGTAGCTGAAAATCTCAATTTTTTCAACTTTTCTGGCTGTTACCATGGCAACCTAGACACATAGCAACGAAATTTTATTTGATATATGTTTCTAGTGTCAAGTTGTAATAAAGGGCAAAGTTTCATCAAAATCGGTGACCATGCGTGGCAAAGAAGTTTAAGTGGTTACAGAGAATCGCTATTAATTTTTTAAGGCCTAAACCAGCCTTGTATTCTTTACAAGAGAAATGAGATCAAATGATGGTTATATAGCATGTGACAGAATGGAATAAAATACAGAGACCTGACTGGTACTTAAAACCTGGAACCTCTTCTTATAATAATGCTTAATCAATTAATCTACTGGAAACCTTGGCCAGCATAATTATGATAAAATTTATTATTAAAAATTAGAATTTTTCCATACTGTAGATTCATTTAATCACAGTTTTATATAATAAACATAGGTAATCAAAGATTACGAAGCTCACCTCGACGAATGTTATCTACAAGTAAGGCAAATTTCACATCATATTTTTTTTCTAGTTAGGGTACATCCCAAGATCAATATCCACGCAAGTTTGATTTAATTATAGACCTGCTCAAAAAACTTTTGACCTGTTAAGTAATCAAAGAAAATTTTGGTCAGTTCCAACATCCAAACCAAGTCTGGAAGTTTTCATCCTTAGATGCACCATCTATGCAAGTTTAATCATAACAGGCCATAATATTATATAGCTACTCCAAAAAAATTACCCTGGTCACTCATCTGGAAAATGTACGTCAGATTCAGAATCCAAGGCAAGTCTGGAAGTGTCCATCCCTAGATACATCATCCATGCTAATTTGGTTAAAATATGGCTAAAATTCACTCATGTGGAAAATCTAGGTCAGATCCAGCATCCGAAGCAAGTGTGGTAGTGTCCATCCCTGGATGCATCATCCATGCAAGTTTGGTCAAGGTAGGGCTTATAGTTACTTGGGAATGGACCTGCTCCTTAAATTTAACCTGGTCACTCATCTGGAAAATCTAGGTCAGATCCAGCATCCGAAGCAAGTGTGGTAGTGTCCATCCCTAGATGCATCATCCATGCAAGTTTGGTCCAGGTAGGGCTTATAGTTACTTGGGAATGGACCTGCTCCTAAAACTTTAACCTGGTCACTCATCCGGAAAATCTAGGTCAGATCCAGCATCCGAAGTAAGTGTGGCCATGTCCATCCCTAGATGCATCATCCATGCAAGTTTGGTCAAGGTAGAGCTTATAGTATCTTGGGAATGGACCTGCTCCTAAAACTTTAACCTGATCACTCATCCGGAAAATCTAGGTCAGATCCAGCATCCGAAGCAAGTGTGGTAGTGTCCATCCCTAGATGCATCATCCATGCAAGTTTGGTCAAGGTAGGGCTTATAGTTACTTGGGAATGGACCTGCTCCTGAAACTTTAACCTGGTCTCTCATCCGGAAAATCTAGGTCAGATCCAGCATCCGAAGCAAGTGTGGCCATGTCCATCCCTAGATGCATCATCCATGCAAGTTTGGTCCAGGTAGGGCTTTAAGTTACTTGGGAATGGACCTGCTCCTAAAATTTAACCTGGTCACTCATCTGGAAAATCTAGGTCAGATCCAGCATCCGAAGCAAGTGTGGTAGTGTCCATCCCTAGATGCATCATCCATGCAAGTTTGGTCAAGGTAGGGCTTATAGTTACTTGGGAATGGACCTGCTCCTAAAACTTTAACCTGGTCACTCATCCGGAAAATCTAGGTCAGATCCAGCATCCGAAGCAAGTTTGGTAGTGTCCATCCCTAGATGCATCATCCATGCAAGTTTGGTCCAGGTAGGGCTTATAGTTACTTGGGAATGGACCTGCTCCTAAAACTTTAACCTGGTCACTCATCCGGAAAATCTAGGTCAGATCCAGCATCCGAAGTAAGTGTGGTAGTGTCCATCCCTAGATGCATCATCTATGCAAGTTTGATCCAGGTAGGGCTTATAGTTACTTGGGAATGGACTTGCTCCTAAAACTTTAACCTGGTCACTCATCTGGAAAATCTAGGTCAGATCCAGCATCCGAAGCAAGTTTGGTAGTGTCCATCCCTAGATGCATCATCCATTTAAGTTTGGTCCAGGTAGGGCTTATAGCTACTTGGGAATGGGACTTGCTCCTAAAACTTTAACCTGGGACGCCGACGCTAACGCCGACGCCGACACCGACGCCGACGCCGGGGGTATAGCATAAGCTCATCTCGACTTCGTCGAGGTGAGCTAAAAATGATTTCCTTTTCATACTGTTGCTTGACTGTAATCACAATTTTATATGGCTTATTTCACTTTTTAAATGCATGAGGTACTTTTTTTACACGCTTAAAGGACTTATCGCATGATCTTTCAAATATCGTAATTTTATGAAAAATATTATCTAAAACCTTGTTTATTAAAATACTGAATACAATAAATGTTATTGAAAGCATATTTTAAGTGATATTGAGAGTTGAAATTCAAATACGGCAATATGCATATTTCAGTCAGATTTCGGCGAAATACTGCTCTGATGTCATAGGCGACAATTCAGGGATAGATAGATGAGAATATGTAAACTATTTATGGAGTTATCAACGACAAATGCAGCTTAATTACGAAATATGCTGAAAAAATTAATTCCTAGCGTGCTTTTTCATTACTTTAGAAACATTAACTAGTTCTAAGGTATAAGACTTTTGAGATATTTTCGTTTTTTATTCGGAACATTCAGAATCTGTACAGCTCGGATTACGGCAATGTTTCGTGATCTGAAAATTATTTTTCAAGACTGCCATCCTTTACAAAACATAAGTAAATTAATGTTATGCTAAAAACAAAGAATAACAAAGTTATACAATATTAAATTTGTAAATCAATTAAGTTAATACATTTGATAAGATGACAAATCAAATTGTATTGTGATGGCGAGTTTCTTCGTCTTTGCCGTGTCTCCTTCGATATCGTCGCTGCTATTTTTACAATGTTAACAGATTTTTCCTTGCTGACAATTCTAAAATATAAGATTGGATATTCAATTTCATATCAATAAAATCAGTGATGTGGTCGTCCACAATGCAGAATATTCATGTTGTATCGCGTATATTTTAGTAAGATTAACTGTAGAGCTGTTCAGCCATTGTCGCCTTTGACGTCACAGGGTCACATAATTGCTATCTAATTAACTTAGATTTTTAATTCAGAGGTTTTCATTTGAGTCAATAATTGGTTAATTACCGCGGTTTATCTGCAGCAAAAACACAACATTTATAAACTGTGGTCATAAGGAACGTTTTAAGCTTTTAATTTCAAATAATTTAGAAACATGCGATAAGTCCTTTACGATCTAACATTCCATTTGTAATTTTACAGCACACAGACACCATTACCTGATTCATTCCAGCATTGGTAAACAGAAGAGTGGGATCATCAAGGGGAACAACTGAGGAGGAATGTACATAAATGTGTTCCTTCTCCTTGAAGAAATCCACAAACAGATTTCTAATCTCTGTACCTGTCAACTTGCTTTCCATGGTTGGTGTAACCTGCTACACCTAAAAAGTAAGAATAGGTAGAAAGACGTTTGGCGGGAAAAAAATAAAATTTCTCACAAAGAAATCCTCAGGCAATATACAGGTGAATCAGGAAGTTTGAATGATGTGTCTGTAAATATCAGATAATTAATGCACTCAGCACCTTTTCCACAAAAAAAGGTAGGTATGAAGAATGATCAATTGATATTCAAAAAGATGAATCAAGCATAAAGAAATATTAAATATTGTAGAAAAATGAATACTGAAGACTAGGAAGTACATAAGTAGTCAATGCTGATTACATAACAGTTGCATCAAATGACAAGGCATTAACTATACCCTAATTCTAGGAGCACTAATATTCTGTGACAATTCAAAATAAGGATATTTTAACAAATATTTAGCACTTCTAACACTGTCAGCTTACAATAAACAATGTAGAATGTCTGTGGATCATATACTATATGTTACTTTATGTATAGTACATTATTAGTGATTTTTTTTTATTCCATGTACCATAATTTATATTTTCCATTCATCTAAATGTGTCCAATTACCACAGGGGCTAGCTTGCTTCCAGAGTGTAACATGATATTTATTTTAAAAAATTATATACCAGCTTCTAAAACAACACATGGGAGGATGCCATCTTGGACCCCTTCCTTCGCTACAAAATTGATTTCACTTTATTTCTCCATATTCTACAAACTTACTACCTCGGATATTTTAAGTAATGATTCTCCTTAGACACAATGCCTGAAATATCCCCCTGGAGCCTTTTAGTTTAATTATTATTATAAATCCTTTCACACTCTGGGAGCAATGACGGATACATGTTAACATATGGGCAAACACATCATACACTTTATACCTGGACTCAGGGACACTTCTCTATAGCTAAGACTATTTCGTTCACACGAAGTCTGTATATTACACCAAATATAGTAAGTTAACACATATATACTTAAACCCTAAATGAGTTGGTGATGCAATACGGATGCAAAACGTTCGAATTTCCTTAAGTGAGAAATCAGTTCCATGTGTAATATACACTTGTGAAAGTCAAAAAATATATGTATCTATTGATATTACACAACAATATCTACAATTTAACAAACTACTCCTAATTTCTGATACAATACCTCGGTTTGGGTGCACCTTTCCACTAACTAGGCCTGCAACGTGATTATATGCCTCCTTAGCGGTGTACAGTCAAATTTTACCCAGAATTAAGTACACCACAGTCTAACTTACGTGTTTTCGATCATTATTATGAATTCAAAACTCTTTTATGAAAAAATCTTTTTTTTTTAATAAATTCATAAATATCTTACCCTCCAAAATGCACCTTAATCAAACTGAAGAAGTAATGACAAGTTTCCAGGGGTTAGATATGTCGAGATACAATCGCCAACGAAGCCGAGTTCAGTTTCGTACATTAAAAAAACATAGCCCCGATTACAAAACTAAACTTTCAAGAAAAAGTATTTTGAAAATTTCCAGAGAGAATAAAGATCTTCTTTCGATCAGTTATAGCTACATTGGCAGGCAATGATATTTTATTTTCGTATTGTGAGAAGCTTTACATCATGGTTGATTTCGCGCCACATTTCAAACCCTTATTTCTAACACGTGCTCGTCACATGTATAAATCATACATAAATCTAACATAATAATTTATTGGCGCATTTGATTCATATCAATTATTCCCTACGCAGACACAACTGTGACGGATTGGACAGATGTTAGCCTTTTTCCTCCGAAATCTTTCCCCCCTCCTACAATCAGATCTGCAGTTCCCCTCTACAAAGGCGGCTCGAAAACGTCAGGATTTTTAAAAGTATCATTAGACTTGACAATTTTATATTTAGAATAATACACCCACCCTTCGGCCTAGAGAAAGTAGACAGCTCCCAGGGGTGTAGCTAAAACTTTGATGAAGTATAAGCACAAAATACCCTGTATACAGCGAGGGGTCTGGAGCGGGTCCAGGCCAGCGCACTGGTCGGGGGTTCAGCCCCCCCCCCCCCCGGGTAAATGAATATCATGAATTTGAGACCCCTGGAAGACAAATTCTTGGCGTTTAAAATACTAAATTCTGGGTCTCTTTATTTGAAATGAAATTTCATATTAAGTAGAAAAAAGGCGCATTCCAACTTTTTTACCAGAGGTCCTTAGTTAAGAGAGTTTTCAAATTTTTTCGGCGTTATCAAATTTAGAACATGAAAAGAAAGTTATTCAAAAAGTATTAAAAAATAATCAGACACAAAGCAATGTTTTACAATAAATAATGAACAAATACAAGTTGTTTTTTTTCCCAGAGAAAAGCTAGTCTATCCACAAAGAGGTTAACTCAGGTGGACAGCCATGTAAAAATAGTCAATTGCTGTTTATTCAAATTAATTAATTCTTAATTTAAAAGACAGTCTAATTCCTCTTTTAGAATGTAATTTTTATAAAAGCATTTTTTTTGTAATTTTTTGCATATTCTTTACTGTGTTATTGTAAAGTCTAAAATACAGTTGATGCATAATAAGAAATGACCTTTAGGTCTTACAAGAAAGTTTTTTTAAATCAATTTTGACACTTATGTCAAAAGACCACGTAACATTACATTATCATACTAATTTAAATATATATATTTAAGAATTAAGAAAAGGTTTCGTTAATATTTATCTTATTAGATGCTGATGATGAGTAGAACTAAACGAGCATTAATGTCAGTCGTTTGAAACCCGTTTCAAATCCTATGCATTGCTGCGTTAATTTCTGAATATGATGTTCACCTCTTGAATACTCGCACGTTGTTTAATCCTTTGGTTATGTTGTTGATATGTTACCAAATTTTATTCTAATTTTAATAAATTACCCTTTTTCAAGATTATCGAGGGTTTTAACTTTTTCAAATAAAAGTATCAGTGCTAATGCATTTTCTTGACACGTCAAAAAAAAAAAAAGTAGTGCGGGTCAATTAATTTTTTTGTATCATTAATTAGAATCACCATAACTTTGACTATAGGTAAAAATATGTTTATGTGCCAAGTATTTTTCTTCATAGAAATATATGCAAAGTAATAGACCATGTCTTTTTAAGATTAGAAGTTATTTTAATACTCAATAATGTATTGGTTGAGAAAAGGATGTCATTTTTAAATACTCGAACTAACCATGCATCCAAATCCACGTACACCTCGTTTCTAGGCATCCTGCATATATTGAAGATCTTATTTTTTAAAATCAGATGAAGCAACGTGGAAATTGAGATTATTGGCTGATCAGACATTTTCGAAATCTTATTGAATTAAACCGTTGTTTAAAAAAAAATGTTGACAAACACGCATGCACATAAAAAAAGAAAGCATGTATTAAAGATAACATATATATGTATATAGAATCTTATTTAAAGGATTCCATGGCCGGCAACATGCATGTAGAAACATCGTGTCACTAGGAAATCCCCGGTAAGTGGACTATAGCTAATTTTATCTGCTTAATTTGAATTTGATACAGTGTTTACAAGTGTCTACGGATAAGTATTATCGGCTTCCTGGACAGGTGCGCCTATATTGAGAAGCTCGCTGTGGCGACGTGTAGAAAACAGCGAAAGAGTAATTTAAGGTAGGATGTTTAAAATGTTTTAATTTCTTGTTGAAAAAAAGTCTTCTATCGCAGTTCGTCAACGTCAACAATTAATTGTCCTATTTCTTAACTCTTTTCTTCAATATTGTCCACATTAAAAAATATTAGCCTGATAATTTTTTTATGCTTAATTTAAGATATACAAGTATCTGTTCTATATTTTAAAAAGATGGGGGGGGGTGCTGTTATTTTCGGCCATTGAATAAAGTTAGAGGAAATAAGTATGTCTGACTGTAAGAACCATCCATGATATTGACTATTTTATCTTACAAACGACAATATTTAATAATAGATTCTTTGCTCCTATCGACGTAATATTGTAGGAAACCATTATCATTGAAATATTTTAAAGAAATCTTCTCATACCATGTACCATATACAAGCACACATTTTTGTTATAGTGTTGTAAATCCATAAATTAATCGAAATGTGGCTACATGGACTTAGAAACTAAGGGGGACACGGGGTGGCGGAAGCGAACCCCCCCCCCCAACAATTTTGCCAATATGTAGGATACTATAGAAAAAAAAGCTACATGTTCTTTATGCTTGTGTAATTTTTTTTTGTTTGATTGACTTGTCATGAAGTTTTGCTTGGTAGCCCCCCCCCCCCGAAAATGTGAAAATGGAAAATGTTTGGTTGTGCTTCTTAACTGAAAATGCCTCCTATGGGCCTGGGTGTAACAATGAACTTCATATTTAGTGTATCTTGCAAGAGAGAGAGAGAGAGAGAGAGAGAGAGAGAGAGAGATTTAGTTATATACAAGCTGTTCAACACATGATGCTTTGTCAGTTAATAATAATACCCCCCCCCCCCCCCCGATTTAATCACAGGATCTGCTGTTTACTACACTGATGATATTTTATTGACGGTGAGATCGATCATAGAATGGTTGAATACACTAAAATTATGACCGTAGGAACCGGGGGCACCGGGGGGGGGGGCGCCCCCCCCCTCAATAATTTTGCCGATATATAGAAAACTATAGAAACTAGAAAACATTGCTACTATTTGCCGATATATAGAATACTATAGAAAACATAGCTACTGTATGCTTGTGCCCCCTCAATAATAACGTCTGATGACTTTTTTTTTCTTGTCAAGGAATTTTGGTAGTTGATAGTGCCCCCCCTCCCCAACTGAAAATGTATGGTTGTACCCCCTCAAAGTGGAATTGCATCCTACGGGCCTGAATATTTCCTTGAAAATGTTTACTCTTTGTATTTTTTGCGGATACATGTATACTTTTTCATGTATGTAGTTATCCCCCTCCCCCCTGTTCATAACGTCGTTGATTGCTATAGTAGTTATCATGGTTATAAGGCTGCTGTGCCTACATGTATACTTCCGTCTTTTGAGTTTTAAAGAACAGCACCTGCCAAATGTTGCAGTTTATGAATAAAACAGTCTTCCAATTAATTATTCAAATAAGGATAGGGGCAAGGAGAAAATTTTAAAATAGCCTGCTGAGATACATGTTAGCTGTCAGTGTGGAATTTTGATTTGGATGAATATTTTGTACATAAGCAGGCGCAGGCTGTGGTGTCGGGTTAATTTGTTAATGATTTATAATGCCATAATATTGATGACGATTTGAAGTGTACCCGGGAGATATCAGAGAACACAGAACTCTTCGTCATTTAAGTTCGTGTCATTGCAGCCGGTTACGTCGTAGTGAGCCCCATGTAATGTTCGATGAATTGTAGTGTGACCATTTTTCTGGGATCGTGAGGATATGGTCCACTTTTAATATCTACGTTTGCTCACAAAGATTTATCTTTACTGCCGGTAATACTTGTTTATGACGCCTGGGATGTTGCATATTGATTTTAGGTTGTTTAATGGATTTTAATAATTATGAATCATTATGCAGGTGAGTTTGGTTACATTTTTGGTCTACTTTTTTGTAAAACACTTTTTTTAAGAGAAAAGAAGAGTTAAAAATTAATGTCCAAAAGCTTCCTGGCAGTATTATTGACGTCTCTTATTATACATGTATGCTGGTAATGCACTTGAACAAATTAAACAGATATTTGTCAAATTATGTCATAAAGTAGAGCATAATTTCTCGCCTCGAGGCCTGATAAAGATTTATTCGCGCAGAACAGATCCATAACTTACAATGTAAATAAAAGACAACATCAAAATAACACCCCCTCATTTTTAATAAAGTATCAAAGTTAAAAAAAAACGATTAAGAGTTCTGATAATTTTAAAGCAAGACTGTTATTCCGTCATGGGCTTATGATGTGAATAAATTATTAATGTATCAGCACATGCTCTGATGACATTTAATATCCACAAGATTCTGGAACTTTGCACTATTTTCTGGAATGCAAACACTTTACTCACTGCAAGGACTCAATGAGGAAAACTTGTTAATATATTAAATATCACTTACTTGGATTGGATGTGAAAAACTATTTAGAGTGCCTCTTTGGGTTTTGCTGAACGCTCCACATTTTAATTAAGTTTATTAAACAGTCTGATCACTGATTGTACATTGTATATTAAACTTTATAAAATTTATCAATAATTTATTCTTTCACTTCTACAGTACTAACAGACTCCATAATATTAGTTTATAATCTTTCAAAATAATACATCTTGATCATGTTAAATGAGAGAAAATGCAATTATCTGACCCATTAGACTGAGGAAGATTAATCCCCCCCCCCCAATGATATATTTATTTAAGGGACTTCAAAAAATCACCTTAAGTAGCTGTTGTATATGGAATATCAGAAAACAATACACTTTCAATAAATGACAAAATTACACATATACATTGTGATAATCTGAGCACAATACAAATACAATTAATGATAACAGTGTTAATTTGAAATTACATCAGGTCAAAGATTGCATTCCAGGGATTAAAAATACTTAGATTAAAAGTTTGCTTACACAGTACAACTGACTCCCAGTGCTGCACAAATAGCAGCAATTAATTACAAAAAAGAGAGTCTATTAGTTCTCTAACTAATTGAAGTATTTTCAAGTTTTATTCATTGAAGAAATAATCTGTTGATAAATGCACCTAAAAAATTGTTGTTAATTGATGACTTAAGTGTTTATTTGTTAAAGATGTTTTCAAAAAGAAGTAATATATAGGACAAAACATATATTGTTTTCTGAATATCAGATGACTGGGAGTTTAATGGGAGAACTAATTCATGCAAAAACCAAGATATTGTGCAATTAATGAATATTCATAATAATTAATGAAGATAAAAGCTTATATTTTGTCATTTACTGACACCCTCCAGAAATTGGCCATTAATAGCAAGCCTCATCAATTACAGGGAAATAAGATTCAGGAGTTTACACAGGACGTTTGCTGGGGGATATTATCCCTCGTATTGGTCCAATGTGAATGTGAACATCACAACAGGTTAATTCAAAACCTTGTGGATGCTTCATGTGTAAACTTCCTCAGGGGGAGGACATTTAGACTTTGTTACCTTTACTAATATTTCCTTGGCTGAACCCATTCATTTTAACAGAAACAGTGTCAGAAGGAGAAGTTTAATTACTGCACAGAATAATATAAAAACGTGCCACTTACACAGTAACAATTTATTATGTGTAGATGGTTTATCTAGGAGTGGGGATCATTTATGACAGTGTTATTTACTGGATCTATTTTACAATAGTGTTTAACTCATTCTTAATCAGGTGAACCTTTTTTCCCCTTCCTATTTAATATCCTTTATTGGTTTGTGAGTGACAGAAGGCACACACAGGCTTTCTATAGCGGAGTGCTATGCTAATGGATATTTTTCAATATTTGAGTTTTACTACATTGATCACTTTAGTACAGGATTGTAAATGGTAGCTTCAGATTTTTTATTGTTTCATCCTCTCCAGATTGGGCTATTAACCTGCCATTTTGCTGCTCTTAGTTAGATTGAATCACATTTTGGTTTTCATGATGTTGGCTATTAATCGGTTTTCTTTCTAACAGACATGAAGCTTAAGAAAGGATGATTTATACCTGATGCAGTGTTTAACAAATCAAGTACCTGCTGATTTGGGAAAAACCTGTTGTTGGCTATCCCAAAAAAAAAATTGTGATGTTAACTGTGGAGGATTGATGCAGAAAATGTAGTGAATGGTTGAAATTACAAATGATGACCAACAACAATACACTGGGCATCAGCCCCGTAGGGAAGAAGAGCTCTCGACGCCGGAGTTATGGACTCGTTCGAGAGGAAGGGGATCGCTCCATGTGGAAGGAGTTCTCATTGTCCCATATCAAGGTACTGTTATAGAAAGTCCCATATCAAGGTACTGTTATAGAAAGTCCCATATCAAGGCACTGTTATAGTCATAGAAGATGAAGTCCCATATCAAGGTACTGTTATAGAAAGTCCCATATCAAGGTACTGTTATAGAATGTCCCATTTCAAGGTACTGTTATAGAAAGTCCCATATCAAGATACTGCTATAGAAGATAAAGTCCCATATCAAGATACTGTTATAAAAAGTCCGATTTCAAGGTACTGTTATAGAAAGTCCTATGTCAAGGTACTGTTATAGAAAGTCCTATGTCAAGGTACTGTTATAGAAAGTCCCATATCAAGGCACTGTTATAGTCATAGAAGATGAAGTCCCATATCAAGGTACTGTTATAGAAAGTCCCATATCAAGGCACTGTTATAGAAAGTCCCATATCAAGGTACTGTTATAGTCATAGAAGATGAAGTCCCATATCAAAGTATTTTTATAGAAAGTCCTATGTCAAGGTACTGTTATAGAAAGTCCCATATCAGGTACTGTTATAGTCATAGAAGATAAGTCCCATATCGAGGTACTGTTACAGTTATAGAAGATAAGTCCCATATCAAGGTACTGTTACAGTTATAGAAGATAAGTCCCATATCAAGGTACTGTTTTAATCACAAAAGATAAGTCCCATATCAAGGTACTGTTATAGTTATAGAAGATAAAATGAAGAACATATACAAGTTTAAAACAGAAGGGCTCATGTTCAAGAATGAATTTAAATTTTCTTAAATTGACATATTAGTAACCAATACAACAATTAAAGGCATATGAAATTCATTTCCTCCTTACCCATGGGTGAATTTATTATTTTTTAATGAAATGCTATTGAGGTAATTGCTTCCTTATCATTATTTAAATAGTTTTCCTAACAATTTATACACATTTGTTATTGCACTGGTTTATGCACTGGCTTAATGCATTAAAAAACCACAAGTGTCTCTATTTTAGTAGTTTACTACCAGCATAGTTTTAGAATTTCCCCACAAGCGGGGAGATTTCACTGCCATCAAAGGCTGCATTCATTCTTTTTATCTGTTCTATAATTAGAAGTTTAAACAGATCATTTTGCCATATATGCATGTTACTAAATAAAATTACTTTTAATATAAAAAAAATTAAATATTTCTTCTTGTCCTGCTTGTATTCATGCTCACTCACTGCAAGTATATTTGTAGAATATCAGAAAATATTGCATTGCCATCAAAATTTTAGTGGGCAGTTATTTATGATATTTACGATCACATCAAGTCATTGCCAATGCAGTGTCACAATGTTTTCTACGATCAGCATGTTAGAGATATGTGTCATCATAATAATTTGTTTATTAGCAATACCAACTTTTTCCACACAATTTTATGTTAGATTGAAAATGATTTCATGTACTGAAACGAATTCTATAAATTAAAAAAAAAATACTTGTAATAAGGCGTAATTAAAAATTTCAAAACACCTTTTTCTTAACATTCTATGTTCTATATTCGGAATCCATGTAATAAGTTTGTAAATTTCACATTTTGTCAGTAGTGATTAGTTAATTGTCAGTTAGTGATTAGTTGATTGTCAGTTAGTGGTTAGTTAATTGTAGAGTGATGGAAGATCTCATGTCTTCCACTCTGCTGAGCTCATTTTTAGGATATTTTACACCTTTAATACCATTATAAATATCATCATATCATCAAGCTGTGACCTGGAGTCAGAGCAGGAGAGGATCATGCATAAAACTGATCATGGTTGGCATGGAATCTGAAATATTTGAAACTTTTTAAAAATTTTTGTCACATTTCTTTTTTTTTTTTTTTTTTTGGGGGGGGGGGGGGGGGGGAGAGGAGGAGATATGGTATATGTAAAAAGTCTTTAGTTTTAAACTTCATTTAGCTTACTGACTTATACTGACATTTTATATCTTATTTATGATAATACAGGTGAAATGAAAACAAGCTATCAGAAATTTTTTTTTATTTTAGTTCCAAATTTACATACCTGTTTTATGTACACTATAAACTCATTTAGTGAGAACTAGTGGATATAGCAAATTCCGAGTTAAAACCAAGGTTTTTTGGGGACCCCTAGTGAAATTCTAAACAATTTCATGTAAAATTTTATGGTTATAGCAAACTTTGATATAGCTAATTTACGTATATCATGAAGTGATTTTGTGTCCCGTTATTTAAGGTTAAAATAAGGATATCTTTTATAATGAATTTCAATGATCTCAAAATTTTAAAAACTGAATTGACATTAGCTTCATTTGTTTAATTAAGGTGTTAGTTTGTCATGTGACATTATATTTTGAATTTGATAACTACAATCTAGATTTTACTACTTGGTTAAACTTTGGTCTTTTCATATTAAGAGAAATTGCATGTTTGTACCAGAAATTTTCCACTTACTAGACCTGTCATTGGAATATTTTGCTTTCACCCTGGTCCCTACAGCAAGCTGCAATTACTGGAACAAAATCCAATTTGTCAAGTCTTTGTCTGAAAATAAATGGAAGGGGATAAAATGGACAGTTTTCATTTTAATCTGTCATAGAATTTTATAGGCTTCAGTCAGAGTCTGTAGTTAAGAAGGTGGAGGGGGATATCATTTTTACAAGTGTGTCCATCATTCAGAAAGTAAAAAAATGTCTAATTGTTTTCTCCCAGTGTTCTGAACACAAGAGTTTCTTAATGATTTCACAAACATGACAGACTTGTTAATCATATAAAATATTGTACTAATGTAGATTCCTAAATATAAACAAAAAACGTTTATCACTTTATTTTGTGAGATTAACTTCACCTACACTAAAAAACTACTTGCTATCATTTTTATATTTCTAGAATATGTGTAAAAACTCTAGATCAACAGCCCAGTCACAAATTCATATTCTTGCAATTTATGTCAAAAAGTCATTTAGCAAATATTAGGTACATGCACAAAAAGGAACCTACTGTAATCATACATATGCTTTATATTCATTTATATCTTAGTACCTTCAAATATCTATTTCTGAGTTAGATCTTTACTGTGTTCAACTTGCCCAACCAAAGGCTTTAATGATCTCTTTCTCTCTATCTCTTTAAAAAATTATATATAAATAAATAAAATAAATGTACTGTACAACTTAATTCTTATGCATTTTCTATTCATGTGTAACTTTGTGACAGAAACCTCATGGTCATAAATTTCATCATAAACTCATGTTTTGTTTTTTTTGTTTTTGGTTTTAGGACACCTTCAAAAGCTTACAAATGGAAGAATTGTATCAGTCGTATTGTGTCCACATGAAGAATTCCCTGACGATTGTCCTTGTTGTCATGGCAACACTAATCTGTCTTACCGTTTTATTTTATCATCTTTTTGACACTCAGGTGAGATTGGTGTGGAATTTCTCAAGTTCTTTCACTTTTCAGACACTATGATTTAATCGTGATTTTCTGAATCAGCAATACATGTATCATCTATATTAAGCTAAAAAGTGTCTCACCTTAGAGAAAGCAATAAAAAAATTCTCTATCTCTTTTTTATTGTTTCCATATATTGCAATCCTTGATGTTGTTTTTCATCTTTCTGGGAAAACTTTGCATCTTTGAAAATCATCTTCACTACTGATGGGTATTAGGCAGGCAAACTGTTTCCATTATTATAATAAACACTATAAGGAATTGAAATTTATGGCCCTTGAGCCCATGAATCAGACCCCAGGGTGGGGCTAATTTGGTTGTATGTTAAAAATACTTTACATCTTTCAAAATTTTCTGCCTATATACTCATGGACATTGAGCAGGTAAACTATTTACACATTTACAATTAGTACTAATCCCTTATCAAAATTTAAAAATTCATGTCCAAAAGGTCTATATATGTGTTCAGGCCCTGTAGTTGGACAGGTGGGGCTAAGTTGGTCATGTACTTGAAATACATTACACTTATGAAAATCTACATCATTACTCACAGACATCTAGGAGGAAAACTTTGCATGGTTATAATGCATGATTATAAAATACTTTGCCCTCTATCAAAATTGTAAAATTCATGGCCCATAGGTTCAGGCCAAGGGTGGCTCTTAGTTGGTTATATATTTGATAGTTCATTACATCTTTAAAAATCTTCTTCATTACTCATGGATGTCTAGCAGGCCAATTGTTTGTATCATTAGAATAAGCAGCCAGCGCTCTCCAAAAATTATAAAATTTATTTCCCCTTGGTCCAGGGATCAGGTGCCAAAGTGGGCTTATAAAGTTGGTCATTTTAAAAACTTATTAAAACAAGTACAAGCTTTATCTTCTTCATTCCTGAACTTCTATGAGACAAGCTGTATGATTATCATAATGACTATAGAGTCCTCACCAAACTGTCCAATTTTTGTCATGAGCTAGGCTAGATTCCAGTTCTAGGCGCTATAGGGTTGTCAAAATTCTCAGGTGATCATCAAGGCCAGTGGGCCTCTTGTTATACCCCCCACTTGAAAAGTATAGTGATGGGTGTGTCCGTCTGTACATTCATCAGTCTGTTACGCTTTGAGGTACACATCTCTTATCCGCAACTTCTCTTATACCACTGAATAAAATTTAATGAGACTTTCACAGAATCTTTGTTACATAGTACATGTACCATTGTGCACCTCCTATTTCATTTTTTGATTGGACACGTATTTCAGGTTTCCAATAGCAAAACATAGACACTGCAATTCTTTCTATATTATTGAGGGGTAGCCATCTTTTATCTGCATCTCCTCTCATAACACTGAATAAAATTTAATGATAATTTCACAGGATCTTTGTTACATTGTGCCATTATAAACATATGAGAGGCGGGGTGTATCATTTTGTGAGCTATTAGTGCTCACAGTACCTCTAGTTTTCAGTTTATTTTAAAAAATGAATATTAATGCATAATTTTCTATAACTGACTTTATTATATATTTGTTCAATAATACAGGATTTTTGCATCCCTGATATGAACACAGCCACGCGCCCTGTATTACACACCCTGTATCAGCACCCTTTATTTTACCCTTTATCACACCCTTTATTACACCTTTCTGGAACATCTCTGTATTTTTCATTCGGAGTACCTCGGATCTTTTTCTATTAATTGTTTATAAAGTTTATTTAAATTGTAAATTTTCATCAGATATTTTATGCTATTCAAAATAATTATTTGTTTAATTTATAATTATTTCATTTCTTATCGCTGTATGCATTGCCTTTGGAAAAAAATAATGAGAAAGGAAATTCAACGAAAAAAAAAGAACATATTCAATTATTAAGAATTAATTAATTTACAGGTTTATATATGATTTTTTTGACACTATTTTCAAATATATAATAAAAACAACAATACATGACAAAATCTGTATCACACCCCATATCAACCCTCGACCAATATCAGCTCTCTGGCCTTCAGCCCTCGGGCTGATATTGGAGTCTCGGGTTGATATGGGGTGTGATACAGATTTTGCCATGTATTATTCTCTATTTAAATTTCACATTGCAGGAAATGGCAAGTGCAGAGTTTATTTCACACACAGTGATTGTGGCCTCAGGGATTGCTGGAAACTGTTTATTTTTTGGTTTTGTGGTGCGGAATAAATTCTACTGTCGATACCCCACTTGTTTATCTATATCATACTGGATATTCCTCATTGTACTGCTCAATTTATATTTCAATGTGCCATCTCATAATAGACGACCAACAGACGATGTTGTAGTGGTGTTTTATACCATTCTTGTGTGCTATACCATGCTACCACTTTCTAAGTGCTGGTCCCTTGTGCTTGGTGCTTTGACTGTCGTGCTGCAGTTGATGTCTGCAGGATTTCTAGCAGAGGATAAGAGACTTCTTGTGGGACAGGTGAGAAAATTTTCTGCTGTTAATTAAATTGGTAACAGACAAAGTGATCATGATTGATGCTGATGAGAATTTGTACCCACATGATGATGAAGTATATCCAGTTCATTTATCAATTATCAGTTATACATTTTGAGAAATGAAATAATATAATTATTTTCAGTGAAAGTAGTTCTCTATATTTAAATGCCATTTAAAATTTAAAAAATACTTTTAAATACATGTATGTACTTTCATCACATCAAATGAAGACCAGAGTCTAAATTTACTTAATGTGAGGTGTTTTAAAATACTATATACAGTTGAACTTCGGTATCTCGAACACTGATATTTCGAATACCATAGCTATGTTGAAGTGATTTGGAAGTACCATCCACTTATTCTTTTAGTATTCTACCCTAGATATATCAAATCATTGGATATCTCGAAGTTTCTTCTTTAATGGTCCCATCGAGTTTGAGATAACAAGGTTTGACTGTATGTGTATTTTTATTTGATTAAGGATTCAGATTTTGTGTCTGGAGCAATCCTTTGTGCATACTTAAAAAATACCACTAAAATTTAACTTTATATCAATATATATTACATATTGCAATATATTATGGACATGCAGTGGTAATGTATGAAAGCACAAGTTTTAAGAGTTCCTGGCCCATCCGGGCTAAATTTGGAATGCAGTATAAAATACAGAGTATAAACTGTATAGAGAACTTTCTTATCCTTCTATCCTGAATGCTAATTTCACCTTTTTATTTAATGTTAAAATCTATTATATAGTGACTATTGCACTAATGAAGTTGATGATGAATGCTCTAAGAATTTTTTTCTTTATTGCAGCTGATAAGTAACTTTGTGATTCTGGTGTGTGCCAATATTAATGGAATGTACCACAAATACTTGACTGATCTTACACATCGACGCACATTTCTAGAGGCGCGGAATTACATACAGTCCATGTTCAAACTAGAAAGAGAGAAAAAACAGCAGGTAGGATTTCTGTGTGAGTTAGAGTTCTCCCATTGACATTCAGTTGTCATTGTTAACCCTAAAGCTGTCAGAGGGTTTGAGTACAGGCTCAGGGGAGGGACCAGGTTTAAAGACCAGTCTACCTCACTCTTCTTGCTTCCATTCATTATAGGCATTTAAAGGGGCCTGGACACAGATTTGAAGTTAATATTTTCTCAAATTTTCTGTATAATATCATGACTTATTTTGCTATAGCATTTGGCATGGAAATATAATTAAAAAAACAACTTATTTTATCTGGAAATTATTGAAACTACGAATTTCGGGACATGTTTGATTGACACATTCTTGCACTTTTACAAAGTAAACTTTATCCTCAACACTTAAATTTCCTGAGTTATAGTTTTAATATTTTTCATTAATACACACAACAAAATTGCCACTTTTCTTAAGTATTAAAAATAAAATTAAAATATGTGAAAGTGCAAGGAAGTGTTAATCAAACGCGTCCAGAAATTTGAAGTTTTAATAACTTTGAGATGAAATAAGATTTTTATTATATTTTAGTATAAAATGCTATAGCAACTTATAAGTCATGAAATTATACAGAAAATTTGAGAAAATATTAACTTCAAATCTGTGTCCAAGCACCTTTAAAGGGAAAACTAAAGGGATGTATTTTAATAATAAAAAAGCCCACTCAATCTGTTTTACAAATCTCTATAGCATATTTTTAGTATCCTCTGTTCTTAGCAAAAATTAAGCATCTTTGTTTGCAATCAATTTGCGTGCTGAAAAGGAGTTAAAAAGTTGACATGTTCATCTCTGAATAAGAAATGATGGCCCTCAAAAGCAATGACCACTAAGAACCCTCTGATTAATTTAATATTATACTTTGTTGTGTTGAAATTTTGATGAAGCATAAAAGCCTTGTTCTAAGCAGGGTTGGTATATACATGTATAGGTCCCTATATTCTGAGGTGGTTTTTTTTTTCTTTGTGAAATCTTTTGACCAGCTGACAGAAGAATCCGGAATAAACCTTCATACATATTTTTAGTTGATGTTAGAAAGTTAGTTTACTGGGATCAGTTTTGCTGTTTATGATGGTATATCACAAGTTTATGATAGAGATCAGTTGGGGAATACCCCAAGAACCCTGGAAATCAAGTTTTTTTGTTGTTAAACATTTGAATTCTCAGGATACTGTAATGATTTTAAGTGTCATCAAGTATGGCATTAACTATCACTCCGACCTTTCCTGAATTTCCTAGAAAAAAAGAGAGTGTGTGCTCTTTACAGAATTTATAAGTTCTGTCAGCTGACCGCAGTTTATATCGCTCATTTTAATGTATCTCTAAATCATAAATACCCAGGGAAATGGAATAAAGAAAACAAATTATATTTAGGGATAATAATAATTAATATTTCCTGCAATTGCTTCTGAATTCTTCTGATAAAGTCTGCCCTTGAGGGTAAGCCTCAGTGCACCGAGTTTCTGTTTAGTATTAACAGATTCCCTCCTTCTACACTGTGCATCGATGAATCTAACAGTCCCTGGTATGCCTAGGGGACTCTGCACTCGCTGTCAGATAATTATGACAAGTGAATTTATTGCGGGGAAGGTTTTTTTTTGCGTATAAAGAAACAAGTTTTAGTAAATAGCCATGAGTAATGATGGACTTGTTATACACAACAGCTGGGCTTAGTGAGACTGCAATATAGAGTCTGGTCGCCTCGGCTGAGGTTCCATCATGAAATACTATTGTCAAAAGAGAAAGTCATAAAACAAGCTAAACAAGACATCATTACCATATACACAATATCACAGACTGTCCAATAATGCTAAAATGATGGCATTCTGTAATGTCTGAGATATTTTGGAGGTATGTATTTTCTGTACAAGTAATTAGACTTAATGTGTGTCTGTCAACCTTTTACAATTATAACTATGGGGATGATCAAAATAACTAAACAATAACCATGAATTATTGAAATATATAAATAATTTGTTTGATCTAATAGAGTGGTATGTTTATATGACATATCAGCTATTGATTTCATATATTCCAAGCTTTTTATTTCAATATTGTGCAATAGTTAAGATATGTATTAATTTTATACTGATCATTGTAGAGAATCATAGTACTCTTGTGACGACTAAAGTTTCAATGTTTCAGTAATCATTGTAGTATTTTTAGCTCACCTGAACCATATTCTCTTCTGGTCCAAAAAAATTGTGGTGTCCTTCAGTCCATCTCTCTGTTGTGCAGTAAACTTTTCTCATTTTGGAATTCTTTTCTAGTACCAATTGGCTAATTTCAACCAAATTTGATACAAAGAAGACTTGATATAAACTTGGTTAAAGGAAAACTAAGTTTGTCTAAATGAAGGACCATGCCCCTTTTTCAAGGGGGGATAATTAACAAAAACAGAAAATAGGATGGACTTAGTCTATCAAAAATCTCCTTAAGAACCATTGCTCCAGAAAAGACTAAATATATGGAAGCTTCCTTCATGAGTAGTTTCAAATTCATTCAAATCATAACCCCTGACAGAGCCACAATAGGAGGTTCAAGTTAAAAAAAACATTGAAATATATAAGGAAAAACTATTTAAAAATCATCTTCTTATGAGAGCAGGGCAACACATATAGTGAAGATTCAAGTTTGTACAAATCATTTTTACAGGAGGAGCTGCTAAATAGCTGTATTCCCAATGATTTGGTGGAGGAAATAAAAGACCTTAGTAAGAAAATGAAGAGCAGTCAGACATCACCATTCCACGATCTGTACATACAGCAACATACAGATGTCAGGTATCTATAAAATCTGTACATACAGCAGCATACAGATGTCAGGTACCTAAAGATCTGTACATACAGCAGCATACAGATGTCAGGTACTTATAGATCTGTACATACAGCAGCATACAGATGTCAGGTATCTATAGATCTGTACATACAGCAGCATACAGATGTCGGGTATCTATAGCTCTGTACATACAGCAGTGTACAGATGTCAGGTACTTATAGATCTGTACATACAGCAGCATACAGATGTCAGGTACTTATAGGTCTGTACGTACAGCAGCATACAGATGTCAGGTACTTATAGATCTGTACATACAGCAGCATACAGATGTCAGGTATCTATAGATCTGTACATACAGCAGCATACAGATGTCAGGTACTTATAGATCTGTACATGCAGCAACATACAGATGTCAGGTACAGTCTCCAGCTCGGGAGCTTATTTAACAAAGTTTATTCACCTAGGACAGGAGTTGGCAAATTTCCTTTCTACCCTATGGCAATTTGTAGTCAACAAATAAAATTATTTCATAATAAAAACAAAACAACAGGGGTGTAATGACTTCACCATCTCCCCCAATTTATCTCCAGATTATGTATCATAATAAATTTATAAGTATGGAAAAAATTATAAGAAACCTGAACTTTTGAGGTCCTTCTTTATTATATCATAAAATGGAGGGAGAATTATTTTTAGTGTTATACATTGTATCTGAGTTTAAAAAGAATCCATAGACCATAAGAAATATGTTTGTTCCATATTTTACATATGGCCCAATAATCCTGATGGACAGTTAGGGTTTTGGGTTGAGCTTGTTATATAGGAGAACTTGTTTACTGTGAGTGACTAGCTCTCTGTTTTTCTGTTTCAGTATATTGTACGCGGACATTGTGAACTTTACCCCACTGGCAGCAGAGTGCACCGCTGAAGAACTGGTTAAAATGCTGAATGAACTGTTTGGCCGATTTGACCAACTGGCAAAGGTACAAGGTTGTTTCATAAAATTTTATGTTAAAATCTTTTGACGCTGATCGAGGCAAGGAAAACCATCAACACCCATAATACAACCCTAGAAATGTCATCTTAGTACAGTTACACTTTGTAATTATATTGCAGTAAAAATTATCATTTGAAATGAGGCAGAATGAACACTCTTGAAAGAAGTATAAAAGCAAGGTGTGTCAAATTGAAAAGTAATGCCTTGGTGTTTACAAAGTCCAGTTTGACCTTCCTTGCATGAAGGTTTATTTGGCACAACTTGGCAACAAGTTCAAATGGTATTGCTAAGATTAAAGTTGCAAATACAAAATATAATTTATATTGACCATTCTGTTTAATATAAATTGGACTTTATATTGACCAGTGATGGATCCAAGTTTCTTGAGGCTGAGAACCACCCCATCCATCTTGTTTTCCCAGAGAGAGAGAGAGAGAGAGAAAATGCTTTTCCTGGCCCAATTGAAATACATGTACATGTACCTGTTAGGCTTTTGACATTGTTTGGAATTTTCTATATGGCTTTTAACATTGTTTAGGATTTTCTGTATAGTTTTTGACATTATTTGGGATTTTCAGTATGGTTTTTGACATTGTTTGGGATTTTTTGTATGGTTTTTTATATTGTTTGGGATTATTTCTATGGTTTCTGACATTGTTTGGGATTTTCTCTATGGTTTCTGACATTGTTTGGGATTTTCTCTATGGTTTTTGTTATTGTTTGGGATTTTCTCTGCGGTTTTTGACATTGTTTGGGATTTTCTCTATGGTTTTTGACATTGTTTGGGTTTTTCTCTATGGTTTTTGACATTGTTTGAAATTTTCTCTATGCTTTTTGACATTGTTTAGGATTTTCTCTATGGTTTTTGACATTGTTTGGGATTTTCAGTATGGTTTTTGACATTGTTTGGGATTTTTTGTATGGTTTTGTTTTTCACATTGTTTGGGATTTTCTGTATGGTTTTTGATTATGTCTGGTGATGCACTGACCAGGAGTAAATCTTGTTCCTAAGCCTGTCTCAATACCTTAAGTATAAAATGAAACTTGACATAATGATATGATTTCTGTTATGTTTTCAGAAGAACCACTGTATGAGGATAAAGATCCTGGGAGACTGTTACTACTGTGTGTCAGGTCTGCCTAATCCCGACCCCAATCACGCTGCTAACTGTGTCAACATGGGGCTACGCATGATTGATGCCATCAGGTATAACATGTTTTGTGTTTTCTAGATTTTTATCTCTTCATCTGTTTAATTTGTTTAATAAAGTAGTGAGTTAGGGTTCTGTATGATAAGCCTGAAACTCATAGAGAGGAAGGCGTGAATCAGTAAAGTCCAGATGACAGGCAAAATAGCCAGATTTCAGCTAAGAATGACCTACACCCCCCCCCCCCTTCCATCACCTCTTAGAGCAATAGGGCCTGGCTCTCAGTGAGCTTAAATTTGTAATTGTAAGCAAGAATTATGAATCATTTATATCAAATACTGTTTAAGATGTATCAAAGTCTACTAACCAGTTCTGGTCTTGTTGAACATTATATATCTAAAACTGAAAAAAAGAAAAAAATTGTAGACATAATCTTCATGTTTTAGTATCAATATGTAAGAGCGGAATGTGTCCTAATTTTTGACCTTGTCCTGTCCTTGAAGAGTTATCCCCCTTTGCTTTTAATCAATAAAAATCCATTCTAAAAAAATCTGTCTGGTAAAACTTGAGTTTTCAATCGCTTTTCTATTCCTTATAATTAAATACATCTTTCCACCAAGGCATTTTTTGATATTCTTAGTATTTAAACTTTTATTTTCAAAAATTTGCTTGTCCCCATAGACATCAATGCAATCTTCATTAATTAATTACTGCATAGGTAATTATATTTTTGAAAATTTCTCTTGGTAAATCCTTTACTACTCTAAAATGCTTTGAATTAATATCAGAGTATTTAATACAGGATGGATATTTAAGGTTAGAAAATTAGGTCCTAATATGGGTCGGATACCTTAATGACAATCTTCAAGTTTTCTGTAAAAATTGAAGTGATATGGTTTTCTTCAAATTACGTCCCTTTGCATCTCAGGAAGAGGGGAAATGGGGGTGGGGCGGGGATTGGGGGTGGTTACTTCTGTTGTTTAGTGCATCACTGTCATATTTTTTTTGAACACACAGGCAATAAAATCATAAATGCTCTATAAATTCTAAAGTGATTAGAGTACCTATTATTTTAGAATAAAGCTAAATTGTATCTAAAAAGATATGTGTGAAAAAGTCTAGATCTCTGTAGAATATTGCATGACACATTTTGACATTTAGATTGGGTATTTTAAGGCTCCCTGTTGTCTCTATGGCTGGCTCACCTGTTAATGGCAATGATCATCTGATTTGTCATTAACAGAATGTAAGACAGTAATTCCTCTAGATACCAGCAATCTGTTCATATGGAACCTTATATAAAGTTTAGTGACAAAAGCTGGTAATTTTACCAACCACATGTCAGACTCTTCAGTATGAAGGATTACAAGGGTGACAAAAGCTGAAGTAGGGTTAGTAAATGTCCAGGCTTCATCAGGGCCGTGATAGATTAGTAATTCTACACCAGCGATCAATCATTTCCTCTAGTGAGATTAACTGAACACTGATTTGACAATAAAGAGAACACATCAGTCATACTTCTGATGCTGAACACAACCTTCATTTTCTGGAAAAGTAACCAGATAAATTTTTGATGCAGGTTCATTTCCAACTATATGTAATGATTCTTGCCGGAACAAACTATTTGAAAATAAAACTAATCTGTCATACTTTGGGTGGTACATGCGTAATTGCAGATGATTGGTAAAATTCTATTCTTAAGAGCATTTTTATTTCATAAAATTGAGGATGTATAATTAATTTGTAAAGGATGAGGGGCAGTAATTGCCCATTTTGACCTTTCATCTTACATAAAACATTAAAAGACAGATAAAATTGTTATTAGTTTATAATAAAGTGTATGTAATATGAAACCAGATTTAAAACTAGAAATCATAGGCAAAATGATGTGATAGATTAAAATTATCTTCCAAATTTCTTTAATCTTTCACAAAATGACAAAGTCCAAAAGGAAAAAAAAAATTACTTTTTTAAAAAGCATTTTCATCAAATTTGATTTAATTTTTTTAACTTCTAAAAAAGACAAATTCCTCTTGATCTAGCTGATTTTACTAGCAGGTTTTGGATGGAACTTTTGCATCATTCCAAGAGTTTCCAAAAAGAGCCAATTACCTTCAAGTACTTTGTTGGCACTGGCATATATGCCCTACAATTTATGTATGAGTGACCATGCAGGTTAAAGCTTTTAAAGTTTGTTCACTCCAAAGTAATTAAATAAGGACAGTGAATATTGCTTGTATACTTGATTAATCAGTGTGCTTCGGATGGAAACTTAGTTTGGTTCAGATACTACATGAGGCTTTGCTGTATCTAATGAGTGTTCAGATGAGAGATTTTGCAATAAGTTTTATCCTGAAGTATGATTAACTCTATATACTAACCTTATAGAAATAACTTAAGATGCAGGAATCCTGCATATTAACTTTGCATCAATGATAACTCACCATAAAGCTTAATTATAAGAAGTATGGATCCTAATGAAAATTAATCAGGTGTTATCCTAGTTTTGCCACCTGGATGACAGTGGGAGATAGGGCATTATGTAATACTCTGATAATACCATGCATTTTAACATATTTTAATTAAATTAGCTGTAATTCATGAATAACAAGTTGAATATTCTGTAACATGGAACTTTTTTTTTGAGCATATCCGTGTTGATTTATTAAAAAAAAGATAGTCTATATATATAATTGGATATTCTGGAATGGCACTGCTCTGCATTCTAGTGTATACAGACTCTGCCTTTCAGTTAAAGAGAAAATCTTTCAAGTACAGATACTTGATTAAAGTAACTGTATTTTAATTACTAATTCCTTTTCCAAATAGGTTTATTATTTAGATAAGGAAGTTTGAAACATGTTCTGACAATTTTGAATTGATTTATTTGTAAGGTTTGCACAAACGAAGATTGCTTGAATTTGATTGGAGAGTGGAATATTTCAATATGAAATTTGATATGTAGAGTGAAGTTCTAAGCACTGCTGTTTATTGATTATCTAATGATGCATTCAACTTAAGCTGTCCTATCATGGCCATGTGGTCTTCTTTTAGAAAATAATTATGTGTCAGATTTGCAGATTGATAATATTTTAAAGCTAGATATCACCTTACCAACCTCCAAACTAATAAGAAATTCAATACTTTTCTCCATGCATGTAACTATTTGTTGCATATTACAATAGTATGGGTATCTAGATTTATTCTTATCAGCATTTAGGAATCTGGTACATGCATGAAAGTTTATTTTTGGGTAATTGCTGGTTATTTTGATAAGGAAGATAATTTTTTTGTTGCAGATGTTATTGATGGATAACCCTTCCCTATCTAACATATTCATGTACTGAGACAATAGTCCTCTTTAAAATCAGATAATAAAATATTGTAGAATGTTAGGGACATTTACTTAGAACAAACCATGTTTATCTAGAATGAAGTCATTTGAAAGAGTCAGAGGGCAGAATAGACGAGATAAAACTAAGAATTCAGTGTCTGTGACCTTTGCAATATGACTTTGAATAAAGATCGTGAGATACTGTCTCAACAATAATTATTTCCTGTCTCAAACCACCTTCATTTAGGTTATAAGATATAAGGACTGGACAAATTGTTCAACTGAATGATAAAAATATCAGATTTGATAATGAATAAAATTTTTCAACTCAGTGGCTTCAATGGCCTTGACCTTTGAGATATCATGCTCACACTCACTCATAAGTATGCTCTTACAGGTAAGGCTAATGTGTAAACATTAAGTTAAACAGACAATATTTCCAGTTCAAATTGTAGCAATAACCTTGACCCTTGAAATATGATCCTGAGTCAGAATTACATGCCACATCACTTTCCTGAGGTCATTTTAATGGAATCATATGAGAACCATATGCCAGACAAGCATGAATTCCCAGGACAGACAGGGGGATTCCTAACATTAAGACTAGTTGTCAGAGGTGAAGAATTTTATTTGTAGAGAGGTAAGGGAGGCGACTGGTGTAGACGTTGATATGAGGATAGGGGTACACAGTGGGATGGTGCTGAGTGGTGTTTTAGGTCTCTGTAAGTGGCAGTATGACGTCTGGTCAGATGACGTCACAATCGCTAATCATCTTGAATCTGGAGGAGTTCCTGGGTAAGTCAAATTTTGATGTTTTTCTTATATTTGAGCAAATCTTTTTTTATTTAATTTTTAATTTCAACATTAAAAGAAAATTAAATGTAATTTAAAAAAAGATTAATGATGATGATAATAATGATTAATGAATTCAAGTTGAATTTAATTGTCAGAATTTTACTTCAAAATTAAACAAGATGCCACACTTAGGAATTCTGAAATATGTGTTTACTAAGATGATTCTAAAGCATTATTTAAAAGTTCAAATAAATTGTTAAATTTAAATTCAAATAAAGAGACCTTACAGCAGAAAAATGAATAGGAGCAGTCGCAATCCAGCATTTCTCCTACAAATAGTTTCTGAAAATTACTTTAAATATTTCTGAAAGCATGGAAAATATTTGCTGTAAATAGAATGTTAATATTAGAATTCTAATTGACTATGGTGAAAGATATATCCCATTATATCCCATCATATTCATTTATTCCACAAAAAAAGTTGCAGAAGAGAATCTACAGGTACACAGTGAAAATAATGAGGAATAGATAAGATATTCTATTGTGTTAGATGGAATTTGAATTTCATGATGAGCTCAGCAACACAAGAAAACTTATTGATTTATATTGCTTGTGACAAATTAAAAAAAAATGTTTTAATGTATTATAATATTAATATGAATAATAAAGAGACTTTGTACAAAGGAAAAAAAAGAAGTGATATAATTTGTTATACAAGTAATAAAAGTTAAAGAGAGAAAAGAGAACAATTTGATACATCTTGTATGAATAAAAGAACTGGTATATATTACTGTTTAATCCATTGGTTTTATGTTGTTAATTAAGCTCTAAAAACTACTTGTATACAATTTAGGACAGATGATAAAACCAAAAAATGTATGCCTGGATTGGTATATATTTTTGGACCTATTTTGGTTGTAAATGATGAATATAATAAATTTCTAGATTATTAAGAAATTGTAAACTGTCCGAAATTCTACCTTTCTGCAACAATCCTTATTAATCTATACAACCTTTTGTCACTTTAAATCCCATTATTGTGAAACTTTGAATGAAAATTTAAAACCTATGCAGTTAGTTAAACTTACATAAACATGACAAGTTTTTATTTTAAAGATTTTTTGATAAAAGTTTGTTTGTATCATCTGTCCTTTATGCCTTAGTATCATAGTTATTGGATGTGCCTAGCAACTTTTAAAGGTACAAAGTTCTGTTTTTGAGAACAGATTAATTCATTAAACAGATCAATGAAAATCCAACAAAGTAAAAAGAGGAACTGAGAACAGTCCAAATGATATTAATTCTTTGTAAAAAAAAAAAAAAAAAAAAAAAAAAAAATCGAAGTCTGTTCCGTTTGACTTTAAGATGAAACAATTAAGATGCTTTCTAAGAAGCTATAAATTTGGGTATGTCGATGAAATCTTTTATTGTGCAAAGAAATGCATTGATTTGTTTCAGTAAGGTCCATATCACCAAGAAGACATTGGAGTACCTGAACAATCAGTTTGAGGTCGAACCTGGGGCGGGCCAAATGAGGGACTCTTACCTGGCCGAACATAACATTGACACCTTCCTAATCAAACCAAAAGTCAGAAAGGTAGTTTTCCCCTGTTGCATGTACAGAGGTGAAAATCTGTATACAAAGACACTGTAATGATTTATTGAATTTTCCACTGGGTGTTGTCATTTTCTGTACTCGCGTACTTGATACGGATTATAATTCTTTTTTTACATAGGCAGGTTTAATATTAAACTCCAAAACAATCACTTTCCCTTATGTTTCTATTTTTAATGTCTTATTTAAATACTCCTGACTGGCCATTGTTTTTTCACTAACTTATATATTAAAAGAAAAAAAGAAAAATTTTAAAACATTGAAATTTAGAGAGTCTATAGTAATTTTGTGTAATTAGAGAAATATTTCATATTAATCTGGGTGAGACGTCTTTCAATAAATCTGCATGTTTAAAATCTGTTTATGCACTTTTTAAAATAAAGATTTCATGCATACAGTCATTAGAAGAGTACTGTAATAAATGTTCAGAAAAAGATAAAATCAGGATTATCTGAATTAACAGATGAAGTGTTTGTAAACACATCAAGGACCCCTTTTTTGTTTGATAGGTAAAGAGTTGCTGATTTTGAATTATTGACAAGTGCAGCCACTTATAAGCTACTAAAGCTTGTATTTTACTTCAGGCATGCTGTACATATTGTCTTTTTTAAACTATTGATCAAATTGTTCTAATGCTGGATCACTGGTGAAAATAAGGACATTTTTAATGACAAGTAAAGAAAATGCATCTGGAGGTAAATTAGATCAGTTAGTCTATAATGAAGCAAATAATGAAAAAAAGATCCAAGCCTATCTCAGAGGTTTCTGGTCATTTTGTGCACTTGACAACCTGAAATTTTATGTTCATTGCATCTGACACATTTCCCATAAATCAAAGTCCTATACAACGAACAATGTGCTAGTTATTTAGATACACCCTGGATTTAATACAATAAGTAGAAGTATTGCTTTAACACCTGAATAAAATATGACATCTTTGATACAATCTCTATTTGTTTGGCACAGTCATCTATTCTCTTATATTTGGTCTATTTAGTTTCTTTTACAATAGAACTGCATATTCAGAGAACAACAGAAAGTGTTTGACATCAATAAAAATGTCCTCTTATGCAGTATAGATTATAAATCTTGGGATTTTCAACTTAATTTATTTCAAACTATAATCTTCTTTGACTGTTAGAAAGTAAAAAAAAATCCTCTGGTATTTTAGTTTTGGACTAACAGGAAAACAGAAATGCAATAGGAATACAAAATTTCCTAGAATTGTATCTGAACTCTTGAAATATCAAAATCATTGATTTTAAACATTCACATGTAATATATCTACATGTATTACTTGCTAGAAAATTTAAATATTATTTTTGGTTAAAACCCAAAAGTATTAGTGCAAAAATACTCTCTGGACAATATTAGTGCAATATTACTGATCTCTGCTTATCAGTGCAGTATTACTGACCTCTAGTTATCAGTTCAATACTACTGGGTCGCTTGTGCAGTATTACAGACCTCTAGTTATCAATACTACTGGATCTCTAGTTTTCATTGCAATACTACTGATCTCTAGTTGTTGTCAGTGCAATACTACTGATTTCTAATTATCAGTGCAATACTACTGGATCTCTAGTTGTCAGTGCAATACTACTGATCTCTAGTTATCAGTGCAATACTACTGGATCTCTAGTTGTCAGTGCAATACTACTGGATCTCTAGTTGTCAGTGCAATATTACTGATCTCTAGTTGTCAGTTCAATACTATCTCTAGTTATCAGTGCAATACTACAGAAAACAACTGTTATACCACTGACTAAGAAATTAAACCAATAAATTGTTCAGTTTATTAGGTCATATTAAAAGTATATTTAGGTAATATAAAACAGAATTGACTGAGAAATCCCATGTATTAAAAATTTCTATTAACAAAATAAAAAGTAACAAACAATTCTTTGATATTTTTCAGTTTGATGAGAATCGGACCATCCGCTCCCGGTATGAGAGTAGTCTACGAGCTTCACTCCGAGTCACCAAATATCTGGAAAACTGGAATGTAGACAAACCATTTGCCAGCCTTCATGTCAGTCCAATGGCAACCAAGTTACTGAGTGTCACCGTAAGTATCCATAGTAACCAGATCTGTAATGTAAGCAGAACATTAAACCAGAAAATCAAATCCGACAGTGATATTGAATTCTGAAGAATTTTTTGAATTGGATGTGTGTTTGTTTGTGTGCGTATGTGTATGTGTGATGGGGGAGGGGGGTTAATTTATTTATTCATTGTTATTTTTATATTTTTAACTTTTTTGGAAGAAGTTCATTATCATAAGCTTCCTTTTTTCACCACTGTGGTAGTTGTACTGATACTTTACAGTTACTGAACATTTTGAGGAATGATTATCACCAAGACATGGACATGCCTTACTGTGTTGGTTAACTTTGATAACTATTTTTTTTTTTTTTATCAAATTCAGAAAAAAATTAACATTAAAATAAAATAGCACTTCAGATTGTATCCTATATAATTATGCCCCCCCCCCCCCTCCCCTTTGAAGAAGGGAAGGCATATTGCTTTGCTGCTGTCTGTCAGTCGGTGGGTCGGTCGGTCTGTCAGTCCACCAACAGTTTCTGTTCATTTTCTTCACAGAGGTTGCACATACTGAAATTTGGTATACAGCTTTATCATAAAAATATCTAAGTCAAGTTCTGTTTTGGGTACGATCGAGCAATTTTTGCCAGAGTTATGCCCCTTGGATCTAGGTCAAGTTCTGTTTTGGATACAATCAAGCAATTTTTGACAGAGTTATGCCCCTTGGACTTAGAAACATTCTGATGTCTTGGATACTGGGCTCTATAGACAATCTTTATCAAGTACATTGAGGTGACATTGATTCAGATGATCTATTAATTTCCTTATTTTGTCTATCATTGAGGATAGATTATTTGGTACTGAGGATAATAATTATTGTGATTAGAGCTGATAGCTATAGCTTTTCTTTTGCTGATGGGTCTCCGCTGAGAATCTTAAAATGATATGACTAATCAGTGAGGAAGATTGTTATATAATTCATCATAAAAGATGTACACAGAATAATTAATATTACTACTCTAGCACACTCTTATATTTCTTGAATATATATTCCAAAAACACCACTTTTTGGTCCAATTCTTGGATGGATCACTGTCATTAATGCCATAACAAGAATAAGTTTCAAATAATAAGATGTCTTCTGCATCAATTAAACATATGTACCACTTCATCGTTAGTTTTGAAAATTTTTTGTCAAAATAGTTAAATTTTAATATTTGTGTCTTTGGTGTCTTTCTAAATTCAATTTGTCTGAAATTGACATGATCATTGAGAAGTTAATTTACAGACTTATTCTAGTTAACTTTTCACATTCTCAACAGAAATTTGACAAGCCTAGGGAACATGTACAAAAAGGTGGACTTTTGAATCTCGAACATTGGATATGTTCTCAAGTGAGTTGGAAGGTCATACCACTTTTTCTTGATGTATTTAACTGAATGTCTTGCCTTGAAGTATGTTTTTGGCCCCATCAATTTCAGGATAACAAGGGTTAACTGTTATAATTTAGAAACTAAAGAGTAACTTGATGTTTAAGTCTTGTGGATTTCAATTACATGTAATAAAATGATCGCGATTTTGAAATGTATATATTGAAACTTTAAATGACAGTTGTACTAGATACCAAGGTATAAGGTTTCTTTTTTGGAAGTATCAGAAATTCTAAAATTTCCAGGAAATTGATTTAAATTAGTCTTGATAAGAAAATTAGCTCTGCAGACCATACCCTTATTAATTATCTAATTTCAAGTGTTAATTAAAGGCATTCTTGAAGTTCACCAAAAATCCCATAGTTCTCCGTGTAGATGGGATCTATGTGTATGCATTTTTAGCTACAATTTGGGAATGATAATAAACTGAAATCTGGCAATATTGATGCTGGGGTTATTAAAGCTCAACTAATATTTGCACATTGCTGATTAGGTATTGACCAGGAGACTTAATGAAATCTCTATTTCCACACTCATATAAATATAATCTGCAAATAGTACATTGGCCAGTGATATGGAATTAAACCAGCATTATAGCCAGGAGGCAGGACAGGTGTGTAGTATGTTAAGCTATAAAGTACACCTGTCAGCAGCTGCAGAACTGAAGCTCACATGCTACCCCAGAATTAATTGGCCTATCTACAGCTGCAGAACTGTAGCTCACATGCTGCCTCTGATTGGTTAAGTAATATGGATTTGGCCTATCTACATACTTACAATCAATGACTTGTGTGTCTTCTATCTCAAATCTTTTTTTTTTTTAAACTTTCTTTGGATTGAAATGTCACAATTTCATTTGTTTAAACAGGTCACATGACTGCCGGCTATATTTTTATGCCCATGCACCAGGGATGGGGTAATTGAAAAAAGTAATTGTAATTGACTGTAATTAATTACATTTTTTGAAGTAATTGGAAGTAATTTGTAATTGAACATTTTTTCAATTACTTGTAATGGTAATTTAATTAATTACACTGAAAAAATACCATGTAATTTCAATTACTTTTTCAATTACATTCAATTACTTTATATAATACACATTCATGATATATTGTCACCACTACCTCCCCATTTTACTGGGTTTTTATTTTATTGTAAAACATATCCTCAATCCTTCAATTAAACAAAATCTTAAGTTAATGTTTACAAACAAATAATTAAATGGTTGGCTTGATGATAATAATCCTGGCTTCTTTCTAATCATTATGTAAATTTTGATTTTTTTGATTTATGTTTATGACTATGAATTTTGAACCACCCTTCTTAGGTCTATTCAGCTATAAAACACACATTTAATATATTTCAATCTTTGTTGTTTGATCAATGATAAAGAAAAAGAAGGTGTGTGTCATTAATTTAGTTCTCTCTTGTTGGGAAGAGATAATTGCCCTCCAGATCACAGCTGTAAATTGCAATCAAAACAAATCAACTCCCCTAAAGAGATATTCATTCCATGATTTAGAAGACAAAGCCAATGGAGATAATTATTTCAATTTAAAATGCTCTGCTAGCTTTAGAAAAGAAAAACTTTCAATTTGATAATTATTTTAACATCCAAACAGATTTTTATGAATGAACTTTTATCTGTACAAGTATTATTTATGAAGTAAACTTATTCAACATAAATAGCAATTAAGGATGTTCAGGTTATCTTCGAAGGAAATATTTAATTTGAGGGGTTATGGTTGCGACTCATTTTACTCTATTAAAATACCCACTTTTAATCAAATATCATAATCCATACAATTTGTGTACATGTAGGTTTTGTGTGGTGGAAACTGCATCAATCTGATCTCGAATAGTTCTTTAAGAGATTCTTTAATGTTTTGTAAATAAATATTATTAATAAATTTAACCACAATGATACACAATGCCTATAGCATATTATTCTTGTACTCTTTGTGCAGAGGCTGAGCTTGTATACAAATAAATGATGTTCTGTATATTCATTGACAAGGATTATAAAAATTTTCAAAAAAATTAAAAATGTAATTTGTAATTTAATTAATTACTTTTGCAAAGTAATTGTAATTTAATTAATTACTTTTGCAAAGTAATTGTAATTTAATTAATTACACATCTTAGAAAGCCTGTAATTTAATTGTAATTTAATTGAAGAAAAAGTCAAAGTAATTGTAATTTAATTAATTACTTTTTAAAGTAATTGACCCCATCCCTGCCATGCACAGCTGGTGAAAATAAATATCTGATATTAAGGCTGGTGTGTTGCATTTACATTTTTGGTAGAAATCATTTATTACAAAAACCACTTTCCATAATATTCTTTTTTAAAAAAAAAAAAGGGTAGCGGCCCTTTTTGACATCGGGTTTGTTATGTTTTGCCTCACAAGTAAGACGAGAGAAGAAAAACATTTAAAATGAAAAAGGAAATATTGAAAGTAAAAGGTTGTCAAGGATTTTTCAAGATTACATGATGCATGGCAGTAAACAGGGAGATTGATAATTTTGAAGAGTTTGACTGTGTGAAATTGAATGAGATGCTATAGGCTAGTTGAGATGTGAGACACTTAAATCAAAAGAATGAAAATATGTTGATATAATCAATAAAATCATCTTGCTCATCACTTCTTGTACCCCTCCCCCCCCCCCCCCCCCCCCACTTTTCAGTTTTTACTTATTATGTTTGTGACTGACAATCTACAGAAATATATCAGGTGAATCAAACCCACAGATGGCTCAATCCGTCTATGAGATTAATCAACCTGATATATTTCTGTAGACAGTCACTAACAAACCTAATAAGTAAGAATGTTGGGATAATTAAAGACAGTACATGTATATTCTGAGATCAGTCCTCCAAAACCCCCATTCTAGGAAAAACAAAAAGTTTGTAGAAAAAATCTAAGGTGATATGTGTTTTGAATCCAAAGATGTGGCATAATTCATCTGGCAAGTTTAGATAGTTTATTGTCTTTGGTTATGACTTATGATTACTGAACTTAATCCTTTAATAATGTAATCATGTAATCCTGTAATTCTGTAATCATGTAATATATTGTATCTTATGTTTTATGTCAACAGAAAGATTATCATGATTTCATGTTTGTAAGTGTTACTATGGTGACCAGGTTAAATTTGATTACCTTTCCTTTTCACTAACCAGGTATTTAGTATTCTCTGTTTTTAGACAGACTAACAAAGTCAATCAGATGAAAATCAAACATTATCAAATACATTTCGTTTAATCTCCATTATAAAAAAATGTGCTACATCAATTCTCTGAAATATTTTTATCAACATTGTCCAAAATTTAGCTTGAATAGAAAAAAGGTACATGTACTATTAAATAAATGTACTAAAGTCTACATATAATTTTATAGAACATAGAGGATTTATGGCATTTATAATAAGGAGTCGGTAAGGAGATCTTTAAAGTGCAGAAATAGTTTATATTTTCCCTCTCTAGTAAAATAAAGATACATCTTGTACATGTTGGATTTATCAAGTATATATATGTTTAAGTTGATACATTATCCTCTGTAATTTATTTATTAATTTACACAAACTTATCAGGTTTCATGCAGGATTAATGAACATGGTAATATTTCTCATATAGCTGAAATTAAGTCAGTATAAATGACATATCCTTGCCTTAATCTGGAATATATCTGAAAAATGTCAAATCTTAAGTATCAGTAATTATATTATTATAACCATATTAGTAATCTTTTTATTAAGCATTCTCAAAGGAATATATCTGGATATAAATGATTATTTGTTTGGATTGAATAGAGTTCAATAGTGCAGGGCTATACATGTATATAGAAAGAATAAAATGTGTTATGAAGGCATTAAATCAGCTGATCTCAAATCAACCCATACATCTCAATGAAATCTCTGTATTCTCAGATGTTAAAATCTAAGTAAAATCCCTATATCTCTGGTCTGCTGACTTTTATGTCTGAGAAGAAAAAAAACTAGTATTAAAAAACAGATTGGACTAAGTTACTGAACATACCAGTACTTGTTTAAACTTAAATCAGCAATGCATATATAGTTTGCAACCTTAGTGTATATAATTACTTTGGTTATTCAGTGACTAATGGCTTGAAAGGCATAATTTGTAAGAGATTTGGAGAAAAATATCAGCTTAATTCCTATGTAGAAAATGATTTTATTTAGTAATTTAAAAGCATAAAATAGCAAAAACAACATTATGTCAAATTTAATATGGAATTTAAAAAAAATCAGTTTTTTCCATTGCTGAAGTATAACGGTATAATTAGAACCAGACTCTGGCCAATGAAATCGTTCTTCTTTATGACTTAAAGTTCCAAGTTCTGGGTTCCTATTTATGTGCCAAACATTAATTTAGTTATATATGGAACAGATCATTCCAGTAAGTTTTTGGACAGGTAAATATCACTGCATGTTCACCTGACTAATAAAAAGGGGGCTTAACTCTTACTAACACCAGATAATCAAGAAATGTGATCAAGAGAAGTAACTTAGTATGGGTAGATAAGGTGCTTTACAATCTAATTAGAATATTAGATGCTAGATCTGCATCCATACTTGCTACACTAACAATGTCAGTGTAGCAAGTATGCCAGCAAATCTAACATTTAATTCTAATTAGATTGGGTACATGCTTAAGGAATGCTTTGGGATGTTAATTAGATAAACCTGTCTTACTGAAACGTACAGTGAGATCAAATTGTACTTTAATAAATAGTCAGTGTGACTTCATAGATAATTTTTGAAACCAGTTTATAGATATATATACATGTATGTATGTGAAAAGCTGTCTTGTTCATTTATATTTTTGGAATTTTCCATTACTGCATGTCTTAAAAGCGTATACTTCATTTCACTTGAATTTACACATATTCAGGATACTGGTTAATATCAATCTTGATGATTTTATGCTGCTTGCTCAGTTCTCTGTAATCAGAAATCAATTATCATTATTAATTATCATACGTATGAATTTAATCATTTCAATGTATGATCATTTCAATGTATAGTCTTCATTTATTTCTTTCAAAATCTATCAATTGCAAATATCTTAAACTGACCCTGGAGCTTATAAACCATGTTTGGGGGGGGGGGGGGGGGTTACAAAATTTCCTATTTTGGGTATGGTAGAAGGATAGGTAAAATCCAGTATCACATGGTCATCCATAATGGAAGAAACGATATTGAAAATTATTTTGATTTCAGATAGTCACTCCTCTATATTCATCAGGGTCCCACTTTTAAAGGTGTTGGGGGGTGGGGGGGGGGGTAGTAAGAAGCTTTATGATAGACACTCAAGTTTTTATTTTAATTTCTGAGTCATAGTTGACCTGGAGTGGATACTGAAATATAACCTGTTTTCTTTTTATTCATCAAATCATAAAAACATGTATACAAGTTCTGAATAACATTACTTGGAAGCTGAGTATTACCTGTATGTAAATTGTCGGAGTGCTGGATTCAAAATATTCTCAAGGCAAATTAACTTATAAACATTCCATGTGTATGACTGTTTAAAGGAAGGAAAGAACATGAACATAAAAGTTCACTGTGTATCATAGAAATTAAGATTTGTAGATTTTTTATATGGAATATAACTGTTGTTTATTGCATTAACTTTTTCATTTTTTACAGAGTTTGGCCTTCCTTGATTCTAATCTGGTATTGAACAGTATTGATAATGACCATGGGTAAGTTAGTAGTGGACAGTATTAATTATTGAAATATTAATTTGACCTCATATTTTATTATCAGGAATAATAGGTGCTTGACAATATGCCATACAAGTATGTTTCAAACAAAGTAAAATTGAGAGAAAAATTATATTAGGAATTATTTTTGCAGTGTAGTCGGACCTACCCAACAACTGAACATAGAAGTCAATGCTGAGTTGGCCAAAAAATCCAAAGATTTGGTGAAAAAATAGTAAGTTGATAAATCTGAAATGTAATGGAAAAAATTCAAAATTTCTGTACACCAGTCAACCAGATTTCATGCCTCTAGCATTGTATATCTATAATACTGGTGAGAAATTTCATGTAGAGTAAGGCTGTACATCAACCATTCAAAGATCAAAGCAGTCACATTAATTAATGTACATTTGTTCTTAAATTAACAGATGCATCTTTTCAAATTTGCAAAAAAAAAAAAAAAAAAAAAATTCATTTGAAGTTCGTATGATATTGTGATAGAGATGATGACAATATCAACTAACCTAGTCTTTTTTTTTTAGCTCCTTTAGATCTATGAAAAACCCAAAGGAGGACTTTAACCCCCTTCTGATGAGCTTCAGCAAACAACAGGAAACAGAATACCAGCAGAGGCCAGATTTATCATTCAAACTGGGACTTCTCTGTGCACTGTTTATGTTCATAGGGGTTGTAATAGTGCAAGCCATTATGTCAAACAGGTAGGTCAACAAAGTTTATGCCATTATGTCAAACAGGTAGGTAGTTATAGTGTATGTCAGACAGGTAAATCATCATAGTGTATGTCATCATGTCAGACAGGTAAATCATTATAGTGTATGTCATCATGTCAGACAGGTTAATCATCATAGTGTGTCATCATGTCAGACAGGTAAATCATCATAGTGTATGTCATCATGTCAGACAGATAAATCATCATAGTGTATGTCATCATATCAGACAGGTAAATCAACATAGTGTATATCAGACAGGTAAATCATCATAGTGTATGTCATCATGTCAGACAGGTAAATCATCATAGTGTATGTCATCATGTCAGACAGGTAAATCATAGTGTGTGTCATCATGTCAGACAGGTAAATCATCATAGTGTGTGTCATCATGTCAGACAGGTAAATCATCATAGTGTGTCATCATGTCAGACAGGTAAGTAAATCGAGCTCGAGATAACCAGGATTGTCAGTACTGTATGTAGGTTGAGGTTAAATATTTTGTTTTTTTCCTTGTCAAATTAAAAATTTTCTTATATTCTAAAATAACTGCAAAGTGGGGTTAGTTTTATTTTAACATTGATTATTCACAGAAATACATGTACATGTGTTGGATCTCTGTTTATTATTTGTCCTTTTTTATCTTATAGAGATGCCTTGTTCTTCATCAGTATTGTGTTAGGTACGGCTGTGTTTGGAGTCGTTATCAGCTTTAGTTTTTTCACAGAATGTTTGGTAAGTATCTTATAAATTTTTGCTTGAGAGAATTTTGTTTCAAAGCTGAAAACTGAGATGGACTTTTTTAGTACATTTGTGAGATAAATGTTAAACTGTTATCTTATTTATCATTTACTGTTATTAATCTAGTATAGCTATAAAATATGGAAGCAAAGAAAATTATTTACATTTTGATTTTTAGACTGTTATTGCTTTTAATTTTTCATTTTTATTTTATTCACAGACACCAATCAAAGGGAGTCCACTGACCAATCGTTTGCTAGTGTTGGCTTGTCATGTGACCAACAGTCTAGCCGCCAGGATATGTGTGGCATCTCTATGTGTGTTCTGTGTCTTTATAACCTCCATTGTACCTGTGGTAAGTTTCTTTGACTTCAGTGTACTTGTGTTTATGTTAATACCACATTGTAACTGTGGTATTAAGTTTTTTAACTTGGACATATCTGTGGTAAGTTCCCATATCCCCATTATGCCTTTGTTATATTTCTATTACCTCAGTGTGTATGTGGTAATTTTCTATCATCTCATTGTGTCTGTGGTAATTTTCTATGACCTTGTTGTACCTGTGGTATATTTCTCTGACCTAATTTCCTATGACCTCAATTTGCCAGTGGTTAAGTTTATATTGTGACCACTTTGTTCTTCTAGTAAGTTAATAGCCTTATTGATTCTGTGGTAAGTTAATAGCCTAAGGCTTATTGATTCTGTGCTAAGGCAATAGCCTTAGGCTTATTGATTCTATGCTAAGTTAATAGCCTTATTGATTCTTGCTAAGTTATAAGAGCCTTATTGATTCTGTGCTAAGTTAAAAACTTCTTGCCAATATTAGTCTTTTTAACTTCTAATGTGCTCAGTGATCCTTGTTATGTTCAGTTTCTAACCTCCAAAGTTTACGTATGATTTACTGAATCTGTGATATTTTCTTTCATTTTGAATTGTATTGGATGCTTGCATTGAGTCAGACAGAGATTCAAATGAAAGAATTGGCTAATTTTTTCCAGTTTAAAACTCTTTGAGACCAAAAAAAAAATTAGAGTTTATGACTCAGTAGTCTCATTAGTTAAATAAGCTATAGGTTCATGTGAATTCTACCTGGTGGTTGTGGTGTGAGTGGTGTCACTCATTCTTCTTTATATCTTCTATGTTCAAATCTGCACAATTACTGATTGACCAGAGGCTGGCAATTCAAAGGTTAAATCCTAATGTCAGAGGTTAAGATGTCAGAGGTTAGGATATGTGTCCTGTCCTTGAACTGTTCATGCTTTGTCTCAGAGTAAACAACTGTAAATGTGAACTCTAGCTTTGACTTATGCATGGTTAACCTTTAAAGACTGCAGACTCATTCAGCCTGCATGGACAGGTGCAAGATCTAGTGATCTAGGATTAAATGTCACAGAATCTATGTAAGTAGTAGAAATGTTAATTGTTGTAATTATAAAAATAAGTCTCAGGGGTCTCGGATAAGTCACCTCTGACAGACTGGTAGGTAATTTCCCGACTTTGTTTTAATCATGCATGTCATACCTTGTGAAGTCTTTTTTTTCAATTCCAAAACACTCAAGAGAGATCTTGTTTTATACTGGAAGCCATTAAGTTGATTGATTTAGTCATTTTAAGAAGAGATATAGGTAGGAATAAAAATTTAATCTATGTCACAGCTGTGTGGACATGTTTTAAGTCAACAGTTTCCTGGTTTTATCTGGATATTTGGAAATAATTCTAGTTTATGGTATGTATTATCAGCTTGTAGAGTAATTGAAGAAATCCCTAATGTGTATTTAAAAGAAAAATACTTTGATCTGTAGAAGACTAATTAATTTTTGCAATATGATGCATCAAGTTAAAAAAAAGTTCTTTGCTGATGAAAAATACAAAATGTTTCCTGCGGTTTTGTAATAATTAGCAATAAAGACTCGATATTGTTCTATTTTGGGGATTCTCATTAGCTGAACTGGTAAAACTTGCCTGGATCATTAGCCAAATTGGTACTGAAAATGTGTTTTGAAATATGCAGGATAAATACTTGTTTGCAGTGGTACTTGTTTTTGTGTTCATTGTTAGTATTTTAATGCCCTGTTCACATGGATGCACATTAAATATTTGATTTGCAGTAAATTAATTTACAGGTATTTTATGGTACCATTGTATGCCAAAACTGTTCAGGGTTTACTGGTAACTAATGGTACCTTTACTGGTAACTAATGGTACCATTGTATGCAGGATAAATACTTGTTTGCAGTGGTACTTGTTTTTGTGTTCATTGTTAGTATTTTAATGCCCTGTTCACATGGATGCACATTAAATATTTGATTTGCAGTAAATTAATTTACAGGTATTTTATGGTACCATTGTATGCCAAAACTGTTCAGGGTTTACTGGTAACTAATGGTACCTTTACTGGTAACTAATGGTACCATTGTATGCCAGAACTGTCTAGTGTTTACTGGTAACTAATGGTACCTTTACTGGAAACTAATGGTGCCATTGTATGCCAAAACTGTCTAGTGTTTACTGGTAACTAATGGTGCCATTGCCATGAATGGTGATGGTAAATCCCATGGTGGTACCACTAGTAGAACTCTAAAGGCACCCAGTGATTCACTCCTTAGCTTTGGCAGACTAGACAAAGAAGAAAAAACAATTTTAGTCTTCCTTTAATATTGTTGATGTTACATCATCTTGTTGACCAATCATGTTTTATTTACTTGACCTATTTTTCTTTGTCACAGATAAATACCCAATCGCCTCCCGGGGACAAAAGTGCTGTCAACAATACAAAAATTCTGGTAACAAGCTATCATCAACATTACATATTTAACCTATCCAAGTTCAATGTTCATAATTTTTGAGAGATGAATATTGTGACAATTCCAGTATAATATCTAAAACCATATATATGTATGCTTTGGATGCTGGATCTGACCTACCTTTTCATGCTGAGTTATCTGTTTAATTTTTTGGAGCAGGTCTATTCCCAAGTAACTATAAACCCTATGGTGACCAAACTTGCATAGGTAATACATCTACGGATGTACACTGCAAGACTTGTTTCTGATGCTGCATCTGACCTACATTTTCTGGATGAGTGGTCAGGTTAAAGTTTTTTGATCAGATCCATCCCCAAGTTAATAAAAGTCTTACAGTGACAAAACTTGCAGGGATAATGCATGTAGGGATGCATATCACCAGATAATGCTTCAGATGCTGGATCTGACCTACATTTTTTACATGAATGAATAGGTTAAACCTTTTGGAGCAGGTCCATTCCAAAGAAAATATAAATTCTACTTGGACCAAACTTGCAGGGATGATGCATCTCAGGATGTGTTTGGATCCTGGATCTGACCTACATTTTCCAGATGGTGAAGTTTTCAGAGCCATAAAAATTTTAAGCAATTAAAATTTCTACTTTAAAAAAATTGCAAGGATGTTGCATCTAGGGCTGTGCACTACCAGAATATTCTTTTCATGTGAGACTTTGCTTTACTTATAGATAACATATTTTGAGGTGAGCTTTGTAATCTTTGATTACCAATGTTTTTTTCAGTACTGGGCACACAGCAGTCTGTTTGGAATGGTCACTACCAGTCTCTTTCTACAAATTAGTCTCACTTTCAAGGTCATTTTGACCATTATTGTCGTCGTTGGTTACAATCTGGCTTTTCATCTCACCAGAACGTTCCATGTTGACATGTTTATCAGGTAAGGCACCAAAAATTTGATTCACTTTTTTATTTTAGCTTACTGTAGCCTAAAGATTTGTGAGAAATTTTCAAAATATTTCTAACCTGTATGCAAACTTTTCAAATCTAAATTCATGTATTGTCTAATTTCCTGTTTGTTTTCTAGAAGCAGTATTGAACCTCTGGATATTGCCACAGGAATGTCCGTTTACCTGGCCGTTTTCCTGTTTACCTTGATTTTTCATGACAGACAGGTATACTCTCTACCAAGATAACTTGGAGAAGCATTAATTGATGTATTCTTAGTTGTTTAGATTTTTTATCCTGAGACATTTTCATCCTGGACCTTTTACTCTGCCTTACATATGCCCTAAATCTGTTACTTAAAATCGTACACATGGACTTCATTCAAAACATCCGTAACCTAATATGTGAAAACTAAGCTCATTGTGGATAGACTAAGTGCAGCAAATAGGATGGCCTGTAAACAGTAGAAACGTGTGCTGTTCCGGAATATTCAGTTTTTATCTCTCTTAATTGTTCTAAATTGACCCATGATTTAGATCTGATTACAACTTTTTATATATATTATACTTATAATCTTCCTTTTATCTTGTAATCAATGTCTAATAAAGTTAAAGTCAAACCTAGTCTCAGGAAAATTATCAATAAAAAGTACATTTAGGTCTTTTGATAAATAAGATCAAGGTGATTAACATTTGAGACCCTGTGAAGATAAGAAATTTAGAAATTCATATATTGTTTGATTTTTAGTATACTTTAGTATGTATTAAAACAATGGTCATGCAGAAACATTCTATGATTCAATTTTTTTTTTAGGTGGAATATGCAAATCGATTGGATTTCCTTTGGAGACGAGAATTTCAATCCGAGACAGAGAAGGTTAGAAACACTGCCGAGCAGAACAAGAAGCTATTGGAGAACATCTTACCCACTCATGTGGCGGAGTATTTCCTGAGAGGAAATCGAAGCAAAAATGTATGTTAATGTCAACTAAATAATTTAATATCAGAGTACTGAACAAGATTTTATATTTACAAAGCCTAAAGGGTGGTTTGCTGACTTCAGTTTACAATCTTGTTTTAGGAGCTGTATAGTGAGTCACATGACAATGTCTGCGTGATGTTTGCTTCCATCCCTAACTTTAAAGACTTCTATCACCAAAATGCCTCCAATAAAAATGGAATAGAATGTATCCGAGTTCTTAATGAAATTATTGTAGATTTTGATCAGGTAAGCCCACAACTATATACATTAGTCTATATAATATATAATCAACAGATTGTAATGTTGCACCTTTTTCTGATCTGAAATAAAAAATATAGAACTATCAAGAAAAACATTTTCTATTCTATGTGAAAGTCTTTATATTTGATCAAATTTTGTATTCCTGTGCATAATAAATTTTAATTTATAGAAATTGTATTTACATAATATGTGATATCAAAAAATTTATTTTCAGCTACTGTCAAGACCAGAGTTTTCAAACGTAGAAAAGATCAAGACTATAGGAAGTACATACATGGCAGCGGCTGGTCTCCGACCAGGTCAGGAAAATGAGGGACAGGAGGGGGAGGGGCGTAAAAATGTCGTTATGATGACAGAGTTTGCCATGATGATGATGGTCAAACTAGAGGAAATCAATCTCAACTCTTTCAATCAGTTCAAACTCAGAGTCGGTGAGGATGACTTTTCACCCTGTTCATAACTTTAGAAGATTCCAGAATGTACCTTATCTTTTTTTCCTAGTGAATCTTAGTTAAGTACTCTTACACCTTTTATCTACATAGGTATCAACCATGGGCCAGTGATAGCTGGGGTGATAGGGGCCAGAAAGCCTCAGTATGATATCTGGGGGGACACCGTTAACGTGGCTAGTCGGATGGACAGCACTGGAGAAGCCAGTAAAATTCAGGTAAATATGCAGCACATCATACATGCCAACTTTTGAAAATTCCCATGGGGGATTTTGCACGTGATGACAATTTTCAAAGCTTTAAATTCGCGACATTTTGTCGTGAAAATAAATGTTTATCCCTTTTTTTAAAATTTATAATATCAATATCACTTGTTAATACAATTTCAGAATAAATAATACAAAATATTTTTTTTCCTTCCAAAATTCAAATATCTTTTGCTTAAATAGGTACCTCTCTCACTAAAGAAGTGATATCTGTTTAGTTTAATTTTAGAAATATATTAGGTTTTGTTACTGTACAGTTTCTGGAAAACATTTGCAAAATTCTATATTTACATTTTACACAATTAGAATTTCTTAATTGGACATTAAATTGAAAAAAAGAAATATTGAAGAATTGCAATGCATTGTGTGTGTGAGGGTGTGTCTGTGTGTGTGTGTGAGAGAGAGAGAGAGATAAGAAAATTTGTTAGTGGTATGTACTTTAAACAGAAGTGTCATTTTATTCCTTATTAATGAGTAGACACCATGATGATTAATTTTATCACACACACTTGTAAAACAATTTGAAGAAATAAATTTACTCTTGAGGTCATAAATTATTTAAAACAAGGATACCCCCTATCCCAAACAAAAACTAAAATTGTTTTAATCATCATGAACGTTTGCATAATCTTGGCAGTGTCTCGTGGGTATTCCCTTGTCAAATTACATTGGGGGGGGGGGGGGGGGGGAGAGAAATTCAGTGTACTTGAGGTATAAGACTTTGTTGTTTCATCTAAATTATTTTCATCTTATTTTAACCGGTAAACTTTACAATATTTTTATTACAAGCAGATAAAATCAGCATCTATGCTTTGTTGTTTTCTACTTTCGTTTTTAAAAAACGATCAACATGGATTAATTCCGATTTTGTTGTTAGTTTATCATTTCACTGTATTTATTTTTTGTATTTATTAAAATGATATTTAATTAACCCCTAAATCTATGTGTACCCCTTCTGACTGAAAAGTTAAATCCCCTAACCGCTCCAGGCTATGTTACCTGTACCTGGACAGCTGTGTGCGTTCAAGCGAGAAGTGATTTCCTGTGGCTAATTAACACCCCTGCATGAGTTAAATAAACAAAGAGACTAATCTGTGTGCATTGAATAAACAAGTCTGATATTCTAATCCCGATTGACAAAATATTTCGGTAGGGAAACTCTGAAAATCAGGAATTTAAGACTGAATTTTTTCAAATCGGGATTTTAGGGCAATTTTGCTTTCCCGATCGGGAGAGCGGGATCAAAGGGTAAAATCGGGAGGATCCCGCCTAAATCGGGAAAGTTGGCATGTATGGCACATTCAGACACAGAACAAATAAATGCTTACAATTTTTTGCACAGTTATTTAATAGTGCTCACATTTATGCTTGTAGATCTGTTAAGCAATTTTAATAGTGCACAAAACACACTTAAATATAGGTTATACTTTTAGAAATTAAACATTTTTGTCTGAAAGAGCATGCAGGTGACACATGCTAGAAGCCATTTTTTTTTCTTCAGGTCCCAGAAAAGACAGCACAGATACTCATTGAAGCAGGTTTCCAAAATGAATATAAAGGACTGACCAAGGTCAAAGGGAAAGAACCAATGAAGACATACTTAATTTTACCACCTCCCATCGAAGCCGACTTTGATAGTCATGATTGAATTAGGTTATTCATCAACACCCAACCCCCTCTCTTAATAGCTGGCTCGTCAGAATGCAGTCCTGGGATAAAATGGACATATTACAAGCATATGACTGATCATAGAGGATTCCAGTTTCCTCTGTGTTCATAACACAATTAAAGATCTGAATTATTGTCAAAGAGAGAGTAAAAAGTCTCCACTTGATTAGCTCATTGCCAAAATATCATTCCAGAAAGTTGTTAGAGGAAACACTTCCAATTTTTTTTAAAACTTGAAATAGCTATGGCTATAAAAATATTTGGACATTGAAGTGAAGAGAAAATTAGAACATTGCCAAAATATTATTTCAGAAAGTCGTCAGAGGAAACACACTTCTGATTTTTTTTTTAAACTTGAATTAGCTATGGCTATAAAAATCTGTGGACATTGAAGTGAAAGAAAATTGTGAAAGTGATAATTATAATGTGATTATGTCCTTCAGAACTTATGTGCCAATCAGGAACCTCTAACAGGTGATACAATTGAGAGTCATCTTCAAAACTTAAAGAAATACACAGAAATTATGTAATAGGAAGTTTATGTGCACTTGAAAACTACTACAATTGTTATTGTAGATCGCCAAGTACTAAACCAAGCCATTTTCAAGTTATATCTACATGTATTAAAAACATGACCTTATTTTGACCAGACAAATCTGGTCACACAGTGTACCTTGTATTAGATGATACAATCAGAAACTGTGATATGTGTTCTATATTTATAGAAAAATTTGTATTAATAAAAATCTACATTAAATCCTTTGTTTGTAAAACAATGATGGTTATTTAAATATGCATGTACAGATTAATTAATGCTATCCATATCTTCATATAATATGTTTAATTATATTTTCATGTCATTTGAATGAAAAGATGATGAATGAATGTTTATTAGTATGATTGTATAGAATTTCTGTTTTCATTAATCTTCTCCAAATCCAGGGTGTTCTACCTTCACCATATTTTTATACTACAAAATTTATGTAACAATATGACATATGCAGTTAATTCTCATACACAACAATTAAAGTTTAGAGAGAGAGAAAAAAGAACATAATATACATGTAAAACAGATGTACATGTATATATGTTACGTAGTAACAGCCAGCAAGTCATGATTCCGTCATTAACCCCCCCCCCCCTTTTCCTGTGATTATAAAAACTTGAATATCATTGTGCTAAATTTATAAACTCATTTAATATCTAAATCTTATGTGTTCTGTATCTGATGGCTAATATTCTTGAAATTGCATGAATTGTGCAGTAGAACAATTTTTCTATTGAAGTGTTTTAAAAAAAAATCTCTCATTTTACTGTTTAAATTTCATTCAGGGTGAAAACTGAAGCTTCAGTATGTTTATGAATACTGAGAATTTCATTTGATTTTTAATGTATCTCGTATACTTTTCCACTGTCTCCAGCTACAGTCTGGAGTCTGCATACAGCTCTCTCCAGAATAAGAGAGGATTGTATATTTTGGCCAGGATTTGTGACAATAATGCTTTTTTGACAAAAAGTTTTTTTTAAATTCCTTTTTAAATACATAAATTGAAATTAAGAATCTCATATATTTTGCATTTTTTCTATTTTATAGACTTCAGTGGCTTTACATCTTAAATGTATACACATCATTGTACATTTACAATCATTAAAAAGATGACTAGATTGTGATGCAAAAATGTACCTAGAAATGCATTTAATATGTGACTTTTGTTTGTAGGTTTATCATTAATAGGAAAACCTTATATATCACACCATTTACAATTTATGTTTTTTTTTTCTTCAGAAGTTTGTATTTTTATACTTTATGTAGTTACAGTAATGGTGTCATATTTTGTTGCTGTATTAATTTTAGAGAATTTAAAACATTAAATTGTCAAGAAACATTAAAATGTGTCAATCTTTTAGCACCAAAACCTCATACTGAGGAGAGCACTGTGTTAAAGTACTGACCCTCCTTTACATGTAGACGTAAATATTTTCCGTCTCATCATGCAATGACCATCAGCTGAAAAGTAAAGAATAAACAGGACTGGAATTGGTAAGCCAGCGGAACAGAAGAAATAGCTTTATCATGACTGACAACTGTACATACTATTCAATAATTAACCTTTGGCACACAGTAATAGAATATGAATCTGTGGTCTGTACACAGCAAGAATTTATAAATGTCAGGAATTTGTAAATGCAGCAACAAATTTTCTGAGGTCTCTTGTCTACTTGTTACCTTTAAAATTCAAGATGATTCAAAACTAGGAAGATTGAACTATTTATCCACTAAATCATTACTAGTAAGTCTTAGTGGTGACCTCAGAAATTCAATGCCCAGCAACAAGAAGAAAATATAATACATCAAGATGATCCTAATACATCAAGATGATCCTGATAAGCTTTTGCTATCAATTAGAAGATCTGAGTATGCATAGCATTTGTGTTTTGTTTGTACTTGACCCATTTTTCCATATGTCCAATTTTCTGGGCTGAAATGAACTTTTATTCCATATGTCAGTTTTCTGGGCTAAAATGAACTCATTTTTCAATATATTTCTAGTTTTCTGAGCTAAAATGAACTCATTTTTCAATATATGTCCAGTTTTCTGGGAGAGCAATTCTTTGACTATATGATAACTCTACAGTTGCCTCCCTTTAAAGCAAAGGCAATCAATATGTGAGACTGTTTTATGCATTTACTGTAAGATAATTTGATTCTGAATTTCTAGATTATAATATCAGATCAGCAGCTGATTTTCCACATGTTTTTTTTATTAAATAAAACTTAACAATACATCAACATTAACAACATACATTTCCTCATTACAAGTATGTAGATATATATTTTTATCAGTATACATGTAGAGACAACATTTTAATCAAAGAGACACATGATTCATTTCATGCTTATTCAATAGATTAAAAATATTTGAAAATACATATATGTGTACAAATATATATATAATCTTCATTGAATAAAAGCATTTGATACTAAGTGATAAATATCTAGTATCCACAGCCTCTTGTATTAACAATTTATATATTACAGTACTCATCTTTCTACTGACAATGAAATATCAACATGGTGTCAGAATAATATGACACTACAGTGAAGTATTGCTGGTCAAAAAAATATTTTTAAACGAGATGTTTGTGAAACACTGATGCCCCCCTACCCCCCCCCCCCCCCCCAATAATTGAAAATTTCTGAGTCCAAGGGGCATAACTCTGTCAAAAATTGTTCGATCCTACCCAAAACAGAACTTGACCTAGATATTTTTATGATAAATCTGTATACCAATTTTCATTTCAGTATTTGCAACCTCTGCAAAGAAAATGGATGGAAACTGCAAATAATTGGCATTTTCCTCAGTCCAAGGAGCATAATTCTGTCAAAAATTGCTTGATCATAATCAAAACACAATTTATCCTAGATATACTTATGATAAATCTGTATAGCAAATTTCATATCAGTATGTGCAACCTCTGCAATGAAAATGAACGGAAACTGCAAATAATTGGAATTTTTCAAACACCAAGGGGCATAACTCTGTCAAAAATCGTTCGATCCTACCCGAAACAGAACTTGACCTAGATATTTTTATGATATATCTGTATACCAATTTTCATTTCAGTATTTGCAATCTCTGCAAAGAAGATGAATGGAAACTGTTGGTAGAGCAACAGACAGACAGACCTACAAACAGCAGCAAAGCAATATGCCCTTCCTTCTTCAAAGGGGGGCATAAAAATGATTTTAATACATTAAATTCTAAAAGTTCAAATCCACCCTTTCACAATATGCCATATTTTTTAATGTCACACATTATTCAATATGCATACACACCTTTGTGATTTACAGTAAGGTGATGTGTAGAAAAAGGTCATTAAATAGCCTTCTTAACTTAACTTTTTGAAATGTTAACTTGACATTGTACATTCACTTTTGTTTTGAAATCTAATTTTATCAACTTTGGGTCATCATTCATGTAAATAGCATAGTCTGCTGCCATCAAAGGGAAATAACTTACGCCACAATCTTCCTTTTGGAGGAAACTTGTTCTGACAATAACCAAAAATCCCAGTGATCAATCTATCAGGCCCACTAGGTCTGCAAACTTGTACTCAACTCTGATAGATCTGTGGTTATACTGCAGACAATTAACGTGGTTTTCATTTCAGTCATCTTTTGGCTTCAGGAATTTTCTTTTAGAGGACTTCTTTTTTCCCTTTTTTAATGTTTCCTCATCAACAGTTACATGAGAACTCTCCTTATCAAAAGACTCATCAATCTCCGCTCGTTTCCTCTTCTTGGCAAATTTTTTGGCAATGGTTTGTGATAAAGACTTGTATCTATAAATGAATATATTCAAGTTTTTACTGGTATGTTAACTAAACCATATTTTTTACCATACCAATTGAAAAACATTACTACAAAAGATATATTTCTACTGGATACAAAGTTGCAGTCATGAAAAATTTTGCAAAAACCTATGATATCACATGATGGTGGAGATCTTTAATATAAGTATATTTATAGTATGATTTTTGTGATACCTCTGCAATATCTCCTGGTCATTAACTAAGTTCTGTGCCATCTCCTGGTCACTGACTAAGTTCTGTGCTTACCTCTGTGCCATCTCCTGATCATTGACTGAGTTCTGAGCTTAGCACCGAGCCATCTCCTGGTCATTGACTGAGTTCTGACCTTACCTCTGTGCCATCTCCTGGTCACTGACTGAGTTCTGAGCTTACCTCTGTGCCATCTCCTGATCGTTGACTGAGTTCTGAGCTTACCTCTGTGCCATCTCCTGGTAACTGACTGAGTTCTGAGCTTACCTCTGTGCCATCTCCTGGTCAATGACCGAGTTCTGAGCTTACCTCTGCACCATCTCCTGGCCATTGACAGAGTTCTGAGCTTACCTCTGTGCCATCTCCTGGCCATTGACTGAGTTCTGAGCTTACTCCTGCACCATCTCCTGGCCACTGACTGAGTTCTGAGCTTACCTCTGTGCCATTTCCAGGTCATTGACTGAGTTCTGAGCTTACTCCTGCACCATCTCCTGGTCATTGACTGAGTTCTGAGCTTACCTCTGCACCATCACCTGGTCATTGACTGAGTTCTGAGCTTACCTCTGCACCATCTCCTGATCATTGACTGAGTTCTGAGCTTACCTCTGCACCATCTCCTGATCATTGACTGAGTTCTGACCTTACCTCCGTGCCATCTCCTGGTCACTGACTGAGTTCAGAGCTTAGCACCGTGCCATCTCCTGGTCATTGACTGAGTTCTGACCTTACCTCTGTGCCATCTCCTGGTCACTGACTGAGTTCTGAGCTTACCTCTGTGCCATCACCTGATCATTGACTGAGTTCTGAGCTTACCTCTGAGCCATCTCCTGGTCATTGACTGAGTTCTGAGCTTATCTCTGCACCATCTCCTGGTCATTGACTGAGTTCTGAGCTTAACTCTGCACCATCTCCTGGCCGTTGAGTGAGTTCTGAGCTTAAATCTGCACCATCTCCTGGCCATTGAGTGAGTTCTGAGCTTACCTCTGCACCATCTCCTGGTCACTGACTGAGTTCTGAGCTTAACTCTGCACCATCTCCTGGTCATTGACTGAGTCTTGAGGTTACCTCTTTGCCATCTCCTGCTCACTGACTGAGTTTTGAGCTTACCTCTGTGCCATCTCCTGCTCACTGACTGACTTTTGAGCTTTTCTCTGCACCATCTCCTGCTCACTGACTAAGTTTTGAGCTTACCTCTGTGCCATCTCCTGGTCATTGACCGAGTTCTGAGCTTACCTCTGCGCCATCTCCTGATCATTGACCGAGTTCTGAGCCTCTCTTGCTGCTGCCTCCTCCAGCTCTCTCTCTGTATTATGGATTTTCATCAACTTCTGTAAACAAAACATTTACCTTAGGTACTTAGCAATTAACCAGTTATCTACCAAATGCAGAACAATTTCTTACTCCATACCTTAATCTGTTTTTTTTTATTCATGCATTGCTAATCAAACACACTGATCAGCATAAGCTTATACTGGCTGATTGCTCTATTACAAAATAGTCAGAAACATACAAGGTTTATTATTATTACTTAAATCCAAAGAGCTAAGTTCACTTTATGCATAAAATGGCCCTGTAGATATACCTATTTATTGATTAACACTTTATGTCCCATTTTAAACATCAAGATAAAGTAGATACTTAGTGCTTTCATTTCCTATTAAAAATTTTCTTCTTAAAGCCAAGGTCTTGGATAACAGGCTTCATGGAATTGCAATGTTCTTGAATTTTTAAGGTAAACAAGTATATTTGAGTACTTTCACAGAAGAGAAATAATATGAGCGCAGCCTCTGATCTAAAAAATAAAACATGTTTTGTAATCCTCAGAAATAGTTCCATCATTTAATAGTTGCATATTTTAGATCAGAGGTTGCGCTCTATATTAAATATCGAAAAATAGCTTTAAAAATTAACTGTTTTTGTAGAATTTTTCAGGATATGAGGAAAATGATGCATTTCATGATGTCATAATGCATTGACTAGCCAGAAAATCACATCATTTTTGATAGAAATGCAGTCACCAAAGGTCTAAATGATATTTAATGCATTGTTAACTAAAACCAAGCAGTTTCAGTTTTTCTGAAATTCACAGGGCCAGAAAAGGCCCTAAGTGAACCTTGATCTTTAACAAACAAATATGCCATTAAAAATGTTAATTGCCCTTCATACACTCTATAATTATCTATATGTATTGCATTCTAGTGTACACTGTACTGTTGTACTTACCTCAACCTCTGGGTTACAGCCATTAAATGAAAATCTTCCAAACTGCAGATTTTCAATATGGGCAATATTTCCTTCAATAATGTATTTGCATCTAAAACGAAAAATTATACATGTTATACATAATGTTAACTGAAACAAATATTCCCAAATAATATCACCCCCCCCCTCCCCCAAAAAATTATTTGTGTTTGTTTTGCTTCAGATCTTTTAAATACTCCTACTCCTATGTTTATCCCAGTACAGCTTGTAAGAATAAAGTATGAAGTGGTGGAAATGAACATCTCAGAACTTTTCATGACCAAGCTTCTCATAGACCATACCAATGTGGTCAGACTTACTCTTTCTGTTCTGTTTCAGGTAAATCTAGGACCCAATGTTCATCATCTATGACTTTCTGTTTCTCCTCTTCTGTTTTCTCTTTTTCTATCTGTAGAGCACTTCTCTGCATGAACTATAAAATTTTACAACAATAACTCTTCTGTATCCTATATAGATTAAACTTTAAGTTACTTGCTACAGATCAGTTCAATGCCACCTAAGGCTAAGGAGCACCTGCAGTGGGGGATTGGGGGGGGGGGGGGGTGATATTAACAAAAGTAAAATACAAGCAAAATGAAACAAATAACAAGAACAGGAGTGAAGAGTGTTGTAGAATCTAGTATAAATGAATGTTTAAAGCATCTCTATTTTCATGATTTCTGCATTAAAAGACCAATATAAAAACTTCATTTTTTTGTATTTTTTTCAGAGAAAATGGAAATATTGTTTTGATTGCAATTTTTTGATTGCTATAACCATCTCCACTAACCATCTTAATGTTGTTTTCCTACCCTTTTATCAAAGAGGGCTCAAAAGTCCTCTTCTCTGCAAGTAGGGTGTACGTTAATCAATGCCAACTCTATTTTGTATGTCTCAAGACGATATTTTTTTTTATAATTTCTTCCGTTTCTTATTTTAAAATTGTTATCATTTGTAACCCAATCTACTATATCTAGAGCAGGGTTGTCCCTAAGACCTGGGGGTCGGGTAATTTCCCCACATATAATGCCATTATCCCCCTGTTAGTCTGGTATTCCTCCTCAAGCTGCTGTTAGAGGAGGAACCTCTGACCCCCTTCTACTTTTTTAATGTCTCCTTCTATTTCAATTCTTAGGGATAACCCTGTTAGAGAGAAGTCAATTTGTATACACTAGTTAATGTTCCGGGCTCTCTTACTCTTCATTTCCTACTGATAGTATGTAGTTTGTAGATGCAAAGTCTTTGAAATAGAGGGTCATCCATAAACACATTTTACTGGTATAAATTTAAATTAGACTTTAAATTTAATTTTATATGATAGAATCAAACCAAGCGCTAAATTCACATTTTATACATGAACATTTACTTGTGCCCTGTAGTAAGTATTACTTCTTGTGTCACTATCAAAACCTGAGGATATTGATACTGTACAGTACCTTATGAATATGAGTCTTCAGTACTGGATTTTATCTTACAGCCTGAGGCTACTTTACCTGATACAAATATATGAGCTCTCGGTTATCGTATTACCATCTTCTTGAGATATTTTTTGTGAAAGCATGCAGTTTAATAATCACTTCTAAGATCTAATAGATCTATTGACATTTGTAAAATCACAAAAATTTAAACCTTCATTTGCAAGACATTCTTGGAAAGAGAAGATTTGCCAACATTCGTCATTCTGGGGTAAGCAGAAAACGATTTCCAAACTGAAACTTTGTTATCCCACCAACCCACGTGCTTAGAGTGCCGATGTCTTCCAAATGCGAAACTATGCGGAATACCTCGCACCTTGCACAAATTGAACTAGGCCTACTATTTAACGAAAAATTGTTCTGACAAAAAAAATGTAGTAAAAAATATAGATATGTGTTAAAGCCGTGTAACATCATTTATAATTGAGTTCTAATATTTTTTCTACATATACATTTTCTAATCTTGCAGGTACTTTTATTTATCAAAGTTTTTTTTTGATATGGATAGGTTTTGAGGGGTTTTGTGTAATTAGTAACAACTATAGAAAACGTGGGAAGAAGCTGTGAGGAAAACAAGCAAAAATGTAGAAATATTTTGGATAAATCGCTTAGAATATAGTTTCCGACACCCTGTTTTATAATCAAGGTAACAGGAAAGTATATTTTAAAAGCATTATATGCTTGTTTTCTTGTACCAAACTGATGCCATGCTCCATTTAAGTTGAATACTGCATAATTGACAAAATTAGTGTATCCCTTTCCGCATTAATACATCCTGTGTAAACAATGATATTCAGAATATTAAATAAAATTATTGATGAGGTAGCCCAAATAACAAAGGCCGTTTATTTGCTTCATCTTCTGGGTTAAAAAATTCTTCCATTGGTTACCAGTTTACAAGAATGCACAGGTTAGTTATGTCTTGGCTGATGCCATGCTCCTTTGAAGTTGAATACTGCATAGTAGACAAAATTAGTGTATCCTTTGCCGCATTAATACATCCTGTGTAAACAATGATATTCAGAATATTAAATAAAATTATTGATGAGGTAGCCCAAATAACAAAGGCCGTTTATTTGCTTCATCTTCTGGGTTAAAAAAAATTCTTCCATTGGTTACCAGTTTACAAGAATGCACAGGTTAGTTATGTCTTGAAGAGGTCCAGCACAATCTCTTGATTTAGCTATATAGCTTGAATTAGCTATATATTTACAAAAAGCAAGCAAAATTGTATTTCCATTGTTTTGGTAATTGTAGGCCATCTTGTGCATAGGGGCTTGTCTTCTGGATTGTTAAAGTAAAATAAATCAATAAAATTTTGAATCTACTTTAAATACACTTAAAAAGTTGTTACAATAAAGATTCTGACACTTTCAGACAAGAAATACTATCCTTAAAAAAAGGTACCACTGAGCTATAAACATGATAAACTCTACAAGGGATGAAAGTTGTCATCTTGGAAAAATACCCCACCCACTTCAGCACCTTTTTATGGACTCAAAAGCATTAATTTATTTAATTGTCATGGTTTTGTTTTTTCCTAAATGTTGATGTGTCTGTCAGTCATCAACATGATTTCAATCAACAGAAAACAGATACAATTTACCTGCCCTTGTGATTTTGTAAACGTCCATTTTTTCCAGGTTGATTTGGAGAGATGAGCCTTTTCTTTTGATTTTCCCTTTGCTTCTGTCTTTTCATTATACTTTGAGGGAGTGTCATAGGTGACATCATAGTTGAGCTGTTGAAACATCATAGCTTAGGGGTTGTATACTGAAAACTTGCAATATAAAGGTACATGTATCCTTTACAGGGAAATGAAGGACCTACAGAATGCCTGGCATACAGATAGAAATCTTTGAGGTAGGTTCAAACAAAACAAACAAGTAAAATTAAATTTTATCTGTCACAGTCAAGCCTAGGAAATCTAGACGCTTCTAATCACTTTATGGACAAAATTAGTAATTTAAATGTAAATGTACAGAAATAGTTCTAAAAGTGAAAAAAAAATGTACATTTAAAGTTTTGTATGCAAGGAAATTTTACTCCTTTTTTTTTTGCCACATACAGTCTCTATCCTTTGGGTAAATGTTATTTTCAGGCTGGGAACAGGGCTGTTTTTATATTTTTTTTTTTTCAGGTACGGAGTCCGGGGCTGTTTTATGGCCGGGAAGTGAAAGAGTCCTCGTCGGAGAGAGTTGTCTTTAATCAGTTTGAACATAATTTGAATAAGCAGTATGAAAATCCCCAAAGCTGTAGTCTGTATCAGCCAGCAAATGTAAGTGTTATGTCACAGAGGATTGTTTTTTATAGAATGTTTATCTGGAAACAGGGGACATCATAAATCAAATGTTTGATCTTGTGAAGGTTGAGGAATAGCAAATATGATATTTACTTTGTTTTTCAGAATGAGGTGTGTATTGGAAAAGCTGGAGACAAGTGGTGTAGGGTGAGAGTGGAAGAAATATACAGAAGACAGAGGGGTCATGAGGCTAAGTAAGTACAGAGAGGTCACAGGGCAAAATAAATAGGGATCACAGGGCAAAATAAATAGCATAGAAGTCACAAAGCAAAGTAATTGTAGAGAGGTCATAAGGCAAATTAAGTGTAGATAGGTCACAAGGCAAAGTAAGTGTAGAGAGGTCACAAGGCAAAGTAAGTGCAGAGAGGTCATAAGGCAAAGTAAGTGTAGAGAGGTCACAAGGCAAAGTTAGTGAAGAGAGGTCACAAGGCGAAGTAAGTGTAGAGAGATCACAAGGCACTGTAACTATTTCATGAACAACATCACATCTTTGAGTTACTACATGACATTTTTATGTGCTTTGTGTTTAGGTGATCTTAGATGCCAATTTAAGGTTGCTTTTATTATACCCCATGCAAAAAGTTGGGGGTATAATGTTTTTGACCTGTCCGTCAGTCAGTTCGTCAGTCCTGTTTTTTTGTCAGCGCAACTCCTCATAAAATGCTGCACAGAATTTCGTCAAAATTTGCAGATATTTAGGTCACAATGTGTAGATTTGCATATTACCAGGAAATTCCGATTCCTTTATTTTTTCTGGGAAATTTGCACTTTTCAACTTGGACTTTTGGCCATATCTTGAATATAGAGATGAACTGTTTGTCAGCGCAACTCCTCATAAACCGCAGCACAGAATTTGGTCAAACTTTGCAGATATTTAGTACACAATGTGTAGATGTGCATATTACCAGGAAATTCCAATTCCTTAATTTTTTCTGGGAATTTTGGCACTTTTCAACTTAGATTTTTGGCCATATCTTGAATATAGAGATGAACAGTTTGTCAGCACAACTCCTCTTAAACCGCTGCACAGAATTTGGTCAAACTTTGCAGATATTTAGTACACAGTGTGTAGATATGCATATTACTGGGAAATTTCGATTCTGTTATTTTTCTGGGAATTTCGGCACTTTTCAACTTAGATTTTTGGCCATATCTTGAATATAGAGATGAACAGTTTGTCAGCGCAACTCCTCTTAAACCACTTAAAGCACAGAATTTGGTCAAACTTTGCAGATATTTAGTACACAGTGTGTAGATGTGCATATTACCAGGAAAATCTGATTCCATTATTTTTGCCCGAAGAGTTTTGCCTATTATTGAAGAAACTTTCCAGCTAGATAATAAGGAAATCCACTTGAATCAGCTTTTTTAATGAAATTTTATGTGAAATATTTTTTATGACCTTAAAAGACTGCTATTGATTATGAGTTCAAAATATTAATGATTTAACACACACACACACACACACAAAATCTTGGATAGTTCTCCCCCCCCCCCCCCCCCTTTCAAATCAGTGCTTTTCCTTAAATAATTTCATATTTACAGTATTTAAACAAATTCATATGACTACATCATAATTTTGTTTCCATCAATTATTTAAATGTGTAAATTGTCATGTGCTGGACATGGACTTACACTCATTAACAAATCGAAATCACTGAGGAATTTAAATAACAATTTGTCAGCATAACTCCTGCACTGAATTTCCTAAAACTTTGTAGGTATTTCAGACATAATGTATAGATTTGTATATTACCAAGAAATTTTGATTCCATTATTTATCTAGAAACTTCAGCCCAATTAAATTTGTAACATACAAAGATATGAATGTCCTTACATGCAAGAAGTTTTGCTGTGATGATTTTTTGCAAGTAATGGCCCTTTTTGAGTCATACTTTGTATTTAAAATGCACTGTGTCATTCATTACGTGTTGCATTGTCGAGTTTTGGGGGAGCGTGGGGTATATGAGCTTGCTTATTTTTTCTTTCATTTGTACTGCATTAATTTCATCCCTCATTTTTCTGCATATCTCTGTTTTATAGGTGTTTTCTTCTTGATTTTGGAACTATGGAAATGATTCCCTTCCAGTGGTAAGAGTTATTTTAAAAACTTTAAGATAAAGTGTCTTTTGATAATTAAGTGAAGCGAAATTAAACTAGTATCTTCTCTGAAGGTTGCGGAAAGCTAACCAGAGCCATCTGTCTGTACCGTACCAGGTGAAGTGTTACAGTCTGTATGGTATACAGGCCCAGACCATGGCCCTCCAGGAGGACCTGTCCTGTCACATGGAGTAAGTTACAACAGGGATATCCCTTGTCTTAAGGGGTTTCAGAATTACAGCAGGGATATCCCTTGTCTTAAGGGGCTCCACAATTACAGCGGGGATATCCCTTGTCTTAAGGGGTTCCACAATTACAGCAGGGATATTCCTTGTCTTAAGGGGTTCCACAATAACAGTGGGGATATCCCTTGTCTTAAGAAGTTCCACAATAACAGTGGGGATATCCCTTGTCTTAAGGGGTTCTGCAGTAACATGGGGATAACCCTTGTCTTAAGGGTCTCCACAATTACAGTGGGGATATCCCTTGTCTTAAGGGGTTCCACAATCACAGCAGGGATATTCCTTGTCTTTAGGGGTTCCACAATTACAGTGGGGGTATCCCTTGTCTTAAGGGTCTCCAATTACAGCGGGGATATCCCTTGTCTTAAGAGGTTCCACAATTACAGCAGGGATCTTCCATGTCTTAAGGGAATCCACAATTACAGCAGGGATATCCCTTGTCTTAAGGGGTTTCACATTTACAGGAGGGATATTCCTTGTCTTAAGGGGTTCCACAATAACAGTGGGGATATCCCTTGTCTTAAGGGGTTCCACAATAACAGGGGGATATCCGTTGTCTTAAGGAATTCTACAATAACATGGGGATAACCCTTGTCTTAAGGGTCTCCACAATTACAGCGGGGATATCCCTTGTCTTAAGGGGTTCCACAATTACAGCGGGATATTCCTTGTCTTTTGGAGTTCCACAATTACAGTGGGGATATTCCTTGTCTTAAGGGTCTCCAATTACAGCAGGGATATTCCTTGTCTTAAGAGGTTCCACAATTACAGCAGGGATATTTCTTGTCTTAATGGGTTCCACAATTACAGCAGGGATATCCCTTGTCTTAAGGGGTTCCACAATTACAGGAGGGATATTCCTTGTCTTAAGGGGTTCCACAATAACAGTGGGGATATCCCTTGTCTTAAGGGGTTCCACAATAACAGTGGGGATATCCCTTGTCCTAAAGGGTTCTACAATAACTGGGGATATTCCTTGTCTTAATGGGTTCCACAATTACAACGGGGATATCCCTTGTCTTAAGGGGTTCCACAATTACAGCAGGGATATTCCTTGTCTTAAGGGGTTCCACAATAACAGTGGGGATATCCCTTTTCTTAATGGGTTCCACAATTACAGCGGGGATATCCCTTGTCTTAAGGGGTTCCACAATTACAGCAGGGATATTCCTTGTCTTAAGGGGTTCCACAATAACAGTGGGGATATCCCTTGTCTTAAGGGGTTCCACAATAACAGTGGGGATATCCCTTGTCTTAAAGGGTTCTACAATAACTGGGGATATCCCTTGTCTTAAGGGTATCCACAATTACAGCGGGGATATCCCTTGTCTTAAGGGGTTCCACAATTACAGCAGGGATATTCCTTGTCTTAAGGGGTTCCACAATTACAGTGGGGATATCCCTTGTCTTAATGGGTTCCACAATTACAGCGGGGATATCCCTTGTCTTAAGGGGTTCCACAAAATGGGAAGTGAATTTATAAAATGTTAGTATGTTATGATTAGAATGTAAACACTTCTTTATTTTCAGGCCTTGTGTAGCATGGGATGAATCAGCAACAGAATACATGAAGAAGTGCCTTCAAAGTAAATCATTTCTTACTATGATATTAAATCATAGAAAGTATCAAGATTAAAAATATTCCTGTTTGAAATCCGGTTTTGATTTTGAAACTCTACATGTATAATGTTTAGTAGAATTTTTCTGATATACATTGTAAGTATGCAGACTGATTAATTCTGTTTTGACAAATTTCAATTTAAAAAATTTTTTTTTAGACACGGCACAATATTTTGTTGATGTGAAGAATGCAGACATGAACAAAGTTGAAGTTATACTGTACATCAAATTAAGGAATGGAGAAGTGTGTTTTAATGATGACCTTGTGAGAAATAAGTATGCTGTAAGGAAAAATCCAGAAGGTAAAGATCTCATTTAATAAGTTTATATTATTTTTACCCACCCAAGCAGAGTGTAGTCTAGTCTATTTGTAAAACATCACATTGCATTGAGAAATAAACATCTTTTTATTTAAAAATGGAATGATAAGGGGATAAACAGCTTTTCCTGCTTGTCAAGGTTATTAACCACATCAGTTGTGGATACTTATGTTTAAATAATGCTAGAAACAAAAAAAATCCTTTGTAATTATAACTTATCCCTCCCCATTCAGTGTCATGTTAAATAGACATTGCAGATTACCTTATAATCTTGGAATTGCCCCCTTCCTCATATCACCTTTCAGGGATTAAGATGAAGGTAGATTTAAGAATCACTGTCTAGTTAGTAAAGTAGGCCATGGCATCAACGATAGTTTGAAACGTGGGATAATTTGCATAACGGGTGAAACCCGTTATGCATAAATTATCCCACATTTCCAACTATCGTTGATGTCCCTGGCATACTCTACTAACTAGACAGTGATTCCTTATATTTCCATTTCATTGTGAAATAAAATTGTAAATTTAGATTTTAAAAATGCAGACTAATAGATTTATGCCCTGTTCACACGGAGAGTTTAATTCGAATTAAACGTAAGTTACTGCGAATTAAATTTGATCCGCGTTCACACGGAGAATTTAATGCGAATTAGTTTAATTCGAATTAGTTTACTGCGCATTAAATTACTTCGCATTAGCTCCGTGTGAACGCTAAGCGAAGCTAATTCGAATTAAATTTTGACGCATGCGTAAGGGCAGAATTAAGTCACAGGCCACATGTCGATGGTCAAATATAGGTACTTGTGCCAATTTTGAGTGGAAAACAAAGGAAAATTACGTTAATCACTAAAATCAGGGTTCTCATTAACGCAAGAATCTGCGTCCTAGACGCAGCAAAATTACTTGGGACGCAAGGTTCTTTAAAACGATGCGTCCGCGGACTCGTGATCGGACGCGTCCTCGTTAGCGAGAAAATTCGGGTGATTTCGAAAACGGGGAATTTAGATGTTAGGATTTGTCAAAGAAATATTTAATCGAAACCTTCCTGTAACTATCATAAAGTTTATCCAAGAAACAACTTTTCTTATACTTACTTCTCTTTTTTTTTTAAAACAGGGATTGATCATAAGATATTTCATGTTTATTAGTCCATAGTCATAATAGTGTCGCATGCCAAACTCCGACAGCTGTAAACACACTGCAGCTTTTTTTTAAAAACACTTTTGAATCTTGAGTGTTATCTACATGTAGAAACCATAATTACTGCTTGTATACACAATGCGGCTTGATTACCTCGTGAATTTCACCCAGTGCAGACGACCGACAGGATTAGTTACGCCTCATTGCACATGACACCTGTGATTGTATACAGTCAACTTCTGGGTACTTGATTTTTTAGCTTTATAAACACCAAGTTATTTTTATGGCAATTGATTACGCGTGTATTTTAGAATATAGCTTGAATGCATTACCAGTTTATATACTTGAATATGTTAATACTGCGTAAACAAACTGATAAAATGATAAAGATTTTTATTGATGTTTGGATGGAAGGATACTGCAATAATTTATAGTTGGGACTCAACATAATTTTTCTGGGACGCATCAAATTTAGCTGGGACGCAACCTTCTCAGAAACCTTGAGTCCTGGGACTCAAGTTAGCAAAATCCTAGTGAGAACCCTGTAAAATGTGTACAGGCACTATGACATTATGTGAAATATATATATCTGCTGTGCACAATATGACGTGATTTGTAACTGACGTCATAATAGCCTCACTGAATAGCCTTGTTGTAGAAATAAAATTATAATTCGCATTAGTTTACTTCGCATTAGCTGTCGTGTGAACGCAATTTAATTCGCATTAATTTAATTCGCATCATTTTACTTCGCATTAATTTACTGCGAATTAAACTCTCCGTGTGAACAGGGCATTAAATTACACAGCTGTTACACGAGGCCTCACATGTCAATTTCAATAGTCCCTGCCCACTGACGTCAAACACAAAGGCAGCCGCACGAGATTTACATGCATATTAGGCCTCCTTAGCGTCCGACACAAAGACAGCTGCACGAGAATTACATGCATATTAGGCCTTCTTAGCCCCTGACCTTTCGCTTGGTGAAATTCATTCCGGTAGAATGATCAAGAAATCAACTCCACTAACTTTCAAAGAGTTATCACAGAGAAAACAAATAGAAATGGAAATATATACAGTGAAACCTGTCTTATCTGACATGCTGCGGGAAATAAAATCAATGTCGGATTAGACAGTGTGTCGGATTACCCAGTGTTGAATATTTCTGAGCGTTATGATTGGTGTCAAATGACTTCAAAAACCATTTTTCATTAGGTTTAGAGTACACGTGTATTTAATTGTCAAAATGTTTGCATAATTGTGTGTTTTTTTTGTTGTATAAAATATACCTTCGTTAATTAGCATTTCTTTGAGCATTAGTAAACTCTGTAGTAATATACGATGTTTGTTTTTTTTAATGGACAAAACAGATGGAACTGCCAATCGCTTCGAGAAGTTGCAATTTAATTTTTAGCATTTTACTAAAGCAGTATATGGTTAAGTAAATATTTCGTTTACATGTACCTTCTTTATACAGTGGTATTATTATTTTTTTTACACTACATTTCTCTCCGAATTTTCTCCACTGTTTACTGCTCAACATAGACTGTGCTATTAATACCGTCACGCGACTTTTCATACAAACCGGATGTAACTCTAAAACATTGTGATTTTTATCAAACAATCGTAATATTTTAAAATTTATTGGGCAACTTAAAGCGGTATTTTTGCTTCCGGTAAATCCTTTATGTGCACAGCCTTGCTTAATTCAGTGTATATTAACCCTGAAATGAAACTTTTTCTTTTAGACAAGATGTACCATTCAACTTGTGTATTGTCTACATGTTACATTCGCCGTACTCTTTTTTTTTTCGGGACATGGCTTTATGAAGGACTGACTGCATGTTTGATTTTAATTTCAAGCTAAAAATCTTAATGTAATCAAAATATCATGTACTCTTTTTATTTTCTGTCACGTAGATGCTATTTCTTAAATGCGAGAATAAAACTGATAACAACAAAGAGAATTGATTGCCTAATTTTTTAATTAAAAAACTGATCATTTAACGCTTACATATACACTTTCAAACTTACATGTAATTAACTACTCTCTAATCTTGTGGCCAAACGGGACATTCATGTCACCTGGCCTGCGGCTAATTACGGAACACTCGTGTAATTATGTCGGATTACCCAGGTGAAATCATAATGTAATTATCTAGTTTTGATGACAAAAAAGCGCCGGAATTCGGAATGTACAGTGGTCGGAATATACAGTGTTTTGTTTTATATAAAATTTAAAGAAATTTTAGGGAATAAAATATGAGGTCGGAAAGTCCAGTGTGCCGGATTGCACAGTTGTCAGATTGGACAGTGGGCACTGAACTGATAACTGTGGAATTAATTTTTTAGATGTCCAGAATGTAACACCGCCTGACAATAAAACCAGATCTCAACCATTAACAATAGAGGGTGAGCTTAACAGGCTGGAGCTAAAGAAATCGAAATTAAAATCTAAAACAACTCCTAGTTCTAGTGACATTGACTCGGTTATCTCAGGACCACAGACTACAGCTCAAGGAACTGATTCCGAGTCCTCCAAATCAGGGAGTGTGCTGGAGAGCCGTAGATCAGGGCTAGGTCGAGGATTCTCACTAGGCCAGACGCTCAGGGAATGGAAAGGAAAGAGTAAAACTGAGAATTCAAAAGACACTGAATCCTTAGTGAGAAAAGACTCTAACTCTTCAGGTAAAACGACAACAGGGAGAAATAATGGAAGCAGCTCTCAAAGTCTTCCGGCCGATCCTGAGGATTCTCATATGTTGTCCTTTGTTCACAGGCATCAAAAACCTAGATCAACTACTGAACAAAAATTTAAAATGTCTATAGGCCGGAAACAGGGTAGCTCTCAATCCCTCAGTTCAGGCGAGGGTAGTGTAATGTCTGCACCATCTATAAAATCTCTGCACACTCCAATGAATGGAATGCTGGGAAGACTGATGAGCAGTTTAATAGCTGCCCAGCCCTCCACTACCCCCCAACCTAGTGTGTCAGACTCTGAATTGCTCAAATCAAATCCATCTAATGCCATCCATAGATCTGTTCATACAGAAGGGTCTTCCTCGGAAAGTGTTCAGAAAAACATTAGGACTTTTACCCCTTCCTCCTTACAAAAATTACAACAATCTGTGGAAGAACCTCCATTTGTAAATACCTCATCTGTTTCTATGGATTGTAATAAGAATTTCCAAGTGCCAAAGAGAATTGATGGAGAAAATCTAAACATAGGGTCATCATCTTCAGGAGAAGTAGTCAACTCATTGAGTGAAACATTGTCAAATGAAAACGTCAGACAACCAGAAAGCACAGTCACAAATATAAGGGACCAGATAAAAGATCTGTAAGTATTGTAATAGTACTTATTGTTATCTTTTGTAAGTATTTCAAAATCTGACTCATTCAAACATGCATGTACATACCTATAACTCCGTTATATTGCCACCCTCGCTTATTGCCAGGAATTCTCGAAGAACGGATTTCACCCTGTGTTAATACACCCGTTATATTGCCACCCCCGCTTATTGCCATCCGCCACTGGTTTTGGGAAACAAAAGGTCAAATTATATAAGGAAAACCCTCGGTAACAATGCCAATTATCTATAGTGCGTGTCGGTAATTTGGACACCACACCCGTGCTTTGACAGTGGTTGCGGTGAAGCGTGACTGCCTGGACAAGGAATTCAGCTAAATTAAAAATAATCGTTGTATTAAACTCAAAATTAGCAAAGTCTTTGGCGTGTGTTTTTAAAAAAAGATTGATCAACAGTCGATCTATTTGATCGTAAATGGCCGATCAATATAAGCAATGGAATCCTTAATATTTTCACGTGCGGAATTATGGTAGTCTAAAAATAGATATGGGGTTTCCTTTTTGATCGATAGAATGGTTATATTGGATAATGCACAAAACCATAATAAATGCAAAAATTCATTTGTGTCCCCATAGATTAAGAAGCCATTCTATCGATCAAAAAGGAAACCCCATATCTATTTTTAGACTACCATAATTCCACACGTGAAAATATTAAGGATTCCGTTAGCCCTGAAATTTTCTTTAATTGTCGGGCATTGTTTGATTGATAAATATCAAAACAGAATCGGAAGAGTACACAGGTACTAGCAAACATGAAAATACATGTTTGATATAACGGGTTGACGTATTCTGACATGTGACTTATCATTCGTCAGTCATGATGCTTTACCAACTGAACTTTTTAACTGATTCAGAAATTTTTGAGACGGTGAAATAATCTACTTTCGATTCAGATGAAATTAATGATAATTCTCAAACACTTTTTTATACCAAGAGGCTATAACGGCCACCGACATTTTTGGCATCAATTCTTAGAGCATGAAGAAAGGAAATTGATGCGTTCAATATTCTGATATTTTATTTCTTTTTAGTCAAAATATTGTAAAAAAAAAAAAAAAAAAAAAAAATAATAATAATAATAGTGACTTTTTTTCAACTGCCCTTATACACATGTGACATAAATAGAGTGTAACTGAAATAAATTACGTAATCTATTTATTTTGTTTTGATAACCCACTGAATTGTAATTTATAGCAGAATTCGTTATATTGCCACCCTCGCTTTAATGCCAAAATCTGTCTTGGACAAAAGTTGGCAATATACCGAGGTATCACTGAACATTTAATTATTTCTACAGTAGGGTTGCTGATTCCAGGGGAGATGTTGATCGTAGAACTGACATGATGAGCAAAATTCAGGGTGACAGGTAAATTATATTGTATATGTACAGTACATGTTTTACACCCTCTAATGTTAGATGTTGCCTGGACATACACTTTAGGAAAGTTATACTGTTAGGGGTTAAGGATTAGTTATAAATAGCCTGGTAACTTTCATCCATAGAACACCCATTCCTTGAAAAATTCTTTAAAATTTTTGTCATGGAAGTATAATCATACTTTTGTCTCAATTTCAGAATCATGGCAAACTTATCTGGTGGTGCAAAACCGATATCTGTAAGTTCATGAATAATAACAATTTTAAAGATAAACAGATTGAAGAGAGTTTTCAAGGTTATTTAAGGCCTTAAAAAATTAATATCTTGTTCTCAGGCCCAACCACATCTCATTTAACAATGCACATTACCCATTCTTATCCTCAAATGAATAAAATAAAATTTCTCTCATGCGCTCATATGGTGCAAAAAAAAAAAAAAAAAAAAAATCTAGAATCCCGACCACATATTAGATACTCCCATCAGTAAAACATTTGAAAAGCATGAAGATTGTCCAGAGTAGTGACCTTGTTAAAAATGCAAGTATGGCCATCGAGTTAACTGGTTAAGGCTTCAGGATTAAGTATAGTCATGATGGCATTGATTTCAGTGCAAATTTGTGAGGGAATGACTGTAATGTTTCCATGGCACAAAGTGGGGGTTTTCTGAAGGTTTCATGCTAGAACTCTATAAAAGATGGCTTCCTCAACCTTGGAACTTGGACATTTCCAGAAAAGCTTCAGCAAGATTTGCTGATTTCATTTGGTGTGGGTAAACCAAAGACTGATAATTTTGACAATGTTTAATAAAATCATAACCACTATTTATACTGCTGAAACACTCTTAGATTAGATGCATCACTACAAGTGTCGGGTTCTGTAAGTCTAAGACATGTATGGTTGTTAGGATGCTGTGGTTTCATTACACGGATGTAGAAAATGCAATAGAATAGAGAAAGAAATGCAGGAAATATATAATCTTGATTTCTACACTCAATGTTGAAGCACTGTTGATTTAAAATTGCAAGATTTGAAATCTATAAAAAAAAAAATTGCATCTGTTTTTGTGAGGTAAAAAGGGAGAAAAAAAAAACCTCCCTCCCACATTTTTGACAAAACTGGCCTGAGAACCAAGTTTTTTTTTTTTTTTGGCCTTATGTGCACATTTTGTGTGTTTTTGTATAAAGTAGATGAATAACTACATGCACCAAGCAGTAGTTTTATATTTCTGATGTTCATTGAGTATCAGAGAGAAATCTTCTCAGAATTTTTCTTTTGCAGGCAAGTACAGCAGTTGTATCAAGGAAATTTTTAGATGGTGTTCTGGTACACAGTGAAAAGACAATAACCCCTTATCTCAACTTTGATGACACTCCGCTAGTCCCAGAGCTGAAGGAGGTATGATCCTAAATCACATCAGCCACTTGAGTTTTAGATTCTCTGCAAGTAGTATGTGTAAAATGCCAAACATGCTGTAATGTTCTTAAATTTTTATACGCATGTCTTTAGACGGGACGTATTATGTTATGGCGTTCATGTCCGTCCGTCTGTCTGTCTGGTAGCTTTTCTCGTGTCCGGCTCATAACTTTAATACTATTAGGCCTAGGATTATCAAACTCTGTCAGCTGATACTTCTTGGGTAGAAGGTGTGTCGCGCACGAAAAGTAGGTCGTTCTGACCTTTAATTAAGATGCTATGGCCAAATATAGAAAAATCCTGTCCGGCTCATAACTAGAAAACTATTAAACTTAGAATCATCAAACTTGGCCAGTCTATGCATCTTAGGTAGAAGGTGTGTCGCGACCTATTTCAAGGTCACTTTGACCTTTAATTTAAGTGAAATTTAAAAAAAAAACTGTCTTTTTACTATTAAATTACACAATTCCAAAAAATGTAAAAGTGTTGCAGTATCCTTATTAAAAAAATGTTAAAATCAAGAAAATACTTATTTTTTTCATTATATGCTTTACAGCAATCTATAACAAATATAATGTTACAAGAGAAATTCCACCTCTCCCATGGGTGTAATTATCAAGCACTGGTCAAGGAGAATTTTGATAACAGAAAATTGCATGTCAAATTAAAGAGAAATTAATGAGTTCAGTGTGAGGAGCTAACTGGTAGAGCATCTCTGATCAAGCAGGTGTTATCTATATCTCTTGGGAATTGGGCAGAGGAATCAGCCATGTTGGATTACATAGTTTTTGTGGGCTAGCCTAACTTTTAAAATGAATTTGGTGAAAAGCAATTAAAACTAATTTGATATTGTATAATAAACTAATTTGATATCTTATATTAAACTAATTAATTAAAAACTAATTATACTCGGAAGGGGGGGGGGGGTGTGATATTGGAATTAGCATGCCGGTTGTCCATATGAATTGCAGCTTAAAACCAGTCTGACATTGAGTCTAAAAAATATCAAGTATTTCAAAAAAAAAAAGTTTTAATTATGGTAGATAGTCCCTACAAATCTAAGAGTCAAGCAGAAACCTTATTAAAAACGTTGCATCAAGATTACAAATTTTTTTTTCTTTTTATAAATCTTTGTAACAAATTAAAAAAATCTTTGTTTTCAAATTTAATTTCAGTATGACATAAATATGCATTTTAATTGCACTACAAAGCAGATAGCGCAGATCCATTCATCCCTTGGGAGTAATGAGTGGACATGCATCCAGTTAAAGTGCGGGTCTGGGGTATAAATAACAGCCAATGAGAAAAATGGAGGAAATTTCAACTTTCTTGCCACTTTTCACTTCGCAGGAGATTTTTTTGAAATTATATCTATACCGTCAATAAACATCTTCCGAAAGTTGTTGAGCAATCTAACTAAGCTATCAAGTGTGTTTGGGTGTTTACAATACAGAGTAAAAAATATATATACAGCCTATAATATTCATTTTAAATTCTGAGGCGATCGAAATTTCAAACTTCTTTGGAGTTTGATGGACAGCTTTAGAATGTTTACATTTACACCGGAAATGCCCGTCGCTATTGACGCATGCTAATGGCCGCCATATTCTCACCTCAAAAGAAAAGACGAAAATACTCCGAAAATAATCCTCAATACTTTTTATTATCCTTTCATCAAGTTGTAAATTAGAAACAAAGCCCATGCTTAGAACACAGAGAGTGTAAACAATTATCACTGTGGGTCAGTCATGCTGTTTTAGTCACTGTAGTGAAGCATCACATCGGCGAGATAACAAAGATTATCATATATATATCAGAGTGACACGTGTCTGTGGCTGTCAGCAGGGTTAGACCCAGAAAACAATCAAGTGGAAATGAAAACAATAAAATCATAATTATAAAGTCACACTATTAAAAAAGAAATCTTCAAAATATTTTTTAGTTCCAACGATGTCCCATGTATGGCTTATTTTTTGGATTCGGAAACCAATACCTAACAAGTTCTAAAACGCATTCTGGTAAAATATCCCTACGAGGGCACACAACGTTTCGTAATCTTGGATCATTGAGTAAAGCAGTTCTTTTCTTCGCTATATATCTCTCATCCAAAAACACACCTCTATGAAAGAGCATAGTCCAAAAGAATTTGTACCTTTCTTTTCTAAGAGAACTGTTCCGTGTGTTTGGTGGCACAGGCTCCGATGCCCACCACATTTGTTTATTGCGTTCGTCAGTTATGCAAGGTTTACATAAACAATTCTGACATTCCTCACAGTTTTCATTTTGCGGGATAAGGTATGTCCTTTCAAAATTCATGCCTTCCTCTTCATTTCTATCATTTTCAATTGTATCTTCATTCATCTCTTCTAAATCCCAGTTATTAAAATTAAAGAATTGTATAATGGCTTCTCTTTGTTCGGAATTAACTCTCAATGAAATAACACTTTTCTCTTCTTGTTCCTCCATTTTGCTACAATGAGACCGCGTTTTGTTTTGGAGGGAAGTTTTTCAGGGGAGAGGTATTTTAAGGGACTCAGGATTTCATTTAATCTACTATAAACTCTATTTATTGATAAAACTGGAAATTATAAAAGTAGATGACTGGTTTTAAGAAATATATATGTATATATTTTGGATACTGCTTGTATTTCTTTGATGCACATATATTATGGATGTTCCCCACTGAGCCCTCTTATCCTTCTCTGTATCACAGCTAGGCTGATTTATTGACATTTGGCGGGTGGTCCCTCCATGTGCCTGTGGAAGTTGGTCAATTCCATCTGAAACCTAAACAGGGGTAGTGGGGGCAACCATGTGTCAATTTCTATTATAATATGAATATAATTCTTCCCCATAAAATTATTAAAATCATTTTATCAAATAAAAGTTAGAAGTGCTATTAAAGGACTATATTCTGTAGTGGCCAGTATCTGCCCCCAAAATAAAACTTTGATGGAGAAATCTTTAATTATGTTCTAAACCAGGTGGATATTTGTAGACTTCAAAGCATTAAATATTTTTATCAACTATGACATCATTAGTTAGATATGACATCAATAAAATGACGTAAATTCCAAATTGCAATGATTTTGAGAGAAAATAGTGTATTTTACATCGTTATTTTGATTGGAAATTATCGAGCGCAAGTCTGCTCAGACTAGATCTTTTGATATAATGTGTAGAATGATAATATCAATGAAATATGTGAATATGGTACCTGAGCAAGCTTGCGCTCTATAAATACTATAGTCAAAATTGAACAAACTCTGTGCATTTTGGCCTCTTTTTTAAAAATAACGGAAATCCAAATAGTTTGTGACGTCACAGAGACAAGAAAAGCCAACTAATTTTTCCAATTTCATAATATATTGTCTTAATTTGGATTATTTTATACAATATATACACTTTTTCTCATTTCAAGAGATTTTCAAAATTTGACTATTATGGGGGCAGGAATACGCCCATACCGTATATAGTTCTTTATAACAATATTATTCACAAAAAGGTAATTGTTGGTTGTCATTTTTTTTTAATTACAACTTATCAAAAATGGTACAGTCCACTGAAATATGATCCCTGTTGTATAGATAGTTTAGATATATTATATAAGATACAACCAGGAGTAAATTCAAAGAATAATCGTCATTAACTAAGCTTTATTAATTATTACTAAGAAATTATATCATGGCTGAAAACAAACGAAAGCATCCTCCAACTTTTAAGTTAGAAATACCAGCTAACGAAGACAAGAAAATTAACATCTTGCAAAATCTTCAGGAAGTCAGGGAAATGTTAGTCAAACAACTAGGTAGACCTGTTAACAATGCCGACATCATGGAAAATTTGCTTTCTACCTGGAAGAAGTCAGTGACTGAAGATGATCATCCAAAAACACCTGGAACTTATATTAATGTTAAGAGAAGTCAGGTTAACCAGGACTTCTTTGTGACATCGTTGCCTTCCGTGAAAAAACTCATGGATGTTGCTGCTGTACATGGAAAACATTGTGGAGGAAAATTGGAGGTAAAAAAAGCAACAAAACGGGGACATGTCACCTCTTTGAAACTGTGTTGTTCAAGAACTGATCGGTCTAAACACAGGTATATTTGGGCATCTTCACCCTACCTTCCGAATGGGAAATATCTCATCAATGAAAAAATTAATCATGCTTTCTTGTGTAGTGGTATGCTACCATCCTGTTATTCTAGATTTTGCAGAGAAGCAGGATTCGGTGTACTTTCTGTAGAAAAACGGAATTCGTTTTTTAAAATGTACAAGACATTTGTCCAACAAGAGTACGAAGATTCTATTAACACTGCTTTACTAGAGGAAGTTGGACTATATGACAATCTAGATGGAATTGATATCATAACTGACGCACGGCATGGGTGGCGGAAAAATGCCCAGGACACCAGTGTGGTGGCAATAGGTGAAAAAACGCACAAAGTTCTCAACTGTGTGCACATTGCAACCACTGACGATCCAGTTACCCAGAGACATGAAAAAATTGGAACTGAAAAAATTTACGAGGATCTTGACAACAAACAAGTTTCTGTCAACGTCCACACACATGACAGAAATATGTCAATTAACAAACTAGTCAGGGAACGTGAAAATGGATTTACCTGCAACCAAAACGACATTTGGCATGGCATAAAAAATATTAAGAAGGCCATGTCTGTCATTTCAAGTGGACCACGGTACAGAGAAGGTAAAACGTGGTCCGAGGAGCTGTACGATAAACCGGAGGCCATGTCTACACATTTCTATTGGGCCATCAAGCACTGCGGTGGAGACATAAGTACGCTCAGAGAGATGTTGGAAAATATTGTAGACCACTATAAAAACAATCATGAAAGATGCCATCCTTCCTCAAGATGTAAAGTGGATCCAAACTACGAATCTTCCCGAGTGGTGATTCAAAACCCTGAAAAACTATTAAACGGTGTGATAATTAATTCGGTGATTTATAAAAATCCGGATGATTTTCGATTAGGACGTGATACTTATTTTGTTGAGAGTTTTAATAACACTTTAAATATATATGAGGATAAAAGAATCGCTTTTGGCAGTGAACAGTATAAAGTGCGAGCATTCCTGGGAACGTGTCACTGGAATGAAAATGTGGGTAGAGACATTACTTCCATTACCTATACACGTAACCCCAAAACCCCACGAAAGCAACTTGGGAAAAAGAATTATAAAAAACAAAAATTTCAGTTCAGGAATAACATTTGGAGGCGTTACATAAAACATGTCTTTTCTAAACGTAAAAATAATTAAAACATTTATGTATTTGCACAGTCTTTGTTGTCTTAGTTTTAGCACGTGTTAGTGGTATGCTGCTGTCTATTAATAGCATTACACTGCAGTCTTATCAGTGGGGAGGTGTGACCTGCTCCCTAATATGCTTAATTGCTGTCCGTGTGGATATTTATCTAGGTCAGATCCGGCCTTTAAAGATTAATTAATGAGTTCAGTGTAGGAAGGCTAGCTGCCTCAATTATTTCTGCTAGAGCATATCTGATCAAGCAGTTCTTATCTGTATCCTTTGGGAATTAAACAGAAGAACTGCTGGTCAGTTTATAGCATATTTCATTTGATGGCCAGTCTTCTATTTTAAAATTAATCTGGTATAGATTAAGTTGTTAAGACTAAATTCATATTGTTTAATATGATATTTTTATTTAATTTTTGAAAACATCAACTAACAATTTTCAGAGCATCATGTCTCAAATATGAAAGATGTGTGTGTGTGTGTGGGGGGAGGGGGGCTGCAGATGGGCATTTGTCAAGCTCTAACACAACCAGTTGAGGATCTATAATGTAATAATTGTTATAATTCATGCCTACACCATAGGAAAGGTATAAACAAATATTATAAGGAATGGAAAAATCATGGAAATTCGTGTATCAAGGTTGACTTGATTTTCTTGCACTCTAAACTGTTTGTGATAATTGAACAATATTTGACGGGCTGTGGCGGGGCACTTTATTATCATTTGAATAAGAGGATTTTTCCAACATCAACACAATTGTAAAGTTATGAATCGAAGCAGTTTTTGTATAAATGCAAGTATAAGCATAGATATGGCAGAATGAGGCAAGCACAAAGAAAAGTATAATAAGATTACCCATAAAAAGAAGCATATTTACAGAAACTGAAGTCACCAGGTGTTTTTTTCTCTTTCTCCAGATTCTGAAGGGTTTTGAGTTTCCCTCTCCAATGTTGATCCAGGCCTATGGATGGCCGGGTATTTTAAAATTGAACCATGTGGTAGGTGTTTCACCTGTCAATACTGGAAAAACCTTCACCTACCTGTGTCCTCTACTCAGCGAGCTCCTCCATCCACTGTCCTACAAAGAACTGGCCATCGGCAACGGGGTAAGGAGGAGACACCGACAGTACACACTGTATTGTTGGAATTGTATATTAGGAGGTGTTTCCTCAGCTTATTTTTAGCCTTATTGACCTAATTTTCATTGGGTAGTTTCGGGGTGGGGGGTGAAGGAGGGGGATGCATATAGAAAAATTAAAATGGAACAAAATGTTCCTATATATTTAATAATTTGAAGGATTTTTTTTAAGTGCAGTTTTTGAGGATTGAGTCAAATATTAATGATGGAGTAAAGTGAGAAAAAAAAATCCAATGATTACATGTTAATGAATGCTTGTAAGACTTGTGTGGAAAATGGTTAAAAATAGAATTTTGGAATTGAAGTAAGGGAGAAAAGTATCCAGACAAGAAGTAACAATAGGGGTAAGTGATTAGTGTATGTATGAATGATATGGTATTTATTTTTTGTTGTAGCCTCTTGCTTTAGTGCTGGTGTCCTCCTGGAAGAAGGCTCAGTCTGTGTACGATGTCACTACCGGACTACTGAGGGATCATCATCGACCGCGCCCACTGGTCATTTACGGAGGAGGGTGTGAACACAATCAATACGTAAGTTTGCTTGATTGTCTGCTAGTAATTAACAAATCTTTACAGGAGAGATTTATTAAAAATGTTTAACAGAGTTAACTGGTTAGAGATACTGTAGGTGCTGTTAAAATCAAAACAACATTGTGAATTTAAATAAAAAAATTGTTCTTTTTTTTATTAGGTTCCACTGATGAATGGTTGTGAGATTTTGATTGCTACGCCCCCATGTCTTGTCCGCATGATCAATCGCAGATACACCGACCTCCAGCGACTTTGTCATCTGGTCAGTAACTGTCCAATCATGATCATTTATTCAGGCATTAGTCAGTGTGAATTTGTCTTACAGTAGGGATGCGCGATTTTATCGGTATACCGGTATATCGCGATTTTTTATTCCGTGATACATATCGTGATACGGAGACTAAAGTACCGGTATTTGGTACATAACTATAAATTCCGGAAATTATTCATTTATTTGTTCAAACTATTGAATGACAATTACAGGAAGTGTACAAAATGTTGAAAACAGTTAAATAACGGCATTCAAACATGTTTACATTAAACATGTTAAATAAATAAAGATTTTAAAAAGTAATGTTATGCTTTTAGAGCATATTTTTAAGAAATATTAAGGAAATTAATTTGAAATTGTAGTAAAAATTGTGTGTAAAAATATCACGATTTATCGTGATATTTTTGGGAAAAAATCGTGATATATCACGATACGAAATTTTTGCCGATACCCATCCCTATCTTACAGATGATTATCAGAAAGCCCTTATTTGTCATCTTTACAGGTAGTTGATGATGCTGATCTCCTGCTGAAGGAGTACTCTGAGGAGGTAAAGATTCATCTTAAATTATTTATGTTTATGTACATTATATCAATGGAACCAGTTTGCCCAATGATGAAAATCACTCTATGAGACAAAAGAAAGCAGAAGGCTGTGATATAGTATGTTGGGAAATATATGGTGATAATGAAGATTTTTGTTTAAAGTGTTTTTCTTTAATTTTCCATTATTTCTATTTGTAAGTAATATTAACACCATATATCTTCCGGACTGTGCTGTGTCCAGTGTTGATGCCTGTCTGTGATGGTGATTATGAGAGCTGAGGGCAGGCAGGGTTTGACACTAAGCACGTCCGACCGACCCAGTCTAGTAAATGAGTGGTCCAGTCTTGTCAAATGTTCATGAACTAAACCGACTGGTCATGTGGATGAAATAAATGTTAACCCTCATTTCAGTCTTTCAAATAAACTTTTTAAAGAAATTTTCTTAATTTTCCGATCGCAATTTTAGACAGCATTGCTCTGAGAAGGAAAATTTCCCTGCATGACACAATCGCTATTTTTAGATGTTTGTGTGATAGTGTTTGATTGGTCTGTAATAGTGTTTGTTTGGTCTGCAATGTTTGTGTGACAGTGTTTGATTGTTCTGTGTTACAAGTCTGATTGGTCTGTGATGTTTGTGTGATAGTGTTTGATTGGTCTTTGATGTGTGTGTGATAGTGTTTGATTGGTCTGTGATAGTGTTTGATTGGTCTGTAACAGTGTTTGATTGGTCTGTGATGTTTGTGTGATAGTGTTTGATTGGTCTGTGATGTTTGTGTGATAGTGTTTGATTGGTCTGTGATTTTTGTGTGATAGTGTTTGATTGATCTGTAATAGTGTTTGTTTGGTCTGCAATGTTTGTGTGACAATGTTTGATTGTTCTGTGTTACAAGTCTGATTGGTCTGTGATGTTTGTGTGATAGTGTTTGATTGGTCTATGTTAGTGTTTGAATGTACAGTGATGTTTGTGTGATAGTGTTTGATTGGTCTGTGATGTTTGATTAGAATTTCATTTGTTTATGTTAGAGTCTGATTGAATTGTGATTGGCCTGTGATGATAATGTGATTATAGTCTGATTTCCGTGATGCATGTGTGATGGAATGTGATTGGTCTGTGTTAGAGTCTGATTGATCAATGATGTATTTGTGTGATGGAGTGTGATTGGTCTGTTTGATGTTTTCTCAGGTGCAGGAAATCATGGATTTGTTTGCTGAGGCCAGGAAGGAGAACATACACAAGGCAGTCCCCTATCAGATCATCACCATGGGAACACAATGGACTCCAGCTGTCCACAGCTTCACACAGGCTTACATGCCAGACCCAACCATTATCATCACATCTCGATTCGAGGCTGCTATTTATGGAAAAGTCATACAGGTACAAAATTGTGAATTTTTTGAGAATCTTATAAATATTTAGTTTAACAGAACTGAAAAAATGAAATAATTTGTTCTTTCAATGGTTTAATTTTCTAGAAAGGTTAAAGTATACTTTAATTTTTATTTAAAGCATGTTGAAATGTGCCAAAGTTCACAGAGGTCTACCAGACTTTTAGAAGTTTTAGATAGTGTCTTAAGCAATGGGGTGAAGGTCATCATCTTCACAACCACAGTCAATGATGTGTGTTTCCTCATCAAGGTAAGCAGCATGGTCAGTGATTGGCTCCTGTTATTTTCCTCTCTGCAATATGATTGGCTCTTATCAGAAAGATCATAACATTTTATGTATATCCATCTGTACACACATTTAATGTTATGAACTTTTGTTGATTTATCACAATTGTATGATGTATACTGAACGTGTTTTTCCAGCTGCTGAAAAGCCATTCCCTCTGCTGTCTGAAAATACACCATCAGATGGAAAGCTATGAGATTGAAATGGCTGTCCATGACTGGAAATCGGGCTCAGAGAAGGATGGTCCAAAACTTCTAGGTAAATGATTCATAGAAAGGAGGTCACAATTGTTTCAAACATTACCTGCTTCAAAAAATCCTCCAATTATAATATCATCTGGAGGAAACAAGTGACTTTGAATTATTCTGAAATTTACAACTACATGTGTATGTCTTCTATGGACACTAAACATATATTTTTGTTTTCTTTATCAGTTTGTACAGATGAATGTATCAGTGATATAAAGATAGATGATGCCAATGCTGTGATTCATTATGACATACCCGCCGAGTCCAAATCCAGGTTTGGGAATCGTCTCTCCTGTCTGAGGAAGTACTACGCTCACTACTCAGGATTGGAGGAGGTAAAACAGGGTTTTAGTCTCAGTTTTTACTACAACTAAAAATAGATTAGGAATTTCATTTTTATATGGCTGCAAAAAGGGAGATGCTGAAATAAATAGTTATAATCTGAAAGTTGGTAATACAAAGCATCTTTGTAAGTGTTTGTGGCATGTTTAAAAACTCTGCTGTATATTAAGTCTGTAAGATTATTTAGGAGATGAGATGAAGTACCTGTATGACACCTGATCATTAAATGCTTATTTGTGTAGGAGGAGGGAGGGCAGAATGTCAAACCCATATCTTACATCTTGATGACGGAACAAAGTACCGGCCAGGCTCGCTCAGTCCGAGATCTACTGAGACGACTAAAACTTCCCATACCAAGGGAGCTCACAGCCCTGCTTGCTGGCATGAAACAGGTATTGTACATACCACAGCCCTGCTGGCTTGCATGAAACAGGTATTGTATATATCATAGCCCTGCTGGCTTGCATGAAACAGGTATTATATATCATAGTCCTGCTGGCTGGCATGAAACAGGTATTTTATATATCACAGCCCTTCTTGCTGGCATGAAACAGGTATTATATATCACAGCCCTGCTGGCTTGCATGAAACAGGTATTATATATCATAGCCCTGCTGGCTGGCATGAAACAGGTATTGGTATTGTATATATCATAGCCCTGCTGGCTGGCATGAAACAGGTATTATATATCATAGCCCTGCTGGCTGACATGAAACAGGTATTGTACATGTATATATCATAACTCTGCTGGCTGGCATGAAACAGGTATTGTATATATCATAACCCTGCTGGCTGGCATGAAACAAGTATTGTATATATTATAGCCCTGCTGACTGGCATGAAACAGGTATTGTAATTGTATATATATATACAATTGCCCTGCTGACTGGCATGAAACAGATGAGATATTGTGTATTTCACAGTGCAGCTGGCTGGCATGAAACAGGTATTGTAATTGTATATATATATACAATTGCCCTACTGACTGGCATGAAACAGGTATTGTAATTGTATATATATATATACAATTGCCCTGCTGATTGGCATGAAACAGGTGAGATATTGTATATATCACAGCGCAGCTGGCTGGCATGAAACAGGTATTGTATATATGTTTGTTTTGCTGGCTGGCAGGAAACGTGTTGTTTATCCTCTGAAATTGGAATTTTGGAATATTAAAAAAAAATATCCTAGAACTATACATATACATGTTACTTAGGATGTATCAAGATTTTTTTTCTTGCTTTTCACAGGTGATAACAATACTTACATGTAAAATAGAACAAGTGAATTAAGCCAGTTTAGCATTTTCTGTATTATATCCCTCAAATCTTGCCATTTACATTTACAATTTTTGAAGAATTTACACAGTTGGAAAATATAAGTGTACCGAAGGTTGTCCCAAAAAGTTGTAGACATGTTGAATAATTAAGTTTCTCTTTGCTTACATAACTTTCTTTTCTTGTCAAAGTAAAAGGCAACATTTAATAATTATGAATTTATGAACTTCTACACTAATGTCATAGTGTGTTTTGTGACTTCTTTACCTGTTTTTGTCTCTGAGGCGGAAGTACATGTATCACAGTCAAAACAATATTTTATAACATGCCTGTGAACCAGGGATGCATTTAATGACATCAATTGCAGCACACTTGATTCAGAGCATGCTTTGAAAATTGTGTCACCACTCTTCTGTCTCCGATGCCATTTGCATAAAAATTTGATGTTTTATGCAGGTTTGTTTTCTGATTTAATGGATACAAATCTGAGTTTGATATATTAGATATTATCAGAGAAATAATAGCCATTGCAAGAGTAATATACATAAATATAGACAGACCATATTTAAAAGAACATTTGATAAATGATACATTATGATAGTCATGCAAAATTTGGTTAGTATTGGTTGAATGTTTACAAAGTTATAAACATTGTCTACGACTTTTTGGGACAACCCTCGAACATACAACAGAAGATGGGGTTGAAAGAGGACATTTATTTTTATCTGCAGCAACAAGAAGAAGACAAGGAGAAGGGACTGTGTAGTTACCTTAAGGCTTATGGTGCTTGTAGGTCTGTATCTTTGTTCATTTGAAAATTTTAAGCTCTGTATATAAGAAAAGCAGGAATGCAGGAAAATTTTTAAAAAATCACAAAATGGAATTGAATTCATGTAATTGTGCATGTAATAATTCCACAGAAAAATACCTAGCCTTTTAAAGCTCAGGTAAGTGAGTGGAGTTCTTAGCTCAGTTGGTAGAGCACTGGACTTTTGTGCCAGGGGTTTCCGGTTCAATCCCCAGCAGAGACTTGGTACATTTTTCAAATAAAAGAGGTAGTTCAGTCCTTAAGGTTTGCCCAATGATGAAAACCATTGAATGAGACAAAGATCAAGGGCTGTGAGAACTAGTCGTGGAAAATATATGTAGAGTCAATTAATCCAAATCTCATGTAATTAATATTTCCAACATAGTCTGAAAAATTAAAAATAAAAATGAGACTGTCATATATCTTCCAGTGTGCTGGTGTCCAGCTTTGAGGTCAGTCTATGATGGTGATTATGAGAGCTGAGGGCAAATTACACATTACTTTTAACTACATAAACATATAATAACGTAATGGTTTATTTTACCTTTATTTCTTGCATCCAGCCCAACTTGTTACATGTATATCATGATTATATGAGATTACTTATTACATGTATATCATGTGAGATTACTTATTACATGTATATCATGTGAGATTACTTATTACATGTATATCATGTGAGATTACTTATTACATGTATATCATGTGAGATTACTTATTACATGTATATCATATGAGAATGAGGGAAAATAATTTCTTTTGTCAATTGATTTTATTCCCATTTGTAGGTTTCAGACCCGGTGTCCTTATCGACACATTATTTTACCCGATGTAGACAAACCTTGCTGTGACCTTTTGACCTCAGGTGAAATCAAGGTAAGAAACAGATTATTTTTAGCGTGGATGTACATGTATCTGGTAACACAGGGAATTTTTTTAAAAATTATTTTAGGCTACTAAATCTTAAAAGTCTCAAATAGTGTCCATGTAAGAAAAAAATATTGTGTTGATTTCAGATTCGTGTCACAGATGTTGTGAATGCCACCTGTTACTATGCTCGAGTGTTAGAGCATCGTAAACGTGATGGCCCATTTTCTGACCTTTCCAACACTGCTCTGTCCATTATGTTTGAGATAGAAAACTGGTTCTCTTCTGAAAATAATCGTGTCAGGCTTGGTATGAAAACTAGTTTTACTTTGTTGAAAACTGTTTAGTAAACTGGTTCTAAAAATGAAATTCATTTTTATGAGATGTTCAGTAGTCCAGAAAAATATATCAGAAGTAAAAATACATGTTTCAAAATGTTGACTAAATAATATAATATCAGACCAGTTAAAACTTCTTACTGTTTACAGGAAATGTGTGTGCTGGTGATGTGTGTGCAATAGAAGAAGACAACTCATTCTTCAGGTATGAGATATTACAGAGAGGAGCCTCCTGTATGAAGAGTTACCTACCCATTTCAATTCTGGCAGTTATTTATAAAGTGCTTTAAAAAGGAATAGATCAATGCTCAGGAGTTTTAAACTTTACTGAGAATACTGATATTTACTGAGAATACTGATCTTTATTTGTATTGATTTTCAGAGTACAGATCCAGGATATCAAGGGGAGTAACTCTCCTGGCTCAAAGACAATGCAGGCTCAGGTAGGAAGTACATACATGTATATCTTGGAATTCATGTGTTACAACTACATGGATACAGGGCTCTACTTTAACTTTTTTTCCTACGGTACTTGTCCATTCAGACAAGTGACCCAAACATTTACTTGTCCGAACTTCAATTTCACTTGTCCGAAAATTTTTCAATACAAATCTTAAACTGTCAACTTGAAAACTAAAATAAAGTCCATAAAGTCGATTTGAACTGTCATTTGCCAAGATATTGAATGCTTACATCCTCTACATTTTTAATAGTTTTTATTACTTTTTTTTTTTTTTTTTTTTTTTTTTTTTACAGGTGTTCTTTGTTGATGAGGGTCGAGTGAAAGACGTCTCCATGTTCAAACTCTATGAACTCCCTCCACACTTAAAGTCATATCCATTCCAGGTTCATACAATAAATATTCAATAGAGTTTCTTTGTATTTTAATGGTATATGTAAATGTAGAATGCAATGAATGAAAAGAGTGTCATTTTCTCAGTTTGAAAAGTAAAATTCACTATTAACAAGAAGGCATGCAAAATATTTGATTTATTTTTAGTCCGTCTAACTTTTAATTGTCAGAACGGTATCAATTATATTTGAGATTCGCGTATAGATTTTTAGTCATGTTAATTTTTTTGAATTTCTTGGTTTCTGTTTTTTAGACGGTTGAGGTCTACCTGTGCAGACTGAGACCGATAGACAGGGATGAAAACTGGACCTCCAATGTAAGTCTTCTACACTCTAAATGTTAGCCAGTAGTCAATTTTCTGTAATTGATATGAGTGTAGTGAATGAGCTCAATCTTTATTATTTCAGGCTGACCAGTTTGTTCATGGAATATTACAAGACAAAGTTCTATATGGCAGAATTGTACTGAGGTTTGAGTTTTAGTGATAGTTATTGAAAATTTGTTGACATGTAACTATATAGAGCTATATCTGCTGATACACTTCATAAAGATTGATAAACTTTATGTCTCAATAAAACATTAGTGCTAAGATAATGTTTCAGGTAGTACATTTATTTTCAAATATTGATTTGGCTGATATGGTGAATTTCAGCATTGGAAACACTGTATGGTTGGATCCTTTGGTAGAAAGACAACGTCTGAGGGAAAACAAAGGGTTTATCAACAAAATGTATGTCAGATCCGAACTCTTAAGAAATGGATATGCTGTTGAAAATGAAGAGGTATTTTAATGTGATAAATCTCAATGATATCAATTATCTAAAGGAACTAAGGGAGTTCCAGAGTCGCTGAGATTTATGTTTTCAATTTAATATATAGAAGTTTTGTTTTAATTTTTAAATTGAATGTTTTTTCAGCATGTTCAGAACTTGTACAGATTGTGTGAAGGCCTGCTACCCATCCCTACTCTACCCAACACAGAGGACAAGTAAGAATAGACAATATCTAACAAAAAAAAAACTAAAAAATAATACAGTCAAACCTCATTATCTCAAACTTCACAGGACCAAGAAAATACTTCGAGATATCCTTGGATTTGAGATATCCAGGGTAAAATATTTAAGAAATACTGTAAAAGTGGTTACTTACGCGTGGGGGAAATTTACACTACTTACGCGGTAAGCTTAGAACCGCATAAAATACCCCCGCGCGAATGGTCACAAAATTTTAAACTTCTGGAATCATTCTAGACCACGACTTATACTGTTAGACCTGTCGAACCAGTCATATATTAATCGTGGTATTGAACGCACGTGAGTTGATAAATACATCACAAACAGTGATGAAAACATAACTGTTCTTTTTCTTTAATTGTGCAATGAAAAATGTATCTTCATATTAAATATTTTAAAGCAACGTCACGCAATTAAAGCTTAAAAACATCCATACTCATTTTCATTTCCTTTGTATGTATTTGTATGTCCCTCTTAATTTCAAATAATTAGTCCCAAAATGTTACACAAACTCACAGTCACTAAAAAACATACCTATTGAATTAATTGCCAACACTCGCTGCGCAGATACAGGTAAGTAAATCCCACTTTAAAGTTTGAGCTTGCGTAAATAATTACAATAAAGCGTACACCAGTTGTTCACACTTCACTGCTTTTGACTGCACAGATCGCCGTTATATTTAGTAATCCAACAGTATAAATTCTTTTTGTTTAGTTTGTTTGTAATTATTTGTAATTATTTTTTTTCTTATTCATGCGTGTTAACTACTTGACCTTTTCAAAGGGGAACAACTCGAAGTTAGTAAACGATGGCCGCGTAAATTTTTCTCAGTAACTCGTGCCACCGCGTATATTACACCCACGCGTAATGTTTGATGGTCACAAACGCGTACTTAACAACCAGTGTAAATAACCACTTTTACAGTAAGCACTTGGGACTTCAAAATCAGTTTGACATATCCGTGGTATTCGAGATATCTTTGTTTGAGCCAAGGTCAACTGTAGTTGAGATCTATTTGATTGTAGTATGGAGCTATCTGTGGAGACAGACTTGCTGCCGGAGGACGAGGAATTCCACACAGTCTACGTGTCCGCTTGTGAAGATCCCGGTCTCTTCTTCATACAGCGTTGTCAATTTGTCAAACAGTGAGTATCAGTAATAACCAGAGACTGTGTCCACACAGTATGTCCGCTTGTAAAGATCCCTGTCTCTTCTTTATACAGCAATGTCAATTTGTTAAACAGATCAGTAATAAGCAGTGTTCATAAAGTGATATCTAGAGTTATTGTTGGTAATAACTAGAAATCATGAATAACATATGCTGCATAGAGTTACTCTCAATAAGAGCCAGAATTTGTGTTCACAAATTTATATAGAAAAAATGTTGGGAGTTCACGTTATTATTTTGTAGTGATAAAGCCATTTTATTCTCAATTGCAAATTTAAGCTTGCTTTCATATTTCTCATTCATTATCCATGCTATCTGTAAATTTACAAGATATAAACAAGTGAAAACACTGAATATGAACCAACCCTGATCTCTAAAGATTTTTTTGTTTGAACGCAAGAACACATATATTTTAAGGTTCTATTTTTAGAATGGATGCCATGATTGATGCAATCAATGACAAACTACAGAAGACTGAGGTGACACCAATGAAGGTGGCGTCCTGTCAGGTGGGCCTGATCTGTCTGGGAAAGTACACCCAGGACGATGCATGGTATCGTGTTAAAATAGTGGAGGTCAGTAGCAAATTTATTTGGTTTTCCTCAATATTGATCACCACATCTAACAATATGGTTTGAATAAACCTAGGATATGCAGATAAGCAGAAAAGATCTTGGAAAATAACTAGCTTAGGATATAAAAAAGTTACAATGAGTGCATTTTTAATTGATAGCAATTTTAATTTGATGGTATTTCAGTGTGATGTGGATAATATCAGCTGATAATATTGTTTTGTATTTCAGTGTGATGTGGGTAATATTAGCTGATAATATAGTATCATATTTCAGTGTGTAGATAATGGAGACTATAAGGTGATGTTCTGTGATCAGGGTGACTATGAGGTCCTGCCCATCAGTCGACTCCATCCATTTCCTCAGGAATATTCTGAAATCCCTATGTTGGCTATTGAGTGTGAACTGGCTCATATTCAGCCCAGAGGTAAGTATCGTTTGTGTGGAAGTTTTTCTAAATTATATTGTGAAATATTGTTACATTGATGCAATAAATTGTGAGGAAGCCATGAGTGTGTTCATTTATGACCAAATGTACATATATTGTAAAACACACTGAAGGAGAGGTCAATATTATTATTTTCCCCTTCAAAGAAGGAAGGGCATATTGCTTTGCTGCTGTCTGTCGGTCAGACGGTGGGTCGGTCGGTCTGTTGGTCCACCAACAGTTTCCATTCATTTTCTTCGCAGAGATTGCATATACTGAAATGAAATTTGGTATACAGATTTATCATAAGAACATCTAGGCCAAGTTCTGTTTTGGGTATGATCGAGCAATTTTTGACAGAATTATGCCCCTTGGACTTGGAAAAATTCCAATTATTGGGGGGGGGGGGGGCATAAGTGCTTCACAAACATCTCTTGTTTTAAAGGTAAGGGACGTGTATGTCGATTATTTCAGGTGAGGGCTGGGATGAGAGTGCTGGTGATGCATTGTGGGACATGACTCATACTGTTGCAGGAGGCAATAAAAAGTTGATGGCTAAGGTACTGTAGATATTTCCAAACTTAAACATTCAGAAAATTTGTTTATAAAGGATGGGCTTCCAACAATGTACAATCATGCTCTATTTATAGGTGATTGGGAAGAAGGACTCTTCGTTTACAGGTATACACAGATATATAGTGGAATTGTGGGATACCTACACAGCCAACGACATCAATCTCGCTCAGGAACTGGTCTGGTCAGGGCTCGCGTCTCCAAAGGAGGGTTCCAACCTCCAGGTATTATAAATAAAGAACTGGTTTGTCAAGTCCAGTAAGGCATGACTTAATATAGAATGGGTTTTTTTTCAAGTCCATTAAGGCCAAAAAAAATTAATAACTTGGTTCTAGGCTCACCCGCATCTCATTCAACAATGCGCATTACCTATTTTTATCCTCAAATGAATAAAATAAAATTTCTCTCATGCGCTTGTGTGGTGCCAAAAAAAATTCCAGGATTTCCAACCGCATTTTGACTGCATCTTAGAAATCAGTAAAACGTTTGACCAACATCAAGATGATCCAGACTATTGGCCTAGTTAAAAATCGCAAATATGGCCGTCGAGTTAACAGGATAAGGGGTCAAGATTAAGTTTAGTCATGATGGCATTGATTTCAGTGCAAATTCATAAGGGAATGACTGTAATACTTCCAAGGTACAAAGTGGGGGTTTCTGAAGGTTTTTTCCATGCTAGAACTCGATCAATAACGCTATCAAAGACGGCTCCCTCAACTTAGGAACTTGGACATCAGCAAGATTTGCAGATTTTATTTAGTGTGGGTAAACCAAAGACTGATAAATTTGACAATGTTTAATAAAATCATAAGCACTATTTATATTGCTGAAACACTTAGATTAGTTGTGTTACATAAGCAATTGACCAGATGCATCACTAAAAGTGTTGGATTCTGTAAGTTTAACACGTCTGGTTGTTAGGATGCTGTCGTTTCATTGCATGAATCATCGGAATGTAGAAGATGCAAGAGAAAAGAGAAAGGAGCAGGAAATAAATTATGTTGATTTCTACACTCAATGTTGAAGTACTGTTGATTAAAAGTTGCTTGTTTTGAAATTATGAAAAAAAAATCAAAAATCCCGCGTCTTTTCTTTACGAGATAAAAAGGGGGGAAAATGCCTCCCTCCCGCATTTATTTTTGAGAAAACTGGCCTGAGAACCAAGTTATTAATTTTTTTGGGCCTAAGGCATGACTAAATATAGAACTGGTCTGTAAAGTCTTAAGGTATGACTAAATATAGAACTGGTCTGTCAAGTCTGTTTCGGTATGACTAAATATAGAACTGGTCTGTCAAGGCTGGTACATGTATCTACAAATGCCCTAAGTTTTATGTAGGGCATTTCTACAAGTCAAAGTTTGTATGTGAAACTGGCATAGCTAGCATGATTAAATCTCATTTTTTGTTGTTATTTAATTTTAAGTGTTTCCTAATCTTTCTTATGTAAATGTGTTAACAAAAAAAGTGTACATGTTTAAAAAAGTTAAAATAATCATATGTTTTCAGGAGATGTTCCAAAAGCCTCCCATGATAAATTTCCAGGTGTATAGAAATCCTGTCCAGATGGTAATGGATCTCTGTGCCTGTTTGTACTGGAGAAAGGTAATACTGTAGGATAACAATTTAAATAATACATCAAAATTATTAAAAGAAATTACTATCTATCATTAAGAACATGATTTATTATAGGATCAGAAACGAAAAATTCCCCCAGCACTGGAAATTTTTGATATTGTAACAAAGGCTGTTAACCGGTAAGTCTTAGAGAGAGAATATTGATCTCATTCTCATCACAGCAATCAAATTCATAGTAAATATGCTTTGTTATACTTTAATGTTAAATAGTCAAATTTGATTGGTTTAAAAACATTTATTAAAAAGTACTGTTACCATACCTCGCGCTTCGCCTCAGTCAGCAGGGGTTTTCATGGGATAATTTCACATGTTACCCTAAAAACATGTAATATTATTGTTTTTGTATACAGTAGTCCTTTGGACCTTGTGGGTTACCGAGGACTAGCTGCTATTATTAAGTTGATTGGTCGACTGACAGATGACACCGCCCACAAATGCCTTCTAGAAAGTCTCCTGATAGCAGCAGAAAACAACGACAGGTACCAGAGCTTTTATATCAGTCTAGAAATGTACGTGATTTAACTCTCCCTTACAAAGGTCAGAAGAAGAGAAATTACTATCCCCACATAAGGAGATGTTGTGTACCTATAGGGTGTATTCTTAGAAATGACTGTCCCCATATAAGGAGATGTTGTGTACCTATAGGGTGTATTCTTAGAAATGACCATCCCCACATAAGGAGATGTTGTGTACCTATAGGGTGTATTCTTAGAAATGACTGTCTCCACATAAGGAGATGTTGTGTACCTATAGGGTGTATTCTTATGAATGACCATCCCCACATAAGGAGATGTTGTGTACCTATAGGGTGTATTCTTAGAAATGACTGTCTCTACATAAGGAGATGTTTTGTACCTATAGGGTGTATTCTTTGTTGAACATAATTGTGTTTTTCTCCCATGCAGACTGGCAGAAGAAATTGTCAACCAAGATGGAGATCATTGTGTTATCCAGTGTTTAGATCAGGTAAATCTTGTCAACTTTGATTGAAGACATTCAGATAGAGTTATATTGTATTAAATATGTCAAAATTCAGGTCATTTTCTTTGGTTAAATGTGAAATTGTTCATTTCAGAAAAGCCGTCCAAAAATTCAAACTCAGGCTCTAGAGGCCATATACAGACTTAT